GACTCTTTGTCAGTAAGCACCCTCCACAGGGAGTTCGAACCCACTACCTTCCGGTTACGAGGCGAGTATGTAGACTTTTAAGCCACTTGAATCTCACTCAATGGTTCATGAATTCCAACTTCTACCATTTCGTGATATAAATATTTAGTTCAGTAACCGGCCAATGTCACGGACGAGTAACTGTCCCAGCTTCCCCAATGGTTTTCTAATTGATGTCAGACCGTGATCAATCATGTAACCAATGAAATCACTGAAAATCAACACTTGACAAATTGCTTTCAGTTGTTCGTATTAGGTGATTGCAGGCAATCGACAAGAAGCATTTGACCTAGGTGTTGGGCTAGTTAGCACTCATTAGCAAGGCGTATCTGCAGTCTCGAAGGATCTCATGTCCCTTTTGAGATTCGAACCCATATCGTCACCCAGTGCTACAGTCCTAAACGTTACCACTGAGTTATACAGACTCCTTTAGGACTGTATTGGATGCTTTTGATTGAACATCAATCAGTAACTAGTGTAACGTGTGTGTGTTTAGTCCTATCTTTGGTGCAGACCTGCCAGTTGCCTTCAACCACCTAATACCAACAGTGCACCTTGATGGCGAGCCACCTAGGATGGTGGCCACAATGCAAACTTGACTGACTGATAGACTTCAGTCTGTACCAAAGATTGAACTACTTACTGACTAATGTCCAATCATGAATATTTGTTCACCTAATTATTATTGTTCCCTTGGATTCCTAGTGGAACATAGGGCTTCAACTGCACGCCTCCACTTGTTTCTGTCTTCTGCTTTATTTTTCACCTGCATACATGTTAATCCATACTGTTTCATTTCCTCTTCACACGATCTCCTCCATGTCACCCTTCGACGTCCCACTTGCCTCTTCCCTTTCGGGTTCCACTCGAGCGATGGCCTGACGTGCGATGTCACCTAACGGCCTCCTCAGTGAGTGTCCAATCCATCTCCATTTTCGCCTGCATATTTGTTGAGCGTTTTGTCCTTGTTTTGTTTGTTTCCATAGTTTCTTGTTGGTTCTTGTTCTTTCCGGCCATCTGATCTTCAGTATAGAGCCAGCGAAGACAGTTGTTGATAAAGGTCTGCAACAGGCTGTTGGAAATACTCATTGTTTGTGACCCGCCAAGTTTCTGATCCATCCATATAGAAGAACTGACTGACTTGACGTTTGTATTGAAAATCCGGATTTTGTTGTTGATGCTGAGTGACAGTGGAAGATTTCCAGATTGGTTTCAGGTTGATGAATGTGTTTCTCGCCTTCCTGATTCTCGCTCGACTTGACATCCTCGTCCGTTCCACCTGTAGTTGAGACAATACCCCCTAGATAAGTGAAAGAAGTAACCTCTTTCGAATCCCTCCTGTTGATGGTGATCAGCGCTGGATGTTGCTGCTGCTGTTGTTTCTGTTGTTGATTGGTTGTTTTCATAACCTTCGTCTTGTATATGTTCACCTGGAGTCCTGTCTTCTCTGGCTGCTTCTTCGACCAGTTTGTCGGTTTTCGCTTGTAAGTCGTCGATTTTGTGTGACATCAAACATAAATCATCTGCGAAATCCAGGTCTTCTAGGCTCTTCACATTGGTCCAGGATATCCCTGTCTTCTCGTTTCCCACTGTCTGACGCATAATCCAGTCCACCACAATTAGGAATATCATTGGTGACAATAAGCACCCTTGTCTGACTCCTGTGTTTACTCCAAACGCTTCGCTGAGTTTTCCGTTGTGGATCACTTGACATGTGCCGTTGTCGTACAGCTGTTGAATAAGGTTGATGAATATTTGGGGAACGTCGGAGTCCTCGAATAGTTTACAAATTACTTCGCGGTCAACGCTGTCGAAGGCCTTCTCAAAGTCTATAAAGTTGAGATAGAGGTTTGATTGCCATTCCATGCTTTGTTCGATGATGATGTGTAGAGTTGCAATTTGGTCAGAACATGATTTGCCTTTCCTGAATCCAGCTTGTTCTGGTCGAAGTTCTGTATCCAGTGCGTCCTTTATTCTCTCCAGGATGATGCGACTCAGGATTTTACTTGGCGTCGACAGGAGCATGATTCCTCGCCAGTTCTTGCAGAGTCCCAGGTCGCCCTTCTTTGGTAGTTTCACGAGGTAACCTTTCCTCCAGTCATTAGGCACCTTTCGCTCTTTCCAGATCTTTTGCAATAATGGGGTCAGCAAATCTTCTGTCGTCTATGGGTCCGCTTTTAGTGCTTCCGGGGGTATTCCATCTGGTCCAGCTGCTTTTCCAGCTTTCAGAAGCTTGATTGCATTCAAGACTTCAGTTTTCGTTGGAGGATTGGTGTCAACTTGCAGTTGTGTACGTGCTGTTGTTGGTATTACTGGACGGGTTGTAGGTGGTGGTCGGTTCAAGAGTCCTTTGAAGTGGTCCGCCCATTGTTTAATCTGTCTTTCTTCTTTGGTAATTGGGTTCCCTTGGTTGTCTTTTATAGGTTTCACTTGTATTGATCTCTTCAAGGATAGAGACTTGGTTATCTGATATAGTGTCCTCAGGTCCCTTTTGCCTGCTGCCTTCTCAGCTTCAGTAGCCAGGTTGTCGTAGAATTGTCTTTTGTCCTTCCTGGCACTCTTCTTCACTTCTTTGTCCAGTGCTGTGCAAGTTGAGCTCAGCGTCTCTTTCTCTTGTCCATCTTTGCATTGAATCATTTTCTCTTTCACCATTCTCCTCTCCTCTATTAGCTTCCAAGTGTCCGTTGAGAGCCATTCCTTGTCTTGTTTCTTCTTTCTTCCTAAAACCGTTGAACACGTTTCGTTGAAAATCACCTTCAGAGAGTTCCAATGGTCTTCCACGCATGATTCCTCAGTGATGCCACGTAGTATTTCCTGCTTTGCTCTGACAGTTGCAGTGAAAATGTCCTGTGTGATTGTGTCCTTCAGTTTTTGCGTGTTGAACTTGCATTGTGGCTTATCCCCAGCTATCCTCGAGGCTTTTAGGTCCACCTTGAAAGTCCCTTGTACTAGATAGTGGTCTGAACCCACATCTGCTCCTCTCCTCGATCTTGTGTCCAGTAGGCTCCGTCTCCACTTCCTTGAGATTGAAATGAAGTCTATCTGGTTTTTGGTGTGTCCATCTGGTGAAATCCATGTTGCCTTGTGTATATCCCTGTGTTTGAACACACTGCTACCAATCACCAAATTATTGAAGGCGCAGAAGTCTGAGAAGTGTTCACCATTCTCGTTCATTTCACCGAGGGCCTCGCGACCCATGGTGAGTTCTCTTCCTGTATTGTCTCCTCCCAGTTTCGCATTCATGCCACCCATCAGGATTTTGATATTGCTCTTTGAACGTTGTCCATTACTGCTTGCAGTTTTCTGTAGAAATCCTCCTTCTTCTCTTGTTCCCACACGTTTGTAGGCGCGTAGCATTGAATGATTGTAACCTTTTTTCCTTTTGAGTTGAACCTGGCTGTTATTATCCTGGAGGAGATTGGTTCCCACTGCCTGAGAGCTTTAGCCGCTATTGATGACATCATGATGGCTACTCCCTCGGTGTGCTCGTGATCGTCCTCTGGGTGACCGGAGTAGATTATTGTCTCTCCAGTTGGTAGTTGGCGCCTTCCACATCCGTTCCATCTGCTCTCGCAGATTCCCAACACTTCTATTTGGTATCTCCTCATTTCTGCGGCTACCTGAGCAGCTTTTTCAGTTTCGTACATTGTACGAATATTCCACGTCCCCATCCTTATTTCTGCTTTCATCGAAAGAAGTCCTAGATTACTAGGTCACTAGTATTCTAGGCGGTTCCAAGCCGGGATAAAGAGGGAGGGTTGGGGCGTAATGCTAGCAACTCCACCCCCAAAACTTAACCAAATTGCTACAAAAACTTCAACGCACAAATATATTAAAAATTCTAAAAATACAAACAATAACCTTATTTTTCGTCCTTTCCCCTTGAATAAATCAAATTCTCTGTTTGTAGTAGAAGAATATATGATTCACAAAATACCATGTAATCATTGTGAGATTATTTGCATAGGTCAGTCAAACTAATAGATCAATGTGAATTAGACTATCTGAAGATGGAAATTTAGTTGGAGGTAGAATGGTTGACTCAGACAGATTAAATACTGTGGAGGAAACCTTGATCATTTCATTCCATCATTGCATTCGCTTGCATGCAATTATATACTAGGGTAGGACAGCATGAAACTATTTAAAAGTAATATAATTAGGTGCAGAGAAACAGAGATAGACGGAGAGTGATTAATCACTGAATCTTTGTTTATCAATCCAACACAACATACTTGGATTCGAAGTGAAACAACGCGTATATCGGAGATATGGAAAGTTGCTGCACAAAATAAGAAAAAGAGAGAGAAGCCGTGTGACTAACTGATATGATCATGAGCAGCGAATTCTGCTGGAAGTGTCATCCAGTTGTTAATGCTGCATCATCACTGTGTGACATTGAAAATGAACTAATCTAATGTATGGAATTACATTCTACCACACAGTGCCCAAGTTCTACAGTGATATTCGATTTCTTATAGTCCCACGACTATCTCTATTTGCAGAATTAAGGTACTTCTGGCGACATGTGTACATGTGTATACACTTGTTTCATTCTAGAAGATACGGATAAAGAGTTTTGAGTAGCTACTCGAAAGTTTTACAAGACTCCATCATTGTGTCACTGAACTCGGTTACCAGGAAGACATCTTTTACATGTGTCAAACTATCCATCACACTTATTGTGTGATAAGTGTCCAGTGCCCTATTTGAGTGAAAATGAAGTACTCAAGCCTACTGAACTATTTCTCGGCGTTATAAATAGTTCAGTGTCTTCAAAGGGTTATTTATCTTCCTGTCTAACAACTAATCTGGTCATTTGTTCACTTAGTTGTTTACATTCATGTTGTTCTCACTCAATGCTGTTGTTATTATGCAATACGATAACTTTATTCATTATACGTGTTCTATTAGTGTATATTGTGTGTTTCTGTATTTTCCGTCTATTGTCTCTTTCATAGCGTATAAATTTCATGCGATATAAGAATTGTGCGCTCTTTCCGAAAATGCATCTATTCACCTACAGTTCTCCTGTAACATATAGAACCGTGCTCACTTTGCCGTCAGTCGGTGCTAAAAAATCGAGACGATTGGATCAAGTTGTTAGTGATGAACAGAAAAATGATCAACGTGTATACGATCATCAAAATCATAATTATTATGCAAAGTGTGCATGGATTACCTCAACCCGCTGTAATTACTATAGTGAATTAGTCATTAAAACTCACGATAATTATACACGGAGCTCTATTGAAGCATCAGCGGGATTATCCTGCCTTAATGAAGGTGAACAGATTACTCGTACAGGCAATAATGATGAAACTGGCACAGATGAATTTGCCCGAATGGACGAAAATCAAGTATGTGAAGAAGATTTTCACTACAAGACGTGTGCTTATTTCAGTCGGTAAGTAAATGCCTTGGCTATTGATGTCAACTTTGTGTTATTGGACTGTCGGACTCTATCACTTTTTAATCTTTTTACAAAATGTGGTAATTAGAGGTAACTTTATTTACATCCAACTTCATAGGGATTGAATTCACGCTCAGGAGAGAAGGTTGGTTCAATTAAAACTCCACTGATGGCATAGTACTGTTATAGGTAGAATTTATGGAGTTTGCCTGGGATGAGAAATTTGAGTGCCTAATTTGCCTTGCTTCACCCTAGCTAATTCTACGACAGTAATGTATAACTAGTGGGGATTAATTTCCATTCTGAATGTTTTGCAGATGACGTGGTCATCGTAAATGCTGTCAGCTTCACACTTATTTTAAAAGTCACATCAGCCCTAATGAAAAGGTTGCTGATGGGACCTCATGAATGACGCAGATGGCTGGTTTATTTATTATTCGCTAATTTGTATTACCTTTGGCCTCAGAGATTCACTGGCACAACACTCGCCAGCCCTATAAATGTTCCGTGTTCGATTCCCAGTTGTCCCACTCCTAAATGTCTCCTGGCCTGTAGTTAGTCCATCAAAGCGGAAGGTTTGGCGTGCTGCTAGCAATCCCGTCCCACTAAAACAACACTGTTGCTGCTGAAACTTCTAAGCGTGATACCGGAAGCCCTATATTCCAATCGGAATGCAAACGGTTACTCATCTCAGACAACTTACAATGTTGCTGTTTTTAAAGCTATTGGGAAAATATTGTATGCTCTAGTTGTAGGCATGTTCATTCATGGCAGTTATTACTTCTGGTGGATGGAACAGTTAATTGAGTTGTGCTCATGCCGAACGCAGGATGTTAGGAAGAGGAAGTAAAGAAATCAATGATTTTGTGTATCTTCATTTAGGATTACTGATACTTCGACTAGTGAACTTATTCAGAATTGAATAGGAGAAGGTAGACAGTGAAGAGATCAGTGGATTATTTCAGATCATGAAATGGTCGTTGATCACCCAAATGTCGAAATAATTTTTTGTTTCTTTAGAATATAACAGGTATAATTTGGAGAAGATTTGTAGCTCAGGTGGGTGCTTTTGGTGTTAAATGTGTTCTCTGAGCTGGATGGTTTAGCTGCTTAGCTTTCCTTGTCTTACTAGGCAAGATCCTCAGAGCATACTTCAATTTGAAGAGAGCTTTTAAATTCCTCCACGAGTTTAGCTTGAACGTCTTGATTAGTTACCTTTGTGTGTTTTCACATCTTCTAGTCTATTTGTATTCCTGCTGATTGTTTCCTTGAACTGAAGTTTAACTTTTTGTGCATGAGATTTCTTCCCTATGGATTGGTGAATCTTGTCGATATCAGTTGCCGATTCAGTTGAATACCAGGCTTCCAAAAACTCTTTAGCGTCTATGGTATTTATTCAATCTATGATTAGTCTGAGAAATGATATAAGAAACCGCATATGTTTAAATGAGTCGTAAGACCTTTTGGACCACATTCAGGTGGCCGTGATACAGCAGAGGGAGAGAAGTATCTTTCTTACACCCCTTCGGTTTTCCACCCATTTCGAACACCAGAGGCATGGAAGCCACTGGAATGACATTCACAGTACATGTTTAAAACAGAAGAGCCCAAAATGATCTCTACCCTTTGCAGAAATCCCTCTCTGAAGCTCAGAACTACCTGCACAATGTTTGAGTCAAATGCAAGTAATTCTACAGAGACAGCAATTATGTAATACCGGGCTTTGTCACACAGATGCATACACCGACGGTTAATTTCCAAAGACCTTTGATTACTTGATTAATTTTACCATAGAGTTAGGGATGTCATCATCTTGGCTTTCATTATCCAGTTGGAAATTTCAGCCGTTACACTTTTTTCCATACACATACAAAAATCTTCAAATACAGACTTTTCGACTATACGTAACCAACATCCTGCATTGAAGAGTGTGGGTACAAGCTCCCACCAATCTCGTAACAGTATTCTTTACTTGGAGGGTGTATAATGAATACCAAGCAGACAGGGATCCCGAACTCATTAAGGGCGACTTGGGTAGCCTAAGACGATATCATCTGAATACTCGAGGTTAGATAAGCCTATCTTAGATACTAGATCTATACGACAAACATGAAAACACATAACCTTCAGAGTTATCGGTTAAGTGAGTCGTTGATTCATGGGTTCGAACTCCAGTGGGTGCATACTGATGGAAAGTAACAAAGTAGGACGAAGCACCTGTCCAGTACTCCAGCAATGAAGGCTGGTCAAACCCCAGCAAAACAACACTTGATCATCTTATCTAAAGCGAGTTTTAACCGACTACATAAAGGGTTACCAGTCCTTGAGATTACCTAAATATTTCAGTGAAATGTTTATCTTTGCCACATAACAAGAGATAAACGAAACGTCTCATAACTTGTTTTCACTAAAGCATAACAGTTCAAACAGAAACTTAGATTTATTAAGTGGAAGGGTGGTATTATGAATTATAAAGAAGATTTGAGGAGATCGACTACAAAATGGATCGTATAGCCTACGTCATCTCTGGCGTAGATGCGATGCTCCTCTATCAATCAAAGGATGTGAGCACTATGCAGCAGTTCACTCTAGCCTTCTTTGTGGCTGATCAATAAAAGTTGAGGATACTTAGGAGGTTAGCTTTCTTTAACCATTAGTTTCTGTGATATATATTTCTCGGGTGAGATGGTATACAATGGTCAGTAACAATAAGGTTAGGCCTACAGTTTTATGCAAGAGACGAAAGTCAGTGGATGACGTTGTGTAGCTGCATCACTTCAGATGGCTAGGACAAGTGTTATGCATCGTCAAGTGATGTTAGTCAACATTTGGTTGGGTTGAAAAGAATGTGCGAGTGGATGGGCAGATTAAAACTTGACATGAATACATACAGTCCTTTAATTTTTGACTTGAGCCACATAGTGAGGTGTAGACTGCCTGGTTAGGGTTCTTGGGAAGCTAGAAATCAATGACTGGAGACAATTAATGACATGGCGCACAGGATCTTTGTCAAAGGCTTAGGTGCATTTGAACCTTAAGATATTTCAGATTCAGCAAATTCTAACTATTCTTGTAATTATCCTTTTTTGCAGTACATTTCTGTTGATTGTAGTTTCATTGCATTTTATTTCTCTCTATTTGTATTCGCTTTTCTGGGGTATAGCAACTTGAAATGGTACAAATTAGTGAGAAATTCCGTTCAGAATCCTTGTAATGATTTTTGTCGGATATCATTAAGTAACTGTGAAGTCACCTCCTCATGAGGTTTTTAGTCGTAAGCCGCTTAACTTTCATCAAATTTTCAATGTGCAATTTTCACCTATTTGAGGAGGGGGAATTTCACCGTACAGTTTCCTTTGGAAACCAGAACTACTCAAATCACTGCAATGTGTCATCTGCTTGATACCATAAATGGTAATCGGGGAGGCGAGAATAAATCCAGAAAAACATATACTACTTATTGATTGAGATGAGTAGGTTGCATAAGGCTCATGTAAACCAATAGTCTGCCTGTATGTTTACGCTTACTTCCTTGACTAATATTTATGGTATGAAGCAGATCACGATGTGTGATCTGGTGTTTCCTTCGGAGACCATAAGAAAATGAAGTGAAATTCCACCTCCTCGAATTTCACTGAAAGTGTTACCAGTTAGATAGTCAGATATTGGTTATGATTTTAACTAATTCGGCTATCCCTTTGAGTAAAGTAAAACTGGGTACACCACTGATGAGTTCATCCGTGAACAAGCGATACAGCCATCTGGTATTTAGATCACTTCGATATTGCTGGCTAATTAGCACTGCTGGTCAATGATGTGAGTGGTGTGCAACTACTCATCTCACTGAATCAGTAGTATATAGTTTTGCTCATTTGACGCTCTACTACCAAGTGGTATCGTAACGGAAGAAGGCAAAAAAACTTGGTTACGGAGCATATTCATTAAGGAAAACCACACCACAATTATACATTTCTAGCTCCATTTATGGTAAGCTAGGTCAATAGATGATAATAAACTGTTCTGATTGGTTGCTGATATTCTGAAGGTCATGCCTTTAGATTGTTTCTTGACCACAACTTAAACAGCTAGATCCAGATTTGAGAGGTAAACGCTTCCTCCTACTTCTGTAGCCACTGACATAAAATGTTATTTATTTTCGGTTTTGGCTACTTCCTATCAATCTGTGTCTATATACTACTGATGGCAAATCTTGTCAGTAGTACACACCACAGTATGTCTGTTTGAAGCGTTTGGGAGTCATTATCGTGTTTTTAAATACACCAGGTTTGCATAAATGTTCGAAAATGACAATTATTTACTATAATTAATATAAAAGGACTTTACATGGATTGTGTAGACAATATTGATCAATATGTTTACAACCAGCTGATTGTGTTTTTCTGCATCTTTGTCGTTGTTTACAGCCTTCAACAACACATAGTTCCAATTTATCTGGCCAATGAGAACACCAGGCTTGTTGATGATGACATTACAATGGTGTCTGATACATTTAGTATTTACCAAGAAAACGGTGATGATTCGGAGAAGAGTCATAGTGATTCTGCCTATCACACATCAGGTAGCAATAATTTGAATAGTAATAATGACAGCAATGATACCATTGATGTTAACAGACACTGGGATAAAGAATATTCTACACGAGATTCTCAAGATACTTTTGAGACTATATCAGAATTATCCTCGTTCAATCATACGAAGTCGAGTCTACCCGTCAACTGTTATTGTAAACTTACCACTGATGATACTGAAAAGTTGAGTAGTTTTACTGAGATAACTAGTGATAATAATTTATCCAAATGGAGTGATCAATTTGACTGTGAATCATCGAATGTCATCAGCTGTAATGAGAGTGATAACATGCTGCAGTCGGATTCAATGGGAAACTTCACGTCGATTAAATCAGGTTGGTTTTTCTTTTCTGAAAATAAATTTTCTTCAACAATATATTTTAGCAAAGTTTTTATTAAAATGGTTGAAATGTATTCATTAGTGTTGTAACAGCGGAGGGTTTGTAATGTGTTGGTTGTTTTCTAACTTGACACTAGAATGAGCCTTCAGTCATGACGCTGTAGCCAACTGATCACTTGGAAATATTACCCCCAAACTGAGTTCCTTTTTAATCCTTTACGTTCCCAGTGAAACAGAGGGCTTCAAGCTACAGACTTGAAGTTTCTGTAGCAGTGGTGATTATTTTTACAGGATGGAGTTGCCAGCCTTATGCGCAACCTTCCGTTTATTGGCTTAGCGAGGTAAAGGAGTGCATCTGTGTCCGTGGATCGAACCCAGGGCCACCTGCGTGGTCGGCAAGCACTCTTCTTCTGTGCCACAGACGCATACACTGAGTAGACACACAGAAGTCGGATTTAATCTGAGAAAACTGCGGCAACAATAAAAACGTTTTTATTCACAATCCAGAGTAAATTATCTCGTACACATCAGCAGAAATTTAAACCATGGATAATTAATGACTATCTGATTGATTGTATCAATCATAAATTTACGGCTAACACTGAAAGTCAGTCCGTCCCAGCATCTTCCCTGTTTCAATAGATTTTCAGTTGGGGGACCACTGGAAGATATTTGTGGGTCTGAGTACTCTCCGTCAATGATACCTTGACCTACAATTAGTTTTGGATATTTACTAGGTGTGTGGTTAACGTTACCAGAAAACGTAAGGAAGTCGTTACATTATTCGTTGATCAGAATTGAGCATTTGCAGTGGAAACTGATTACCGAACAATTTACGAGAAATTCAGATCGTTTCATCAGAATCATTATGACGAAAAAGTATTTTCCAACGGGTTGGTTCATCAACCGAATTAATGCCGAATAGATCCGAATCATGACGTTTTGTAAGATGACATAAATCTTCCCAGTTATTTGAAAAGAATAGGACATCATGACAGATTTCACCAACTCAGTTCGAAATATCTCCAGAAGTATTTTTAGCAACATGACAAGTAGTGGAAACTGTAGGGAGAGTTCTTCTGTCTCCTCTGAGAGTGAAGAAACTGGAGTGAAAATCTCTTCACACTTGAAGTGGCCATATCTCCTAGTGTTGCACAAACAGTGCCTTCACACTAGATTTTGATGCATTACTGGAATACAGATTCTCGTTCTGATTTTTTTAACACCAGTTTTCATGGACTCATTGAAACACAACTGTGCAAATAATGTATCAGTTGATAAATTACCCTGTGCTTCTATGGCTGAATGAATGACCTAATCAATAATATCAGTATGCTCATGACTAGATAACTGCAAATATAATTTACTAGTAAGCACTTCACATAGTTTCACTTGGATGTCTTCGTAATACTTCTGTCGCTGTTGTTACAGTAACTTGACTTGCTCAAAACTGGAGGACATGATTTAAAAACACCCAGCTGAAAATTAATCACTTGATACTCTGCTTAATTGTACCACGTCGCGAAATGTGTTATGACGACAATGATTTGAATACTCCGTTGCCAGTTTTAGTGGTTTGATGATTGTTGTCCATCTTGACTACAATGCACCTCTAGACAACTGATTATTTGAAGATATTCCCCCACACTGAGAAGACGTACAGAAGTTAGATTTAACTGTGATAACAACAACCTTTATTATTCACAATACAGAGATATATCGTTTGAATATCAACAGAAATTTAAACCATAGATAAATAATCACTATCTGATTGACTGCATCAATCATGACTTTCCGGCTAACAAACATAGTTATTATTATTATTCCTTTGGGTTCCCAATGGAACATAGGGCTTCTACAACACAGCTCCACTTTGTTCTATTTTCTGCTGCCCTCTTCAGCATGTCAGCCACACGATTGCCCATAATCTCTCATCTGCTCCCCCAGCTCACACGATCTCTATGCCACCCTCGCACCGACGACCCACTCGTCGCTTCCCATGGGGATCCCACTCTACTGATGGCCTGCACTGAGCGCGATGTCATTCGATGGCCTCCTCAATGGTGTATGCCCGATACACCTCCATTTTCTCCTGCATATTTTGTTAAGCGATAGGCTCTTGCTTGGTTTTTCCACTCCAGAGTTTCTTGTTACTTATTCTTTCTCGCCATTTGATCTTCAGTATGGAGCCAGTGAACGCAGCTGTTGATAAAAGTCTGCAGTGGCCTGTTGGAAATTCTCTTCGTGACATGCTGGCCAAGTTTCTAACCCGTATAGAAGAACTGATTTCACATTTGTGTTGAAAATTTGAATCTTGTTCTAATTAGTCCGTCCTAACATAAATAGACTGTTCTCGTTGTTCAAATTTACTCTAACAGTGGTACTACAGTTCTTAGTATGACTAAAATTTATATGCTCATTTGTAAATGTCATCGTTTCGGAAATAAAAAGTAACGAACTTATTTAGAATTCAGATCATCAGAGAAAAATAAACCAAGAAAGAGTTTGGTAATACACGATTAAATTCAGTGGTTAAGTTTATAAAAATTATGTATGACATGATGAGTGGATGTCAGAGTGACTAAGTAAAGTAACAATTTAGAACTTTACAACACTGGAACAGAATGCATCATGTAACTTTGAGTGAATTGATTTTTAGTGAAGATGACATTATCTCTACTTAAGGATAACTGCTGTTAAATACCTAGATCGCAGCCTATCGCTAGTTTCAGAAGACTACGCCTAACACGACGAATACTATACGCACAGTAACCAACACGCAAAGACAACAGAATTGTTTATTCCTCCCCCGATTACAAAACAGGACGACAAGTTACTGTGTGCAAAGTCTGTGAATAAACGTCAATAAAATGTACAGTGTGCCATGCTTCTTATCGTATTTCTCCGGTCCTCCGACAACCAAACATACGATTAAGCCACTGGTCGCTACCGTTATCTCCCGTTAAATGAAGATCAGTTCGAAGAAACAAAACATTCAGTATTCATCAACACTGACAACTGCCTTTCAAGCATTTCTTTGTAAACTGGAATTTCGACTTTAATGTGAACGTTTTGTCATTCAATTGGGAGAGTTTTAATGAAGGAATAAAATAGTGTAGTCCCTTGGGAGACTTATCACAAGAAAAGGGATAGTTCTGATCACTTTTTGCCTTCCTCGATGGGCACTGTTAGCTGACATAGGATCAGGTTGGAAAAGAGCCAGAGGTGGTCAAACCAAAACATGGCCTCATCAGTCAATCGAAATCTTTGGAAGTTAGGTTAAGCCACGTAGGAAGGTGTAGACTTCCTGGTTGAGTTCCTCGGGATGGTAAAAACCAATGTCTGGAGACAATTGGTGATATGGCTCAAAATCGTTCTCAATGGCTGGTGCAGATGCATCCACTCCTTGTGATGTTTAATATCCAATAAAAATGCATTGTTCTTCCAAGCTACTATTGTTTTTGCCTCACTCACACTTCTGTTTATCATCTGCCTTTTGAATCTCTCTTGACTCTCTCCTCTTGCTTTGTGTGCTACAAGGAGGTAGTATGGTGACTCGAACTGCTGCACATCTGTGCAAAGTTCTACGTTGAAACCAGTCAGTCAGTTGTTCATTTTGTGGCAATTCTCATAGTCTAAATAATGGAAAATTTTTGAGACAAAGTTATTAGTTTGGAGAGTATATGGTAAGGAATAACCCATGTAAATAAATATTTTGCATTTGGTATGCAAAACACAAAGTTGGTAGTTGGGGTTCAAGAATTGAACTTCTAGAGTAGCATATAACCACTAAATTAACAAAAATAAGATAATGTCACTGAATAATGCTCACTTCACACTATTTTGTTTTATGTATTTGAACTGGAATACTTGATTTTCCTGTGTGTTTTCAATGAGACTGTGAAACGCTGTGGATTACGATTGGTGGTTCGATAACTGTTACATTATCCCTAGCCACTGCCTTACTCAGTCAGTAGTGATAGCTGGAAAACAGTTAGCAGTGAGTGGTGAAATCACTAATACATGGTGTCTTTGACTTTTAAATTCAGCTATGTGGTCAAGTGTTGACTGCTTACTTGGGGTTCTTGTGAAGCTGGAAATAAATGTTTGAAGACACTTCATGACATGGCTCAAAATGGTTGTCAGGCAGTGGTGTAGATATATATATATTTCAGATCGTGGCAAATACCCATCAGGACGTTAGAAGGAAAAGAACAAGAAGTTCAGCAGACTGATATCTTCTTTATGGCAATTTCATTCTCAAAAGCGCAGCTGTACAATTACATTTATATACTTAAGTTTACATAGATACAATCATTCCTGTTTAATTCTACATAATAAAGAAGGAGGAGGGGGTTAAAGGTGTGATAATAATTGTCAACTTGAATGCAAAGTTTGAAAGTGTGAATATCGATTACAAGGGGCTTAGAAACAAACTTACTCAAGATTAGATAACAGATTTTGACGGATATAGATAGGCGTGAACTGGATGGGCATGGAAGCAAATTGAAATAATAAAAAATGAAGGGGATAAAACAATGAGACCTAAGGAAACAAACCGAACTAGATCCATGGTAAATGTAGAGGTTGGACTAGTTTCATTTTGAACGCATAGTTTCACTTTTTCGACGCATATGATGAGGAGCTTCTGCAGTACAAAGAAGACAGAAACACACCTCTTCTAGTAGATTTCCGTTTACTTTGTAAATGACTGAATGATGGATGAGTCAGTTGAGATGCTGTGACAGGTGTTGACGAGGCTTTCAGTTATGGCGATTTTGATTGAACCAGTGCCTCCTCCTTGCAGCCATGCTGAGTCATGTTCTCTAACACATTTTAACAGGACCCTCACAGAACGACCTATGTATCTAGCTCTTCACGAGCAACTATTTTCTAGTCCCCTTTTAATCGATATTCGGACCCTTGAACTTTCACATCAAGTTGAAAATTATTATCACACCTGTAATCTTTCCCTTCGTTATTATGTGAAATTAAATATTATTAATAATCATGATTATATCTGTGTAAACTTATGTATATAAATGCGACTGTACAGCTGCGCTTTTGAGAATGAAATCGCCGAAAATATCGAAATCTTTGCTGCTGAATGTCATGTTCACTTCTCTGTAATATTTTAAGTTCATTAAACTCTCATTATTCTTCATATGTGATTTATTTTAACATTTGACAACATATGCGTTTATGCTAATTTCTTTACACTTCTTCGCTTGATAGATGAAATTCAACCAGAAGATTTCATAAAACGTGCGTATAAATTAGTAAGTATGGGTGTGCAGCTCAAGGAAAGATATGAACAGTTGGTTGAATGCATCGACTGTCATCAGCCGGCTATACATCAGATAGACGGAGAGTTGGATACAGTCAGTCAGAATTTAGCCTCAATTGCCAGCAAACTGAATGATCCTGACTGCGATGCTCATCTAGCTGGCACGAGTTTATCAACTACTGGTGCCCTCGTGAAACAGATACTTGGATTAGAAGAGATCGAGGCAGAAATTAGACAAACTGAGGAGAATCTGTGTAAAATAAAGTCTAATCCACTATTCACTACAGATTCCTGTCAGACAGAAGGAATTCGGAAGAGACTGGAGTCAACTGAAGGTGAACTAACCGATATGCAACTTGCTATACATAACAAGCTAAAGCATTTGAGAGAATTCCATTGGAGATTAGATGAATTCACAGAATCTATTAAAACACAACTGGTATGGATGAGAGAACAAGAAGGTGAATTGGAGCGATACACCGTTAGACATAATAACGAATCAAATGAATTGGAGGAAGAACTCAATGACTTTTATATGCTTATTATAAAACTTAATCATTATCAAAGAGATAGTCTAATTCCAATGCTGAATACTTATGATAAACTGACGCATAACAATTTCAATCCAGATGAAGTTGAATTCTGTCAAGATTTACAACTGATTGGACCATTCTATAATGCTGAAGACAATGTGCACTTAGGCAGGACTGTTCATACTACATGGGATAATATAACAAAACAACTGATGCCAAAAGTATTTCATGAATTGGTAAGCTTTCGTTAATAAATACTAATTACATTTCTTAAAATTATGATTATTATTCCCTGAGTTCAGAGTGGAATATACAGATTCAAAAGAACATCACTGTTTTTTCCCTTTTCTCTGACGGCATCTTAAGCTGACTCCACGATTGTCTGTTGGCTCTCATCTCCCCTTCACACAATCTCCTCCATCTAACCCACTGACCCATGCCCAAGTCGTCGTTCTCCATCAACATTTTTTCGCCATATTTTTACTGGTCAATAGGTTCTTGATTGGTTCGCTGACTGCCAGAGTTTCTTGTTGTTAAATCTTTCTGGCCAGTCGGCAGTCCAACTGGTTTTCATTGTATTACCGGGGAAGGTGGCAGCTGTTGATGATTGTTCATTGACCTGTTATAAGTATTTTTCGTCACTCATGAGCCAAGTTCCTGGTATGTATATAAGAGAACGAACTGACTGACTTGCTTAACATTGTCATCGATACTAACTGTTTAAGAAAGCAAAAAATGCGCCGCATTCGTGATAGGAATAGAAACTTGAAGGTTGAACTAATCAAAAATATTTTCATCTTTTGGTATTCTCTAATGACCTTGGGGAGTTGGTTTGTAGGGATTTGATTTGTTTCAAGTTTGACAGCGGGTTCATATCAGTTAGAAAACCATTGGAAAACCAGTTAGGAGTACTGGACAGCTGTTTCGTCCAGCGGGGTTCGAATCTAGGACCTGCAGGTTACAAGGCAAACTCCTAGACCGTCCAACCATTGGGACCAGACTCAATAGCCAGCCCACGAATTCTATCTTCCATCACTTAGCGATTTTAGCACAACTAGCACCAGCCAATGTCATCTTTGGTGAGCATTTGTCTTCACTCCTTATCGGATGGACCGCACTGGTAACGACTTGTCAGTGGAACTCAAGGAAAATTTGTCCTGCGGACAGTCATTAGCCAGCATCAGGTAAGAAAGAAAAATACAGAGGTTTTAGTCGACAAACGAGGTAGCGCTTGACACCTGACAATGTCTGATTAACTAGACATTTTCGAGAAAGGACAAAAATGGGCAGGTCAGCAATGGGTCAGTAGTAAATGATGCATTCATAACACTGGTACAATAGGAAAAAAAATGTTTCCCTCGATATTATGAATTAATTGACAAAAAAGCCAAGTTTCTCCTTCTAAAGAGACTCACTTTAGTCACCGAATATTAAAGTCAAGAGTATTTAGACCTTACATGACGCCTTCTGTGATTATAAGTTTATTTGATTCTTTTGCGTTTCAAGTGGAGCATGAGACTTAAAGCTTCAGCTTTGAATTTTCATAAGCAGTGATGTCATTCTGTTTTACGCCGAATGTGCCCTCTTTATCGGCCTTATCACCACCTAAGCAGTGAGGTTTAGTTATGCATCAGCCGAGGATCCAACTTCAAACCACGTGAGGCGTGGCTGCCGAGTATTCTATCCGTGAACCACCGATGCATTTAGTTGATAAATTATGCGTCATTAATTACTGACAACTGATTTTTACTGTATGTTGCTAATTCGTTTACTTTTTCTTGTGTTTCTTCTACTTCTTCTGCTTTCTGCTATAGATCACTTCATCCTATGAACAGTTTTCAAGGAATTTAGCACCAACCATTATACATCTTTTAGAAATTCAATCGTTGGACTTTCTGCTGCCATCTGAAGTTGGTCATCTACCCAAACCATTTGCTATTGAAGATACTATGAATTTCATATCAGTAAGTGAATTATCCACTGAGATAACTATACATGTATATACATATACATGTCAGAGTGAGACAGTGCCACATGTCAGGCGGTCTTAAACGGAAAGCTCAGTGGAAACAGGAGTTATACAAGGCTGTCTAATACCACCGATGGTATTCCTAGTTGTGGTGGACTGGATTATACAGAAAACTCTGGGGAATGAGAGGACATAAATATGTTGAACCGAGATAACTCTAGAAGATCGGGACTTCGTGAACGACTTGTTTCCAAAGGCACAAAAGCCCGGAGACTTACAGGCGAAGGTCAACAAGTCGGGAGAAGAGTCATGCAGCAAAGTTAGGACTGTAGTTGAACATAGAGACGATGGAAGTGATACAAATAACCAACCAATAAGAGTCACAAATTACTAGCAAATGATCACTTCCTCTATTCATATAGGTAGTAGCTTTTCAACTACAGGCAACAGCAAGGATAAAGAAGTCAAAACCAGTCTGGATCAGAAAGTCAAGGGAGACCTTCATCGCTTTAAAATCAGCATGGAAATCTTCACTCCTGAGCATAAACGACACGATTTGGATTCTCAACAACAATGTTATGTCAGTTAGTTCTTCCGTATGGTTTGGAAACTTGACATGTGCGTCACGAAAAGCATTTCTGATAGGCAACTGCAGACCTTCATCAAAAGGTGCCTGACAGTCTTCTGCATAATCCAGTACACTACAGTTAGTATCCGGGCTTGTTTAACTCTGTTGTGGACCACTTGACATTTGGTATTTTCATACAGCTGTAGGATGAGGTTGATAAGGATTCGAGGCACTGTAATGCTTAGTGTTGGAGTAGTTTCTAAATTACCTCATGGTGAACTCTGTCAAAGGGTGTCAAAGGAGTTTGGAAACTCCCACTTGTTGGATAATAACGTTGTAAGCAGGTTTGAGCACACAAATTTCGTATCATAAGGACCTCAATTTGTCAATCAAGTAGGCTATATCATCTGGTTGATGTGGTGATGAGTTGTTATTCGATAAACAGACACCACAATGACTCTTCTGTTTATCTAGGGAATTTCAGAAAGTACAGATGAACTTTAATGGAAAGAGGATTCTTCACCTTTCCTAGGTTTTCTGTGATTATCAGCTTTCGTTAAACACAGTCTTCTTATATGAATATGTTTTTCTCCTTCTTTTCCTACAGGATCAAATTAACAATATACAAGGCGAAATGAACTGGTTACGTAGACATCTTGGACCAATTATCCTCTCTGAGGATAGGTGTCATCTCTTTGCAAGTAGAGACAATAACGACAGTGATATTAACAATAATAATAACAATGCAGAAATTGTAGTGTTTGATGAAACTGTCAGGGGACTGGCTCAACTGGTTAACTACTGTATGACTATTTATCAAAATCTACAGTTGGAATGTTTGCCAGCCGTACAAACCTATCATGACACTGTGAATTATGCAGCATGCTATTTGAAGACTGTTCAACGTCAAATAGATGTGTTATTAGTACCGTTGGCCGAAGAAAATAACAGTAGACAGACAATTGTCAGCAGTCGAGATGTCAATGAAGAGTTTACTTTAGTCATTTATGAAAAACTGGAGACTCTTCGAACTGGTAAAGACCAGTGTTTGGTAAGTTTGTAAATGTGGATCCGATAGCTGTTTGATTGAAGTCAGTTTGATTGGAAATTTTATCTCAAGCTGTTGATTACCTCTTTACATTTAAAAAATCTCTTGCTTATCGTCGAAATGGTGAGACTTCTTTGTATCACTTTATAACCTGTCGCTGTTGTCTACCTTCGTCTACAATCTGGAATGGAAGTTGGTATAGAAGCAGCTTTTGTCTTTTGAGAAGTGGCCACTCGATGATTAACGTCTCCATCTTATCACTGGCATCTATTGGTCACTTATAAGTAAGAAAGGGGAGGAGGAATGTCCTGAATTTCACCTTTCTTCAGTTGAAGAAATGGAGTTGTCTGCAGCTTGAAGAATATCTCTGTAAAAATGGGAAACATTCATTTCTTGATACGTATTAATAAAAGCAACAAATCGTTTTAATATAAAGCAGAATTTAATGAATTCATCGAATTTCGGTAGAACACCTCCTCAGCTGATGAATACTCTACATACAAGGAGAGACATAAAATTAAGATAAAATGCATTAAGGTTCGATTACACCTATTAAGTGAAAAATTAGTTATCAGTGAGTGAAAGAACCTGAGTATTTATCAAGAATTGTGAACTAGATAATATTGGTAATAATAGTAGTGCGGTGCGTCGGTGGCACGCAGGTGGTCCTGGGTTCGATCCCCGGCCACAGACGCACTCCTTTACCTCACTAAGCCAGTCATAAGACTGGTAAAGAGGCAAAGTTAGGCATGAGGCTAGCAACCCCATTCCGTAAAAATAATTACCACTGCTACGAAAACTTCAAGCCTCTATCTTGAAGCCCAATGTTCCATTGGGAACGTAAATAATAAAAAAAAGTAGTGCTGATAATAGTAACAATAAAAGTAATGAAAATAATGTACTACATTCTACCACAGTGTCCAAGTTCTACACTCACAATAGGGTTAAAACGCATTGGGATAATGCAACAGATAAAAGACAGTTTTAAATGAATGAGGAATAGTAATAATAAGAGATAGAATAAAGTGTTAATGATATTAATAATAATAGCAGTTGATAAGTAAAACATATTGGCATGGTAGATTCAGAGTGACGACCATTTTCTTTCGTACACACAGAGATACCTGGTTCATAAACTCTAATCGCAAAAACCTCCACAATCTCCTTGTTTGTCTGTCTGCTGACAACAGTGTGAGTGACTTGAGAGAGCATCAATATCATGTCCTTAGTCCACAAGATGCTTTGTTATTGAACATTAAGGCACTCTGACTCCAGCTGTTTTCAACCAATTTAGTAAATGATCCACCCTGAGACGAGTAGACAATCACCTTTCTGTACAACTTATGTATTTGCTTACACAAACACACTAATCAACCTGATAAACGCATTGTGAAGTGTCGAGGATTGGCAACTAGTCGTTCCCAGATTGCTGAAGCACCCACTTGGTGGTGGTGGTGTTTAGGAAGATGAGTTTTGCAGCACAATAAGTTTTCTTGATAGCTTTATGGAGTGTTCGTTTGTACATAATTTTCTTTGAATGGCACATTTAAAGATGCACGGATTTCTTTAGAATTGTTTGAATAGTTTTACTGAGGCTCATTTCTTTAAGGTATTCTGAGATAAGATATGCTTCAGAGTCTTGTACTGTTAGTTAAATAAATGTCTTAGTGATGAATTCATTAAATCCTGCCTCATTAACTTTTAGTGTTCTTTTTAAATAACTCTGTAGTTGTATAAAAACACAGATACAACTTCTTAAATGAATCTGACTGAGAGAAAAACAAATAAACTCGAAAACATTAAGCATATAAGTAGCCTTATGCCAATGCTCACTAGCAACTGGCCCTATGCAGGTAGGTAGTTACCTGGAGTTTAGTGGGAAGCCGTGACCAGTAGGGTACAGCAGGTTGAAGATGGGGCAGTAACTTATCGAAGAAGACATTGCGGAATGGTCGCGCTATGTTATGAATTAGCAGAAGTTAGAATTCAAGGACCATTGAATTGGGTCCCAGTGGCCCACTGGTCTACGAGCTCGGCTTGTAACCGGGAGGTCCTGGTTTCGAAACCCGATAGGTGCATACTGCTGAACAGTCCCAAACTAGGATGAAATAGCTGTCCGGTACTCCCAAGTTTTCCATTTGTTCTCTAACTAATGTCAGCTCATGATGAAATCCTCCATGCAATTATACCAAAACAGCAGTTAAACAGTAAAGATGAGTTGTTCACTATAGAGTAATCAATATCATTGAGAGAACTACTGAAAACCATCAGTGAGTACTTGAGAGCCATTTCTCTGTTATTTGGGACTCATCGTCAGTACCATCACCCACCATCAAGCGGGGGGTGGGGTTGGTTCGAACGCAAAACTTCCTGTTTACAAGTCAAGTTCGTAGACTATTCAGACACTGGTAACTAACTTATGAAGAATGGTTCGACCTTTGACACTAGCCAGTTTTCCCAAACAACTTTTGTATTTCTAGACTAAATTATTATCTCTTCTGTTTCCTCTGCTCTATTTTTATCTATTTTGTCATTTGTACGATTAGCAACTTTTGAACACTGTTCAAAATAATCATCGAAATATTGTTGATAAGCTGAATAATTCAATAAAACAATTTCAATATTCAATTCACAAACTGCCTATGGCGAAACAAGATTCTTCGACAGCAACTACAACAACCCCAGCATTATATGATATTGAAAATATGCTGAAGTCAGTTAATTCTGTTGAATTAATCTCTGAAAATTTCATGGATTTTATAAAAGAATTAACGAATATGATTGATCAATATGATGAAGTCATCACTAGTCTTAATCAGACTAATGATGAGAAGGCAATTTCAGCGTTATCCTTGGATAGAAATGTATTCGATTCTCTGGAGGAATACACTCAGGAGTCGAAATCGCTACAGGTCAGTTGTGAACCTTTGTCAGTATACACATTGTCTCTTTATTGTTTGACTTCATGTGGAATAAATCTGGGCATAATTACTAAATGTTGGTTTTCGGGGATTTTATTAAAAGTTGACATCAATTAGAGACACAATTGGAAAACCACCAATGGAGTACTAAACAACCGTTTCATCCTAGTTTTCAGGACTCTTCATCAGTACGCGCCCAGTGTTTGGGAGTCCACCACCTAGTCAGATCAGTTACGCGACTATAATGTTGGCTAGAGGCTGTGACATATACTTTGCGAAATACCAAAAGTTAAGATTCATGAGTCACTGGAACAGGTCACAGTGGCTGAACGGTTTATGAGCTTGAATTGCAACAGGAAGGTCCTCGGTTCGAACCCCGCCGGTGGGTGCCGGGTGAAATTTTATTTTGAAGCTACACGATCTTTTATAGTTCAGATTTGTTGACATTAGGTAGTTGAAGGCAATCGGCGTGATACGGGCCCGAACCTCAGGAAAGACATGGGTTCCATCAAGGTTGCAGATACGCCTTGTCGAAGAGTGCCATACAGCATGAAACCTGAGTCAAACAATGCTTTCTGACGACCAACTCCACCCATCTAATATCGATAATTCAAAAGCGTATCGTGATGGCGAGTGACCTAACATGGCTACCACATTGCAAAGTTGACTGATTGAATTTAGTCTGTAGCGACAACAAGGACTACACAAATGACACCAAGTATTAGTGTCCAATCATAGATATGATTTTTAAGAAGTTATATTTCATGAGAAAATCTTTGCAAAAGTTGTCAATACTACTAATAATAATTATGTGAATAACGATGAAATACCTTTGATTATAGTTAAAATTAAAAATGAGTTATGGGATCATGAGTTTTGAAAAGTCCGAATTTTGGGACGAAACGGCTGTTCAGTACCCCCTGTTTTTCGGTGATCTGTAGTCAGTGCTACCTTGTGACAAAATCTACATTGAAACAAATGTATTAATTCATTGGAATTAGGAATCTTACGAAGGATGAGACCAGTAGATGAATGGAACAGTATGTAATAAGGTTAGAAGTTTGGTAAAGTAGAATTTAACATTGAAAAATAAGGTGAATAAGTAGGTGACTAAGTTTAAATCTAAAAGTAAGAATAAGGACTGCGATATTTCAGCATAAACAGGTTGAAGTCATGAAGGAAGGAGTTGTTGAACAAGCCTCCTCCGTATACCTAGCTCTGCTTTCGCTTCAACAATAAACATGAGCAGTTCATTTTTTGCCTAATAGATAACAACTCAAAAGAAAGAGGTTGTGGGGATACGATGACCAGATGTTCAATAATGGCGCTACCAACAGCTGCATATTAATCCATTCGTGAGCACTCAGGGTCGTCCTCTTGTACTGTCTTATACAGACCTTGTGTCGAATGATATATATATATATCGCTTTAAAGAAGCAGGTGAACTGATGTTCTTTGACGAATCATTTATTTTCTTTGAGGACTTAAATGTTTATGCAGTACACTCACATTGAATAATTTATTATTATTATTCATTATTTCCTTTAGTTCCTAGAGGAACAAAGGGCTTCAGCCATGCGTCTCCATTGCGTTCGGTTCTCTGTTTGAGTTTTCACCTGGCTCCAAGTCTGCCCATACGCTTTCAATTCTTCTTCACATGATCTCCTCCAGATCACCCTTGGACGACCAACTCGTCGCTTCCCATTCAGTCGGGTTCCACTCGAGCAATGGTTTGTCTAGTGATGTCACTTGCTGGTTTCCTCAGAGTGTGGCCAATCCATCTCCATTTCTTCCTGCCTATTTGTTTCACAGTCGGTTCCTGGTTGGTTCGCTCCCAGAGATCTTTGTTGCTGATCTCTGGGAGAATAATAGGCCTTGGTAACAAAGTCGAGGCTATTTAAATGTCAGACGGCTACTTCTCCGGTTTGGGGCCAATCAGATGAGCAGTGTACCTTATTTGACTCCGTTCAAACAGTTGATTCAGATCAAACTATCCCACCTCTTCTGATGACCTGGAGGTTAATCTATCCTGTAAACTATAGGTTATGCAGATTAATTCCTTACAGATTAAGCCAGCAATAATTAGGAGTGATTAGTATTTGTATTTAAGCATCAATGATATACGGAAATACAATTTTCTTGACCCTTCACCAATCGATATAGGTTTATTCTCCTGAAGTTTACACATTATCGTTGACTATATTGGTAAACCTTTCATTATAATGTCAGTGAGAGAAACGTCGAAAATGTGTACTGGACAGCTGTCTCATCCTAGTTTGGGACTCATCGGCAGAACTCACACCCAACAACGGGGTTTGAACCCACGATTTTTCGGCCAGAAGTCAAGCTCGTAGACCACTCAGCAACTAGGACCCGACTTGATGGCCATCCAATGAATTGTAACTTCTACCAATTTGTGATCAATTAAAATTAATCTGATATTCGCTAGTGACTGGCTACAGAACAAAGTTACTTGAAGTTCTAGTGGGAATTCGTGACCAGTGGGGTCCAAGAGTGAGGACAAATACTCGCCGTCTTTGGCATTGGCTGGTGTCAGTAGGGCTAAAATCATGAATTTGAAGAAGAAGGGTCTCAGTGGCTGAATGGTCTGCTAGCTTGACTTCGTGGCTTGAGATCGTGGGTTGGAACCCGTTGGTGGTTGTGCGTACTGCCGATAAGTTCCAAACTAGGACCATAGAAACAGCTGTCCAGTAATCCTTGCTGGTTTTCAATGCTTCTCTAACTGATATCAATCCTTGGGCAAACTTGAAACAAATCAAATCCCTACAAACTAAATCTTGATTATTTTAGAATATTTCCAGTTGGCAGTAGATAAAGTTATTTTTTAATTGTCAGTAAACATCAGGTGGACAGGGTATATCCGCCTCCATGTACGCCCTTTCTAATGTTGATACAAAGTAGTACAGATAACGTTTATTTACAGTTAGGATCTATGCATGTTACAATAAGAGATGTGACCTGAATTTGTAAATAATGATGTGATCACTTAAGATTTGTAATTAACATTTTCATTTTTGTATATGTCAACAGTCTGGTGACTGGTTGTCGTGTATACATCACACTAACATGCAACAACTAGTAATCACTGATAAAGTAGGCTTAGACCTGTTCAGTCTCCTGTTCGATCTACAACTCACATGTTCAGTGATTTGGACAACCAGTTTACAAGAAACAACACACTTCACATATTAAACGAACGAAGAATGAGTGAATGGTTTTTCAGTTAACTGGTTATAAAGTCATAGCAGAAAGACATTGAAAGAAACTACTGGAATTCCCTATTTCCACTCTCTACACACTTCTCTTCCTAGAACACATCAGTTAACAGACGGCGGTTTGAGCAGAATAAGATGGTAGCGTCGGTTATTTCATCGACTTCTCATCATCCATCTGCTTACAGCCTAAAGAAATTATTAAGTTTGTATGCTGAACAATTTTAATAAACTTGTGAATGTCACACTGTCAATTAGTGACAGCAGACTCCAAATTGAACTAAAATGTTCAGAAATTATACTTATATATTTCCATTCTCAGAAAATTCAACTTTAAACAAACAAATAAATAAATACTTGGGTACAATTGGAAAATTTACTCAATAAAGGCACTAGGTGCAGAAGACGATGAGTAACAATTCCATTAGTTCATCTCAAACCATAAAACAAGATACAAGCAGATTCAGAGAGTATAAAAGGAAGAAGGGGTTACAGCCAAAGATTATGTATCCAAATGAAACAGAGAATAAAGACATTCGGTTACCAGGACAAAGAAGGACTGATAACTGCTTCTTTCTGAAGACATAAATTGGGTTTCAAGAATTTGATAGCGATTCCTTCGGCTGACGCAGTTGAGGAAAATTAACTATTATTTCTGTTGAGAATTTTAAAGCGTTTCTTAATGTCTACCTCATGGCTCCCCTGTCGACTAGTTGTCTAGCCACGGCACTATTGTAATGTTTATAAGATCTAAATTAATTTGACCAAATCAAGTATATGGCGGTTATATATATATATATATTGCTGATGGATATGAGTAGTATGATTGGAATCCACTCATATCAGTTAGTAGTGTCTGTGAAATTTGCAATTTTCGATTGCTTAATTCACCTCACTTTTGATATAATTTATTCTCAAACCTAATGCTATTCATTAAGTTTGAATTTAACTCTGTATAAATGAAATGTCTTGATATAAACTGTCACAAGCGTAAAGTTAGTTATATTTGATTTGTCTTTCTGTTGTTTTTTTTAATTTCAGAATTCTACTTTACCCCAAGACATCATTGATTGTATTAGTGAATTTGACAAGAATTATGAAAGACTACTTAATTCATGGTCAATACTTCCTTCAAGCTTGAATCGATTCAACGAAGAGCATATGGAGGATGAGACAACAGTTGTTGGAAATGGCAGTTTACTTCCTCTGATTGTTAGTCAACAGCACGATAAAGTTGAGAATAACGATTACGGTGTCAGCCACATCAGTGATGGAGTACAGGTCATGTATAGATGGTTCGAGGAATTAGATCACCTTGAAGGTTAGTGATATATATATATATATATATATGAACAATACATATAAACGGACAATATCGCTGTTTTCAATTAGATCATCTTCAGGCTTTATTCTAATTTAACCAATGATGATGAGTTTGTGCTTCAAATAATAATAATTATTATTATTATAATGTGTTAAATGTTTTGAACGTTAGTAATAACGATGATTGTAATGATAACAAAATAATGATAATAAAGCTTATGCACGTGGTGATATGTAGACAATTCAATAAATAAATTAAATTAGGTCAAATCTTAAAAGTTGCGTATTACTAAAGTTGGAGTGGGTAGAGATAATCAGAGTTTAAATAAATATTACAAAAGTACGAAGGAAATAGAAAATAAGGAAGGGTGGGAGGGTTTTGATTAGAATTTACTTCGGCCAGAGGATAGACAACGGAAAAACAAGCTCCTATTTTTGCAAAGGCTAAGATTGTCATCTCGAATTCCCATAACTTCGGCCAAATGTAAAACGCAAGTTCAAATTCCGTTTGAAAATCTCGATAGAATGCCATAAATAACTTTGAAGACAATACTTCTGTCCACTTGATGACCACTACCATGAATCAAATGAGTCCAAGCAAAACTTCTTACAGATTTTATTTGGCCTATTCCGAAACATGAAGGAAAATGCTCATTAGTGCTTTTGTTTATATGTCTAGTTGTTCGCCCTATATTATTATATATTATATTAGTGTTACGTAACCTTTAAGATTTGACCTAATTATTTATTTTTTTAACTTGTCTACATAACACACACCTTTGTCATTCTTATCACCACATGCATAAACTTTATTTTATTATCATTATTTTGTTATCATGATAATTCATCGTTATTACTGATGTTCAAAACATTTAACACATTATCATTATTATTTAAGCGCAAACTCACCGTCATTGGTTAAATTAGAATAAAGCCTGAAGACGATCTAATTGAAAACAGCAATATTGTTCGTGTATATGTATCGTTCTAATATGAATAAGAGGAATATTTAAAGATATATATACATATACAAATGGATGTTTTGCCTATATATATCATGAGTGAACCCGTTTGAATGACCCGAAGCGGTTAGAGTTTGCTAATATGCTATCCTGAACTAAATCATCTAGGCTGAAATAATTACTCATTTAAATGAAATGGGTAGTGTGCCAGATCATTTAGCGTCCATCTTGCGATGACGTATCAGCACCCATTATTTCTATAGGGAACATTAGGGCAGCTGACCTTTACTCAACATGTAGTCAAGAGACTCTTTATCCAAATAACATCTCTGATATTACTCAAGTATTTTGCTTTGGCGACTGATGTTAAATGTCATGCTTCCTTTTATGTTAGCAAAAAGCGTTCGACAGGCTATCAATGCTTGTGGATATCTTTTAAAGTTATTATTTTGGCTTCTGTGATAACTGAGTGGTGTAAAACATACAACTGTGCTACATCTGAACAACTGGTATATAATCAATGAAGTAAATTAACTGTTTTTATTAGATGGTTGTAGGCTGTAGACAGGGAGTCATGCATGACCTAAGTTTCTTAATTGTTGGCACTCACCAGTCAGCAAGGCGTATCTGTATTTTTGAAAGAACCCATTTCCCCTCTGAGATTCGAACACGTGTCATCAAGTGTTTCAGTCAGACACGTTACCACTTAGCTATTCGGACTGGCGATTGACTTCATGTGGGACTTATTGTTCTCTTGGGTTCCCAGTGGAACATACTACTTCACTCTAATTTATTCTCATCAGTCCACTTTAGCTAGGCTCACGATCGCCCATACTGTCTCGCCTCCTCCTCAATCGATTTCATCTACGTCACTATCGGACACACACCCGACTCGTTGTTTTCCATTCGCGTTCATCTCAAGTGACAGCCTGGCGTGCGATGTCACCCAACGGTCTCCTTAGTATGTGCCCAATCCATCTCCACTTTCTTCTGTAAATTAGTTGAACAGTCGGATTTTGATTGGTTTGTTCCTAGAGTTTATTGTTGTTAATTGTTTGGCCAGCCGGTCATTTGATCTTCAATATGGAGCGAAGACAGTTGCTTATGAGTCTGTAACTTGTTGGAAATGCTTTTCTTGATACACACGTCTAGTTTATGACCGAAATAGAAGTGAATGACCTAACATTTGTGTTGAAAATCCGAATTCTGTTGTTATTGTTTCTGAGTGCAGAAGACTTACAAACTGATTTCAGACTTATGGAGGTGTATCTTGACTTACCCATTCTGGCTGCCTTTTATGTCTTCGTCTTTTGCGGTCTTAGTAGAAACGATGCTGCCTAGGCAAGTGAAGGGAGTGACCTTCTTGGAATCTCTTCTGTTGATGGTGATTGGCGCTGTTTGTTGTTGCCATTAGTCGGTTATCTTCATCACCCCAGTCTTCTCTACTTTCACCTGGAGTCCTATCTTAGCTGCTTCTTCAGCTAGTTTTGGTGGTTTTCGCCTGCAGTTCTTGGAGTTTGCCTGACATTAGAAAAAAATCGCCCGTGAAATTCAGGTCTTGTACAGTCTTCTTATCAATCAGACTTATCCATGTAATCTCACTCCCTGGGAGCAGTCTGACGCATAATCCAGTCCACCACAGTTAGGAATATCATCGTAGGTGATAACAGGCAGTTTTCTCTTACCCTTATCTTCACTTCAAACGCCTAGCTGAGTTTTCTGTTGTGCATCACTTGACATGTACCATTGTCACATAGCTGTTGTAGTGTGTATTTCTGTCATCTCGCCTCCCGCAGGACTGTGATAAATACTTCGATTGAACACTAGGCAGTAAGTAACTAGTGTCATGCGTCTAGTTCTTGGTGTTGGTACAGACTGGATTCTATCAGTCAGTGAAGTTTGGAATGTGGCTAACGTGCTAAGTGGCTCTTCATTTCTGTACACTCTGAATTGTTGTTATTCGATGGTTGAAGGTAGTCAGCAGATAGACAGATAGATAGATGGATAGATAGACAGACTGAGTCTCTGTCTGTCTGTTTTCAACAAAGAACTTTGCACCAATGTGCAGCAGTTCTAGTTGGCATACTCCATGTAGCACACAAAGCAAGAGAAGAAAGTAGAAGGAATGCATAATAGAGAAAGTAGACAGGAATATGAGATTAGTAATAACGAATAACAATATAGTTCGATTGGGTATTATAAGTCATAAGGAGTGGATGCATCTGCACTAGCCATTGGTTTTTACTATCCAGAGGATCCCAACCAGGAAGTCTACACCTTCCTACGTGACTGAGTGAATGAATTTTGATGTTACTCTATTTAATGGAATGTAAAATGTCAAAGTACTATAAGTACTTGCAATAGAATGGGTGTGGTGCATTCTTTATCCAAATGAGTCTTTGTCCACACTGTTATCTATACATCATTCTACATGATGCATTGCAATACATTGAAGTTCGCTTTATGTGTTTATTAAATATAATATATGTATATATATGCACTTTTAATCGAAGAAATCATGATAATGAGTAGTGCATATATGTAACTCAAACACTATTTAGGGTCAAGTAAATGTACGTCATTGTTTTCAATTATTTATATTAAAGAGGTATTGCAACATTCCGACAAAGATATGTGCATATATAAAAACGGGATACACATAAAGTCGAAATGAGGAGACATGTGATACAGGTGGATACACCCATTTTTTGTTTCTTCTGAAACGTTTTATTGTTGTTGTTGTTGTTAGTTCTATTGAGTAATTTGGGCAAATATCTCACATATTGATTGAACACTGTGAAAGGACTTTTATTTTCTTAAAGTCTGTTAAATAAGTATTCGATTTGTACTGGTTATTCCATATTTATTTGTTTCGTAGACATATCGCACACAAACACAGAGAGTGAAGCAGTATTACTGTTTACTGGATGACAAGGTTTCGAATACAATTTATTGTGGTTCATAATCATATCATCAGTTGTAACTACACTACTTAGAAACTTTCGAAGGTAGAGACAGTTCAATTCCCTGATGAACTGGGAGCTCCCAGTGTTAGACTGTAGCACAAAACGTGAAGAAGATTGGAAGATGAACATCCATGTGTTTACAGAAAACGCACACCTTCAAAGTGATATTTAGATTTCGAATCATCCATCCCTATGTCAGTTAAAATAGGATTGGTGAAATGTTTAAGTGATAGGACACAAAAACGAAGTAGTATCAGGGAAAATCTAAGACAGGAAGTGAAGCATATAAGAGAAGCTTGAAACTTAATAATTAGCATGATAAATTAATCAGGGAGTATGTAGGTTGCTATAAAAATAAATAATAATGGCAGTAGTACTGGTAATAGTAATGACGACATGCATGTCAGACATGCACAGAATAATGACAACACCAACAATAAGGAATTTAAATCATCAGTAGTACTTCCATACAAAGAAGGAACCTCGGAAACCTTACGGAGAATTTTTAACAATGTATGAATCAAAGTGGCATTCAAACGACCAACGAACTCAATTAGAAACAAGCTTTGTCGGTTAAAGGATTCTATGGAACAACACATTAAAAAAACCAATTTAGTTCATCTAATACCCTGCCTTCAATGACTGTCAGGTCAAAGTAGTAGAAAAGGGTCAGTCAGACTAGCGGAGCGCAAAACTTAGGAAAATCTAGATTAGTTGACCCTAATAAGATAAAAAATCTGGCGAATAGTTCAGCCGTATATAGCACGACATGCAATTACACACAACCACACAAATACCAGGAGATAAGGTGACATTTCTAAAATCTAATATAACAACGGGCTGGAGAGAGAGACTGGTAACAACGGTAGCTTTATCTTATTGAATCAAGTGAAGGGAATACGTGTAATAGGAAAGAATCAACACCTGTCCATTAGACCACCTGGAAAATTCTACTACTCCTTCAATGACGAATAGGAAAGAATAAAGAAAACTATAAAACGGAAGTTTCGAAGATGTATAGTTATAACTGATATGAACGACAATAAATTGTGTTCGAAACGTCATCCAGTAAATGGTAATATTGTTTCACTGTGTGATATATCTAATAAATAAATGAATACCTATGGAATTGCATGCCACCAAAGTTCCCAAGTTTTACATATAAATATATATATATATATTAATGGCACTGATTTTGTTTGCTGATGTTTGATGCGGAGGGGGGCGGTAAGTGTTTCTATGCAGACGCTTGAAATAACTTTGGATTTAGGTTAAATGGATCGAACATTTTAGCAGTTCTTGTAGTTGGTCACAACTACGAAGAGAAAGCTACAATAACAGCTGTCTGTAAAGAAAGAGGTTTACTGTAGACAGAAATCTACAAAATCTTCCCTCCGAACCACTGACGAACACATCTCACTTATGTCTTTAAACAGAATCACATTTTACAGGTGCTTCTAGGCTCCTTAATGTTTATATGCTGGCTTACATGTTCTTGTGGAATGAATGCCTTCATCCCAGACGCGACATGAAGTCTGTAAGTACTTATTGAAATATTTGTCGTATAGATTAGTCAGATGATTGGTTTTCGTGAAATAGTTCATCAAAGATAATACTATCAATTCTGATTATTTTTCAAGAAGGTTATCATCACGAAAAGCATTTCCAAAGGGTGGATGCACACTTTCATCAACAGCTGACTCAAATGACTCCATAGTGAAGATAAGATGGGGTGTCGACCGACCAGAAAGAATCGGAAACAAAGAACTCGGAGAACGAACCGATCAAGAAGCGACTGCTCAGTAGATATTCCGAAGAAAATGGAGATGGATAGGATGCATGCTGAGGAGACCGCTGGGTAACATCATTCGCCAGATCCTCACTCGAGTATAACCTGAATGCGGAACGACTTGTTGAGCGTGAGTTCGGGGTTGACATGGAGGAGACAGTGTGAGAAGGAGGAGACGAGAGCTTATGAGAAATTGTAGGGACAACTAAAGGGGACTGCATTGGATATACTCTTGAAGCTCTATGTTTCACTCGGAATCCAAGGGAACAATAGTAGTTATCATTATTTTGAATTTCCTGTCGTCTGAATAACATCCTGTTAACCTCAAGACATCTTTAAAGTGTCCGTACTGGGAGCCGCTGACATGCCAACATGGTGACCAAGCGATTTAGTTCAGAATAATTAACCAACGAGAAATTCATAACAATGATACTTTCAGTAAATGACAGCTGATGCCTGTTGGATAGCCTGTGGCTCTGATACTTTGGCTACCTAGTAGTTATAACCTTTTAAATTATGGGTACTGAGTTCGAGTTTCATTAGGAATACGATCAATCGCTGAGAGTGCAGGTATATCCATCCAGATGACGAGTGCTAAGTAGTACGAAATACAAAGCGTTAGAATGCTCACCACTCAGGTGGTCCTGGGTTCGATTTTCGGCAGACAAACTCCTGTACCTCCCTAATCCAGTGATAAGACTGGTAAAGATAAAGGTTGGGAATAACGTTAGCAACCCTATCCCTTAAAAATAAACACCTCTGCTACGGAAGTTCAAGCCTCTAACTTGGAGCCCTATGTTTCAGTGGGGACGTAAAGGAATAAAAAAAATTAACCACTGTCAAGCAAATAACATCACATCATTTATTAGGCTTTAACCATTCTCATTTGTTTTTGTCAAAAGTTAAGTGAACTGTTTATTTTTCTTGCAATGTAATAAATTTATTTTTAAAACTGTTTGTTTTAGACAACCTAAAATCTTCATGTGGTGATGTTCTTCATGACAATGAACTATTTATTAGTAGAATAAATAAAATCAATAAATTACGTGATGATATCAAAGAAAGATTTACTGTGAGATTGGCAGTATCTGAACAATTCTGTTTTAACCATCGACTTGATAAGGTTCTCGTGGAATTTCATCAATTAAAAGTAAGCGCTAAACCATTTAGTTTTCCTTTGCAAAGGGAAAAATTACAGTTTATTATCTTTTTGTGCTTTTTATGAATTTCCTTATCTTATGTGAGTAGATTGTAGAATGCTTGCCAGCACAAAAGGGGAGATTCCGTTTTGATTTCCGGCTGTTAACGTACTCATATATATACATCTCTCCTTAGTTTACCAGCCTTTTAGTCAACCCGATAAAAGTGGGATGTTTTGGGTGTGAGACTAGCAAATTTACCCAGTGGAAAAAATAAGACCGCTTGGAGTTTTATGTTCCACTTGAAATGCAAAGAAAATGAGGAAGTATTATGCTTGTGAAGCACACTTAAAAAAATGCCTTCCTGTACTTGGCATTGCTTTGAGAAAGAGAGGATGGGAGACGACCGTGTAACTGAATTGCATATGACCTCTCAGACGCCTACTGAAGGAGTCGTATTCCATCGACAAATGCTAGGAATTATTAAAAAGATGGTTAAAAGAAGCTGTACATTTGTGTATATTTATGGTGTAAATGGATGGGAAATTTCCAGAACTACTTCCCATCATGCGTCAAATAAATAAAATAACAAAGTGTAATAAACAGGAAGATTGGATAGAATACAAACATAGTAAGATTATAATTACCGAAAAACTTGATGGTTTATGCTACTAGGGATTAAAAACGTAGTAATAGCAAAATGGCCAGGAAGTTCGGATAAAAAATAGTAATGCAGATTGGAATTTTTAAAAAATAGGACGGTTGGAAGGGAAAGGTAAAAGGATAATCATTATTGATAGGACTGACTTTTCATGGTGGTCATGGTAAGGACAACGGTTGGATGTATTTCTTTTGAACACATAGCTTTGAGTGCTTGAAATTTTGATCGCTAATGCCTCAGCTATACCCAGATTTAATTTGACCAGAAATAGTTCTGGGACTTCCCCCCCCATTTATTCCAAATACACGAATGTGCAGATATCTAGTTAATGACTTCGTCGAAAAGAAAATTTTCTTCACTGCAACCATCTTGAATCGAGTTGCAGTGGCTTATTGGTCTCTGAACTCGACTTTTAACCAGAAGGTTCTGGGTTCTAATGATGGTGATGAGTCACAAACTAGACTGACGAAACAACTGTCCAGTACTGGTTCTCCAATGGTTCTCTAACCAATATCAACTCATGATGAAATTTTGTCACCAATCAAATCCCTGCAAACCAACACTTGGACGTCTTTTTAATAATTCCTGTGATTGACAGATACTAAAACAATGTAATTATTCTTCATCCAATGGTACAATGTCATAGATGACCGCCTCTGAACCATCTTGAAATGTTATAGAATTTCACTACTTAACATAATTTAAGCTTTCTTGTCAGTCTGATTTCCTATTCCCATAAATACATTCAAGGAAATGTTTCCTTTATATAGAGGAATGCGCATTAAAGCTGCGTAAGTTTAAGGCATTTCTGATTTTCATACACAGAATGTAAGCAGAGTTTTCAAAGGAAGCCTCTAGTTTTTAATGTGGGTACTTTTATCTCACTTGTATAGTTAGTTAGTTAGTTACCATAGTTAACAGAAATGGCAGATCATTTGGGTGGAGATCGGAGGTTTTGAAAGAAGAAGGTTAAGGGCGAAAATAGTTTTCTAAGTGTGTAAAGAATTAGCAGTAGTGAATACACTTCGCTTGTTTTCCTCCATTTTAATGGTGGTATGGTGGTTTTTAGTATCTGGAACACATGTATCTGTTATAGATTCCCCTCCTACTGAATATTTAGGATTGTTTTAGCCTATCATGTGACTGCACATCACTAAAAAACCTGAGCCTTTCTTTAGCGTTGTGAATTTAGTTAAATTCCAAAGTAGTCCCACAAATTAACTGACTAACATTGAAATAGGCGTAGGGAGGCTTATTTATGCCATCTACATCCAACACATGCAGCAGAAGAGATGCAGAGGGGTAGAATGTCACAGCCTTTGAAATCAAACTGTAGAGATCTAAGTAATTGGCTTAAGTACTCAACTTTAATTCAGTGGATTCCGAGTTCAGAACTCGCTCCATCTACTTCAGTCTGAGCAACTAGCTAGTATCATTAGCTGTCATATAATATCTATGGCGCTTAGCTTGACTCTAATTAGAAAACAGTGAAAGTATAAGAAACGTCTGTTTTGTGTTGTGCATGAGCACACTGATCTGACTGTGGACGACAAAACTGTGCTTGAAATCAGGAGACGTAAACATTCAGATGAGTATTTACCATACAGAGTAACTTTCTACTGCTGAAAAGAACTTTATATCCACCTAAAGGAACCATTTCTTGGAATAGTGGGGATTTCAGTGAATTCAACTGGAATTTTCTCATGAACTGAAATTCTATACACACATATATTCACCGCAGGATGTTGAAAGGCTGAATTACAATATAACTGATTAAGCAAGGTACCATTCATATCATGAGACCTAATGATCCTGTGTTCGATCATCCAGCGAGATACGCATATGAGTTGTTGATGACTTCTCAACAGTGCTCAAGGTGTAAAACTACATACTACTGATTTATTCAAGTGAGTAGTTGCATACAGCTCATACCAACCATCAGTGCTTGTTAGCCAGCCGATGTCCGTTTCGTTCGTTTAGGGCCGAGCTCATCAGTGGTGTACCCGGTTTGGCTCAGCTGAGAGAGCCGAATCAATAAAGAGATATCTGCAGCGAAGAAAATTTTCTTTTCGACTAGAGGAACATTGAATTCATGGCCAGCGGAGTCGACCAGATGGGGAGTGAAGAAAAATACTTGAGGATCACATAGGCTAGTCACGATTTGGTAGAAGTCAGAATTCATGGTCTGATCTTTTAGTCAGGTCCCCAGTGGGCGAGTGGTCTACGAACTTGCATAATAACTTGAAGGTCCTAGGTTCAATTGACAATGTGTGTGCGTGCTGATGAGGAGTTCCAGACCAGGACAAAATATCTGCCCAGTACTCCCAGTTGTCGCTTTATAGTGTTTTTCTAACTGATACCAACCCATGATCAAACTTGATATAAAGATTAATAATAATAAGGAAAATAAAGAGACAACTTTGAGGTTTTACATATACTTCCTCTTATTTTCTCATCTCTCCAATGTTAAATTATGCTGTTTGTATTAAATGATTCAATATTATAATATTAGAAACTGCTTTTATTTACCTGCTTTATTTTCATTTATAGAAAACATTTAAACAATCTGCCTTGTCATTACTTCAAGATATTGGTGTGTCTGAGAATGAAACATACATCACATCGAATATATTTCGCATATGTGTTCAATCATTAAGAAATAAACTATCTGAAACTAAAGTAAGTAGAATTCAGTATTCAATGACTTTTGTGTTTACCTCCTGTTTTATGCATTTCTCTTTAGCTGTCCTCGACGGTTTCACATAAGCTCTCGTCTCCTCCTAATCACACTGACTCTTCCATGTCAACCTTAGATCTACGCTCAACTCGTCATTCTGCATTCAGGTTACACTCGAGTGATGGTCTGCCGTATGATGTCATCCAGTGATCCTCTCAGCGTGTATCCTGTCCATTTCTATTTTCTTCAGAATATCTGTTGAGCAATCGGTTCTTGATCGGTTCGTTCTCCGAATTCTTTGTATATGATTCTTTCTGGCTACCCGACACGTCATTTTAGGCACGTGTTGATGAAAGTGTGCATCCACGCGTTGTAAATGTGACGCGTTAGCCAAGCCTCTGACCTATATAGGCGAAATCACTGGCTTCACATTGGTGCAAGAAATCTAAATTTTTTTCTTTATGCTGCTAGATGCAGAAAATTCAAGCATCAATTTCATATTGATGAAGGTCTGCCTTTCTTTTTCGATCCAAACTGGTTTTTACATCTTCATCAGTGTCATGTGAGCATAGGTGAAACGGTGGTGCCTGGATAAGTGAAGGAAGTGACCTTTTTCAAATTTCTCCGGTTGATGGTGATTGGTGATTATTGTTCACGTTGTTGCTGGTGGTGGTGGTTGGTTATCTTTATCACCTTCATCTTCCCTATGCTCACTTGAAGTCCTCTCTTTGCCACCAGCTTCTTCTGCCAACTTGTTAATTCTTCTAATTCATGTGAAATTAGACATAAATCTATCCAGAAGTCTAGATCTTTTAGAATCTTCTTATCAGTTCATCGTATTCCTGTTTGTTAAACAATTCATTTTACTTCCATTATGTAAGGAAGGAGTTAATGTTGAGATGAAGTTAATAATATAGCGATGATTATGATTATATTGATGAATATATTCCAGTTAGGTAGCCTTTTCATCTGTTTTATCCATTAGTTTTTAAGTTTACTAACTGATAGTGTATTGTCTATTGAAGTAACATTATTGAACTGAAATTCTCAGTCTCTTTTGACAACATGCCAACTGCTAATATGCACGTTTCGGTAGTGTCTTGAGAGGAATATTTGGTTGATGGTACCGTCTAGCAGTAGAATTCTCTATGTGAATTTCCCCCAGCCTATTTAGGACTCATCAGTTGGATGTAACAGCATCCTGAGTAAGTGAGGGTGTTCATGCTGAAATTCCATCTCAGTATTCATCGTTTCAAGTACTGAAGTGCTATCTGCCAACGAGTGAGGCTTGAGTCTTGGATTCCATTTCAAGCCTCCAAAACATGACATAAAGTGACAGTGTATTATTAATCACTATTCAGAAGGAAGAAGTCAAATCTTAACGTTCTTGAGTCACAAATAGTGAGTAGTAGTAGTAGTAGCAAGACACAGAATAAAGCTCTTGTCAGAAGTGTACCGTACTGATTTGAAAGTGTGCTCCATTTTAAAACTGTATCAGCATTCTGAGCTTAGTAGACATTTTCTCTCTTCAATAGACACGTTCATATTCCATTTTTCTCTTCCTTCACTAAACAACCTGCTTTAAAAAAATTACTCCAGCCCATTCTTGAGGATGAGAAGCAATGGGATAAAAAATCTGATCATCTAACCTTAAATATACGAAACGCATATGTATATAAACACTACACTTATTCTGTATCAGTGTAAATGTAATTCAAGTTGAACCTAACCAACATGTACTATTAATCGTGTTTTATGACATATACATCATTTCAAATAACTTCTTGCAATTGTATTCCCGTTATCGCCATTACCATCAATGTGGGCTTGTGCTTTGTACGATGTTGAATAAACAGTATAGAACTGAGGCATTCAGTATTAAAAATAATTGTCGAGATGTGGTGTGAATAAATTATCCATTGAAATTGCTGCAAATATGTTTATACTACTGCTAAGTAGCTAAACAAAAATCATCAAAAATAAAAAGAATGAATTTAATGAATATGGGTGCGGACGTTTGTCGCTCACCCACTGCCTACACCATGGAAGTTGGATTTTTTGAGTTACCTGAAATGAAAAGAGAATTAATGTTGCATGAGCTTAGGGGGCAACTGCTTGAGGTCGTTCACACATGGCCTGTTTGAAACGGATTCTGTGTCTGTTTTATGGTGGTACTGGCGTATGGAAAGTCAATCTTTTCTAACTCCCCATCTCACCGGTGGAGAAGCAGCATAGCTGACTTGTTAGTCATCTGAGAGAATCATTTTTCTGTTGTTACATCCCTGTTCCCTAACAGTATGACTTTGCCCACACACCACAAGTATGAAGTAAAACATTTGGGTGACTGCTTTTAATCTAATCAACATTTTAAGGACGTTTCTGTCATGACAGGAGTTGTAGGAACACTACTTTCGGCCGGTGTAGCTCGTTGGGCCATTGCAGTGTGAATAACTTACGGGGAATAATTTGGATCTGAGATTTTCTTAGTATTCATCTAGGTCAAACAGTATCCTATTACCTTTTTCAGGTCAATTTTAATTGTCTAGTTGATTAATTGGACCGGAATACTCGCTCCTGGAAGTGACTTTCGTGGTTCAGCTGATCTAGTGGATAACGTTCTGGCATCTAAAATGACGGTTTCTGAGTTCAAGTCTCAGTCGAAAGGCCATCACTGATTAGGGGGAAGGCTGCGAGTACATCCCCCCGACGAATCCCAAATAGGGGGGAGGGGAATGCCTACCACGTATTCCATTTATGTTCACTATCCCCTATATTAATAAATATTATGTTCTAGTTTAGAAGTAATATGAAGTCTTATTTGTCAGGAAATGCTTTTTATTATATGGAACGTTTTCTGTGAATCTGTCTCCACGATATGAAAGTATACAAAAACAGAATTTTGTACCATTAACAACATCATCATCTTGAGTCTTCTGTTTGATTCTTTCTCACAAATCTGCATTACAGGCTCAATTTACTGAAAAGCAACAACTAGATATGTTTTTTTCAACAATGCTTAATAATATATGGAAGATTAAATATCATATTGTTCGTATGTCTTCTATGAGTTATATTACGAAATATATATTGTCCGAATAACGCTTTCCCGCTTTACTGAATGCCTTCTTTCTTTCGATTTTATAGGGATTAATCGGTAGACTTCAAGATTTAGCTGATGAAACTAATTCAGTTGATTTCGGAATAAATGATTTTCCGTCTGAAATTGAAGAAGACTTTGAGAATAAATCTACGCAAGATTTGATGAAACTGCCTTATGATTCTAAAAAGCTTTGTATACCAAGTATTTCAGTGCCTCTATGGCATGGACAAGTTAAAATTAATGAAGTGATTGTAAACTTTTTGGAACATATTCAAAATCATCATGAACGTTTACTACTTGCCTATGAGCTGGCTGCACGTCTTTCAACATGGATATCGGTAAGACGGCTATTGATTTTTGTTTTATTTTATTCTGGATGATACTTTGTATATATTTTGGACAGACGCCGATTCATTCACAGGTAGATTCAGTCGATTGGTGTAAACAATCATGTTCTGGTTAGGGAAACTTTTCCAGGTACAATGATGTCTATGGTTGGTTAAAAAAACAAAATGGTAGTCTGAAAAGTAGGGAACCCTATAGACCAGTGTTGATCTTACTTATCGGTTCACAGTGCCGCAATTTTGTGGTGACTAGTAGTGGCAGCCACAAAGCGAGTATCGCCTCATTTTGGTACATCCAGTTGACTATTCTCTCACTATATGAAATATTCATCCTGAATTCCAGGGCTAGCTACTATTAAGCAAGTAAATTCCAGTTAGTCATCCTGATAATATGAAGGCATCTGTTTAAGAAGCTCGTATGTCAAAATGAGGATCATTAAATCCGTGGGGATATATCAATGGGAAATCACTACAATAAATAGACAGTTCCTTAGGCCATGAGCGAGTATTTGTCCTCCCACTCGATCTGCTATATCCTGCTGGTCACGACTTCCCACTAGAACCCCTGTCTGAATAGACCCAGTCACTAGTAAGTATGCTATTGATATTCAAGCATTCATTTGTAGGGATTTGATTGGTTGGTCACAGGATTTCATCATTAGCTGACATTAGTTAGAGAACCACTGGAAAATCAGTCCTGAAGTACTGGACAGCTGCTTCGGACTCGGGTTGTAGTAACTTGGTGGTTTATGAGTTCATCTTTTAACCGGAAAGTCCTGGGTGCGAATCCCGGTGGATGTGTAGTGATGATGAACCTGAAACTATGACGAGGCAGCTGTCTGGTACTCCACCTCTGGTTTTACAGTTGTTCTCTAACTGACGTCAGCTGATGATGAAATGCTATAACCAGTCAAATCCTTACTCACTATCGACTGGTCCAGTTAAGGTAGATAGTAACTTGGGTTCCAGTGGGAAGTCGTGATCAGTAGGGTATAGCCGGTCGGCTGTGACGATAAATTCCTTAAGTGTACTAGAAGTAAAAATAAATTCGTTGGTAAGAGAGAAGGTAATTATAATTTCCAGAATCTGTGGCGTAAACAACAGTTCTTATCCTTGTTTTACCAACAGTAGAACTACTGCAAAACGGAAGTATACCACAAAGTTATTCTACCTTAGGTGTGTTGAATGTTTTATGACACTCACTATAGCTAGAATTTCTTATCTTTCAACTTCAGCCTAGATAATGAGTGATGAAGTTAAATTATCGTCGCCAAAGTCAAGGTCTGTCAGAGGTTGACCTCCAGAAACCAATCAGATTTAGAGAACACTATGAATGGTCATTCCAAAAAGAAAAAAATCCGTTCGTGAGGCTAGATACAGGATTCTAATTATTCACTAGGTACTCTATTCTGTTAAGCTTTGGGATTAGAGTTAAGGTTAAAGAGCAGACTCAAGAATACCAACGGGTCCCAAAGTACCATGATCCACAGTCACTTGGATGAATACAATTATCGCATGTGATATGATTTCTCTATGGATTATTCTTGGAGGAAATGACAGACATCCTTACAACATTTAGTATCACATTTGGAATGTAATTCACTACATAATATCGATGATTACCATGCTGTTTGAATCTAAGTTTTGATTGGTTGTATAAGATCACTTTGATTCTGGCTATGATACTTTAACTTCGCTTGACGAATATATTTCGATGATAAATAGAACAGTATTACATGCAAGAAACTCAATGTCTAATCTGAGATATGCAAACGCTACTATTATCTCAGTCGTGTAGACAGCTAACTTCATGGTAATAGCCGATTCTCGAGTGACTATTCACTGACGAAAGTCTATACAACTAGAAAATTTCATATTCAGATTTATAAATCAGTGTTAACTGATATAGGATTGCGTTGCAAAAAAGAGAGTTAGGGTCTGGTTAAACCAAAACTTGAATTTCCTCCAAAAGAAATTCGGGACGATAATCGAATGATTATGAAAACCGCAGGCAGAGTGACAGTGAGTCGATGGCACAGAGGCAGAATGCTCGCCAACCACGCATCACGTGGTCCAGGGTTCGATCCCTGGCCGACGCACTACATAACCTCGCTAGGCCAGTAATAAGACTGTTAAAGAGGAAAGGTTAGGCATTAGGCTAGCAACCCCATGCCGTAAAAATAAACACCGCTGCTACTTAAACTTGAAGCCTCTCGCTTGAAGCCCTATTTTCCACTGGGAACGTAAAGGAATAACAAAAAACGTAGGGTAACGTGTAAAATCCGAAGACACCGGATTTGTCTGAAATACGGTATTATGTTAAACATAAAATATGTAATATAATTTACAAAACACAATTGTGAGGTGTCTGTGGCTGAATGACGTCAAAATGCGCATTCAGTGTGAATCAGTAAGGAAAAACAGCAGAGCTGAGTCAAAAGCGATCAACCTGTTATTCGAACAGCGCGCGAATGCCAGACACAGAATAAAGGGATACGGATAAAGAGTGTTCAACTGTAAAGGGTACACGAATAAAGCTTTATCTATACTTTTGAAATATGACAGTTTGAACTGCTATAAATTTTACTAAAACATTCTATGCTGGGAATTCAGTTGGTGAGTCATACGTATATGAGAGACGAATTACTAATCATCATCTATCATGGTATCATGGATTCCTGCGGTAATCTCACTTTTAGGAAATCTATAAACATCCATTTCCCTTTAAGCTTTAATTTCTTCATGTACTGAAATCACCATTACTGACAAAAGACAATATCTTAGATACAATTTATTTGCTTAAACTCGGTTGCGTAGAACAGATCACGCCACATAAAGCTATATACTATTGATTGGGATTGACTGAGATGAGTAGTTCTGTACCACTTATATCAACCAGCAGTGTTTACTGGCTAGCCAGATCGAGGTGATCTAAATGCCAGACTGCTGTTTCACTCGTTTGGAGCCGAGTTCATCTGTCAGCGCTGTATCTGATTTGATTCAGCTCAGCGAAAGAGCTGGATCAATTCAAACCACTCAAAATTCTGGCTAGCTACTTGGATGAACTGACGTTTGATATTCAACTACTCAATTCAGTTGTTCAGTAGTATATAGTTTTATGCAAAAATATATGCTTGCTTTCTTGATTACCATTTACGACGTTATTAAGCAGATCATACATTGTGCGTGATCTGGACAATTTTCGTTTCCAAATGAAACTGCATGATGAATATCTTACTACTCAAACTGTATCCATTGCGAATTGCTAACTAATTTGAAAATTGTGAGTTTCATTTATGGATCTTAGTACTTTGAGAGCCACATTGATTACCTGAGAGTTGATCATTCTACCCAGCTGTCCAGATTGTAGTAGGTGGAGGAGAAATCCGTCCTGGAACGAGTTGGATACAAGTCAAATACTAAAGTAATTGAGCCACATTTGCACAAAATTTAATTAGTGTTGGTTTGCCATGGAGTTAAGAGAGTGTTCGACGTCTTATTTGGAATTGTATCTTTCTGTTTGCCAGTGGATGATGCTGTCCCAACTGGGACTCGAACCTAGACTCATTTCTTATATGCATTGTTTTTCTTTCAATATTTGTAGATAATGCATCCTAGAGTGGATAAACTAAAAATCAGACTACAACAATGCAGTATAAAGCCGGTAAATGAAGTTCCCATTGAAGACTTGAATTCACATTTGCATAACATAACAGTAAGTTGAATTAATGACTTGTAAATGTACGCCATTCTTTTATCAATGAAGTTAGAGAGAAACAGATAGAGAGAGATATCCTGCATAATTATTGAACAATCGATTCGCCTGTTTCTACTGATTCATTATCTTTGAGGATGTTTTTTTCTTTTAAAATTCGGTTAGTATTTTGCCTTTCTTGTATTGAAGGCTAATTTATCCCAGGAAGTGTTAGTTGTTCTCACTCTATGTTGGCGGAATTTAGTCGAAATCGAAATATTAGGGTGGTGAGGAGTGGTGTCAGCTTCAAACATTTGGCATTTCGATGAAGCCTATCCTGGTCTGTAGCTGAAGGTAAAAGTTTCCTCGAAAACCACTCCAAACGGACTATATGTGATTGGACTAAGTAATAATGATGATTATAGTCACTTTATTATACGCAGTGGAATTTTCAGCGTTTGTTTTTATATATAATGCAGCAACTTATCTCCTTTTATCAATTTGTTCACACATGAAATATCTTCAAATGAAACCTGTGCTAAATAAATACGGTGTGTTTGAATTTTTTACATTTAGCCGTAAGAGCATAAATTCTTATGAGATACAATACGAAAGCTGAAAATAAGGGGGATGTTTGATATCGGACAAGATAACTTTAGCTAACTGTTTGCAAGATTTAAAATCCCTATTAACAACAATGTCAGTTAGTTGACTCAGAGACACACATGCACACACACAACTAACCCTACTTGCTTAAAGCTTTCAATGTTCTTTCTTGAGGAGCCCAGAGAAGAATAAGGGGGAATAATAAAGAAGAATGGGTAGAATACATGGATTGATAAAGTGCAAGAGTTGCAAGGGTTAAGTTACGCTGGAAGGTTCCAACATCTCTATGTAATAAGTCAAAAAACGAAAACATTTTTGAGAAATCCACAAGATATGAGACGACTAACAGTGATTCGAAGAGAAAATTATGCTTAAATAGGTAATATTAGTTTTATTAGATTTCTACCACGGTGTCGTCGATATCACTAGGAAATCAAAACAAGTGATTCAGCGAAGACACTTTTTTCAACAGCGAATTTAGTATCAAGCTGTATAATTGTATATATATTTGGGTACTTTTTTAAGAAATTATATCCGGTGAGGCAATTGAATCATAGTTGTGAATACATTAAATAATAATAATATTAGTATGAAATGCAATTAAAATTAGAATATTTGTGATTATAATCATAGTTAAATATCAGGTGCGGAGTGGTTAAACAATTAATTTCACATATAGAATAATTCATAAGAAGTATGGATGCTGGAAGAGGGTGCAAAACTACTGGAATAGTAGGCAAATAGAATAAAAATAAAAGAGTTAAGTAACATTGTGTGAAATTTGATAACATAGAATTTAACATTGCAAAACAGAATTGATTGAGAATAACCAGTGGAACCAGTGAAATAGTACCGGGGTCAATTCAAAGTGAGAATACTGATGGTGACAACTGACGTAATAAAGGAAGAGTATACAAATTGAATAGAAAAAATGAGTAGAGCCAAAATGTGACTAGAGATACTATATTTTAGCACAGAGGGATTAAGACCATGAAATTTAGGGGTGGATAGGTGTTGAACGAACGTTTTCTTTCTATACAGATCTGGCTTTTCTGTTTCGATGGCCAAAAATGGCTTCAGCAATACAGATGGGTCAGGTACGCAGGGATTTGGGTAAATTACTTTTTGCCACGTAGATGACTGTAAAGGCGAAGGCTGTAGAGAGATAGGATGATCATTATCGACCAGATGTTCAGTGATCGCGCTTCTCATCGCTGCACTTCCACCTCTTCGTAACTACCATGCAGTATAGTTTTCTTGCACCCTGGGTAGAATACATGGATTGATAAATTGCAAGAGTTGCAAGGGTTAAGTTATGCTGGAAGGTTCCAACATCTCTATGTAATAAGTCAAAAAACGAAAAAGTTTCTGAGAAATCCACAAGATATGAGACGACTAACAGTGATTCGAAGAGAGAATGATGCTAAAATCAAAACAAGTGATTCAGTGAAGAGACTTTTTTCAACGAATTTATTATCAAGATGTACAACCGTATATATATGGTTTTTTAAAGAAATTATATCCGTTGAGGGAATTGAATCATAGGTGTGTATGCATAAAATAATAATGATAGTACGAAATGCAATTAAAATTAAAATGTTTGTGATTATAATTGTAGTTAAATGTCAAGTGGCAAAACAAAGTGATGTCAAATATAGAATAATTCATAGGATGGAGAGAACTTAAAAAGGATGTGCAATTGTAGGAGTAGTAGATAAATCGAATAAAATAAAAACGTTAGGTAATATTGTGTGAAACTTGATAGGATAGAATTCAACGTTGTATGACAGAATTGATTTGGAATGACAAGTGGAACAACTGGAATAATACCGGGAACAATTCAATGTGAGAATAATAATAAGGAAGAGAATACAAATTGAATAGATACAATGAAAAATGAAAAATATGATTGGGGATTACCATACTTTAGCATGGAGGGATTAAGACCATGAGAATTCGAGGGGTTGAACGAGCCTTTTCTGAATACCAAGATCTGGCTTTTCTGCTTCAATAGCCATTGATGGATTCAGCCATACGAACGAGTTTGGTACGTAGTGATTTGGGCAAATTACTTTTCGCCTCGTAGATGACTGTAAAGCCGAAGGCTGAAGAGAGATGGGATGATCATTATCGACCAGATGTTCAATGAATGCGCTTCTTAATGCTCCACTTGCACCGCTTCGTAACTACCACGCAGGATAGTGTTCTTGCACCCTCTTGGACAAAATTCGAGTCAAACGACCGATATACCTACCTACACACAAGCAGATGAATTGATAAATGCATGCAGAGTTGGTCGAAGTTGATATCACAAGAATCATGCTACTTAATCGGTCCCTTAGGCTCTACTCTTATGCAATACTAATTCTCTCTCCATTTTAACTTATTTCATCTCATGAAAGGAAATACTTCACAAAACATTATCACTATCATTATTATTATTATAATAATGCAACAAGAGAAAATTAAAATTTTAAAAATTCTCTTTGTTACCATAGCTATTCCGTCTTGAAAGCTGTTCTCAAATGTTAATTATTCAATGCATAGTCAAAGATGGCGATGAATTCAAAAATGTTATTCTCCATCTGAATGAAGATTATAAATGGGAGGATAAAACAGATGGCCTTCAGTTGGAATTTCTTTCATTATCATCTGGTAACAGATGCACCAAAGAGGAGTCTGATGTTATTCCATCAATTGTACGCTTTGTAAATCAAAACATGGAGACTATAATGAATGATTTTGTCGTCAGTTTCGATCAATCATCTATCCTTCTTGTAAGTCAATTGTTATACATTTATATATAAATATATGTCTGAAATATTCATTGTCAAATTTCCATATAAATGTGTGTGTGTTTTATGCGACTATCTGTGAATTAAGAGTAGAGACATTCTACTGAGTTATAAGTTTGAACTCAGTTTTGATATCATAATAGTTTTACCTCATATCTAACCACATTACTACTGGTTGATTTGACTGTTGCACAACTACTCATTTCAATTAATCAGTAGTATATAGTTTTACTCGAATTATACTTAATTTATTGGTCATTATTTATGGTATCAAGCAGATCAACAAAAATCCATTTTTGCAATTAATAGTGTTCTCTCAGCGCCATATTTAGCACAAAATGAAATGATTTAAATTTCTTCATGAGTGATATAATTGCGTCTCCTGGTAACTATCTTTACATATGTATTGACCATTTTCTATTGACTTGGATTTTAAACTTTCTGGTCACCTGATTTACTTTTTATTAGTTGGTATATCTCATCTATATTAACGTGTTTGTTAATTGCATTTTCGCTCGAGGTGGTGAAGATGTTGTCCAGAAGGACGACGAAAGCTCCGCAACTAAACCAGCCAGCTCAGAGAACACTATTAATTGCAAATCATCCACCTGAGCTACAAATCTTCTCTATTATTTTAAAAATCTATTTTGAATAATTAATAGTGTATTATTTATTAACTATGTACACTGGTAGTTCAATGGTACAGTCTTTACCAACCATGCCTCACGTGGTCCGGAGATTGATCCCCAGCCAATACACTCTTAAACTACGCCACTTAGATGGTATTAAGGCTGATAAGGGAAGGTTAGGTCCAAGGCTAGCAACCTCATCCCATAAGGATAAATCGTCATTACCACTGAAGTTTCAAAGCTGAAAGCTTTAAGCCTTATGTTACTCTTTTGGAATGCAAATGTCGGGTATGACATTGGCTAGTTCAAGTCTCTCTATATCTTCAATTAGCAGAAGTTGGAATTCACGGACTGTCCATTAAATGGCATTCTATTGTCTGAACGGTCTACGGCCTCGCTTTGTAACCGGAAGGTCCTGGGTTCGAACCCCATTAGTGTACCGCTGTAGATTCCCAAACTAGGCTGACGGAACAACTATCCAGTTCTCTCAGATTTTCCAATGGTTCTCTAACCGATATCAACTTATTATGATGAAATTCTGTAACTAATCAAATCTTTGAAAACCAACAAACACCGAAGGAATCCATGTAAGGACTAAATACTATTGACTTTAGCATTCAATAGCTGTAGTGAGTATATTCAGGGGGGGGGAAATAAACTTCCCCAAGATGCAAGTCGGATAAAGCAAGCACGCAGACACACACACATGCAAAGTATCGGGGAAAACATTTATATCCTAACGTGCCACTGTTATGAATGCATGGTTTGTGTTGCAAAGGAGTGTTAGTGTTGTTACTGGTTGTCGTCTAACCTGACTAGAATAAGCCTCCAGTCACTACACTGTAGCCAACTGATCGCTTGGAAAATATTCCGAACACTCAGCTAGACACAGAAGTCAAATTTATCTGCGACAACTACTTTATTGTCTACAATAGAGAGTAAATTATTCTTTACACATTAACGGAAATTCACGTCATAAAGAATCAATATCTAATTGATTGCATCACTTATGACTTTACGGTTAACAGTGATAATTACAGTCTGTCCTGACACTTTATTAATTATGTACTGGTTCAGAAAGTGTACAAACTCTTTTCTGCCAGTTGCCTCGTCACATAAAACCAGTGCTAAATGCAGTATGTTTGAATTTTATATTTTTTTTGTGAGGGCCTGAATTTCTATGAAATTTCTTCCGGTTTTATATGTTCAAACCAAGTTCGCTTTTAACAGTTTTGGAAAAATTTGGGCATTGGGTGTGTGATATTCGTTATAATAAAGGTTTTCTTGTATTTCCCAATGAATGGAAAGCAAAACGGTACTGTTGGGCTCACTGAGGTTTCGCTATTTAATGCTGCTAGTAGCTTTATCAAAGTAGTTATATTAAACCTGAGTTTACAAAAGCTCAGCTTATATATAACAACTTAGTCCTCGTTCCTCAGCGTGAGGTCATTTCGCGTTGTTGAATTGGCCAATTGTTAAAGATAGCAAAACCACGTATAGATTGCTGGATTTAATAAGTGCATAGAATTACAGAAGCAGCGTGTGTTTACATAATGAAATTGCTTATCACATTCGTGTTGATTTTGTCATTTCATGGGGGAGGGAGTTGGGTGTTGTAACTAAGTCAAATTCCGTTTTACTCCATCATTACTACTCAGACAACGTGGATTTCATTTGATATGAAGTGCTTCTGGTGATTTTGGATGTTATTTGTGATTTCTGAAATTTTTCTGGATGATGATTTCAATAGTGTCAAAATCAATTTTGTGGCCTGATTCTACAGCGCGGCGTGTAGACCTATAACTGATGATTTATCAAGCTCTTGTAGTTCACCTGGATTCCTCAGTGGTCGAATAGATGCTCTACGGTGTTCATTTCTTCTGATTCTGATTTCTCTCTGGTGATGTTTGTCCGATGTATATAGCGTCACATTCTAAGGTTTTTATTTTACAGACACAATTAGGCAGCCAATCTTGAGGGTTTTGGTCTTTTATATGGACAAGGTTGTTTAGCAGTGTGCTTGTCTGATGTTTTGAAGAAAAATCTGATGTCGGGCTTATTGAATACTCTTCTGATATCTATAGTTAAACGTCTCTGCTCTATATGGAATGACAACTGTTGAGGTCCATGTTTTCGACCATACTTAATGTCAGTGTTGATTTTCTTGACGAAGTTCTTTGGGTAGTTGTTTTGCTTGAGAGTCTCAGTTTTCCTTGAGAGATACAAGGAAAAGGCTGTGAATAAAGAGAATGCTCGATATCAGACAAGATGACTTTAGAATTAAAATGCCTATCAACAACAACAACAACAATTAGTTAGTTAGTTTGGTTACAGGCACACACACAGACACACTGATCTTGCTTGGAGACTTCAGTTTTCCACGTAGTACTTATAACATCGGTTTTTTAGAAAGGTCCAGGGGCTTTTACACTCCCAGGGTTTTCTGCATTTTTAAACAGAAAAGATTTTTATTTCAGAACTGTGTACTTTATGCCTAAATCTGCTGCAACAGCATGACTTTATAAGTGTACCCTATCATCAAAATCGCACACACCTGTTCATCCGTAATAATCTGGAATCATATATCAGTGATTAATTTTACATTGGTGAAATATTCAGTCAGCATGATCTTCTGTGATATTAAAGTGTGAGATCCTTATTTGCTTTGTCCAATCTGGAAATTCACTTTCACAAAGAATCAGGGAACAAAAGGACCAGCTGATTTGATAAATATCTGTGACAAATAGTCAGTGATTCATGATGTTATTCCATGCTTTTCCTGAACCTGTTAAAAGAAGCAACATCAGATTAATTCATAATGTACAATACATGGGGATGAATGCTCTATACATATGAATTCATGTATCGCTATCACTTTTATTATTATTATTCTTAAGAAGAAGATCTTGATTTCGAGGATGATTTATATAATCTAATGTCACACAAATTTGGAGACGTGGAAGCGAAAACTAACAAACTAACAGAAGAAGCACAAAAGACAAGAGAACTTCAGGTGAACAGAGAGAAGATGGAGGTGGTGAAGATAACCAACCAACTAACAATAACAATCACCAATCACTATCAATGGGAGAAGTTTGAAAGAGATTGCTTCCTTCGCTTATCTCACCAAGCAGCATCGTTTCAATTACAGGTGGCAGCATGGATGTGGATGTCCAAACCAGCCTGATCTGGAAAGGCAAGACAGACCTTCATCAGTCTGAAATCAATGTGCGAATCTTCTGCACTCCTCCGCATCAAGAAAAAACTTGGATTTTCAACAGTGGTGTCAAGTCAGTCAGTTATTCTATGGGGATCATGCATCACGAAAAGCATTTCCAACGGGCCACTGAAGACGTTCATCAATGGCTGCCTTCGTTTGCTCCATAATGAAAATCAGATGGGTGGCAACAAGAGACTCTGGAAACGAACGGATCAAGAAGTTATTACTCAACAAATAATCGAATGAAAATGGAGATCAATCAATGGAGATCAAATGGAGGTAACATGCTGAGCAGAATGTCGCATGACACTACGCAGCAGGCCTCTGAGTGCTTGTCTTCGAAGGTGACATGAAGGTGATCGTGTGAGGATGAGATGAAAACTTATGGGATGTGAAGAACCGGAGAAAGTGAAGATGTTCTGGTGAAGGTCTATGTTCCATTTAGAACCCTAGGGAATAACTATAATTACTGTTTCGCTAAAGACATAGTTTATTAGCTTATTTATTGGGCTTCCTGTTAATATGTTCCTCATTTGAATCTCCCTCCACTTCCTTCGCCCTGAAAGGCAACTAAACTGTAGTAGTACTAGAATTCTTACATTACTATTGGTTTATATCCTGGTATACGCAAAATCTCTTCAGAGTACTAATTCTGACAAATACTAAACACATTCAAGCAGTAATCTTAAATCTTTACATTTAGGCGGTTCTTTAATTTGGAATAGATGATGATCATGTTAGTCTTCTTTAAGAGTTAGATACTTATTATTTTGGCTTCATTTACTCACATAGTTAATCTCATGCTCTTGTCTTATGTGTACATATATATTCCAGGAAGCTACTAGAAGTCGGCTTATTGAAACTGGACAAATTCAAACACTACTGAATGACTTTTCAAGTATACTTAATGAATCGTCGATTTGTTCTGCAAAAATATTGAACCATTGCCAGAGTGAAGATGAGAATGACAATGTTGGTCAGCAGGCGGAAGAGAAGGAGTTATGTATCAGTGATGAGCAACACGACCTGGTTAGTTTATCACCAAACCTTCCACTAAACCATTCAGGAAAAATGGAACACTTGGAGGTATGTTTAAATTACACATACACTGTATCCGTGTTTTGATTCAGATTTTCCTTCATGTTTTTCTATCAGCAATATGTCCATCAGCAAGAAATAAGGAATCAACTTATTCTAAGCTGGCATACTGAATGAGGCACTGAGTAGTTTATTCCATGATGTAACACCGTTTTGAAGTAACCAGTTTGTATACCAATTATCCCCACTAATACAACTCTGGAGGCAGTTAGGAAAATGAAATGAACATTGATTCTGAACTCAAAAGTAGGACTAAGCTCTCGGTTGATGAAATAATATTAGGTGTTCAGTTATGTCTCGCCTCTATTGTATTTGAATTTCAAAATACAATATATAAACAAACGAATGAGGGTGGCAGTGGGATGAATCACCAACATTCCCAACAGTAACAGGCATATATGATGAACAGTTGGGAACATAAAGCTTTCAGAACGTTTACTCCTCCTCCATCTAGGTTACAGTGGGGATATGTGGATGACACACACATTCACTGTGTTGAAATCTAAACACATCCTTCAGTTCTTCTTCACACACATACATACAAACTCAATAGTAGACGGAATTCAATGCACTTCTGAGTGAGAAAGCGAATAAGGTGAATGGGTCATGCTAAAATGTAGAATAAAACGAAGAAAAGTTGATGGGTTAGGTACCAGTGTAGCATTTATAGGATTCCGACAAACACTCTAATAGATACTTAGATTTCAATGCATCCTATCCAGAATCAGTAAAGGAAGAGAGGATTAGTTAAATTTCTATCAATTTATATGATCGGTCCAGTAGCCTAACTAACAAGTAGGTCAGAAGATTTGAATAATGAAATGAAACAAATGAGGCGAATATTACTAGTGAATAACACAATAGCCAACAGAAATTATTCAGAAATATATGAAGAACCACAAAGAAAAGTAAGATTAGAGATGGAAATGACCGAAATAAAGAAGAAAATTATATGGAATTCAAATCTCCTGTTGTACTGACACATAAACAAGAAGCGTCAGAGGCTTTAAGTAGGATTCTCAACGAGGCTGGAATTAGTCGAGATGGCATAATTGATATAAGTATAAAACTTGGGCACTGTGGTAGAATGTAACTCCATTATGGATAAGATTTTATTTTGATAAATCGCACAGTAACTTGATATGATTATGAGCAATAATTTGTGCTCGAAACGTCATCAGTTAATATTACTGTGTGACACTGTGTGATTTATCAAAATAAAATCTTATCCATAATAGTCGGGATGGCATTGAAATCAACCAATCAACCAACTCTCTCGGCAATAAACTTTGTCGGTTTAAGGAGCCAATAGATCTAATTAAGAAAACTAATATATGATTTATCAAATAATATGTAATAACTATGAGGTGAATAACATAGGTCAGTCAGTTAGACTATTAGAACATAAAAATTTAGCTAAACTTAGAATGGTTGACCCGGCTAAGTTAAATAATCTAGAAAAAAAGCTCAGCCATTGCAGTGAATTCACTTTCATTTTTTTTATTCCTTCAGGTTCCCAGTGGTAAATACGGCTTCAAGCGAGAGTCTTGAAGTTTCTGTAGAAGTGTTTATTTTTACAGGATTGGGTTGTTACCCTCATGCCCAACTTTTCCTGTTTATCAGCTTTATTACTGGCTTAGCGAGATAAAGGAGTGAGTTGGCCGGGGATCGAACCCCGGACCACGTGCATAGTCGGCGAGCGTCCTAACCTCTGTGCCACCGACGCATTCGCTTGCATGTAATTACACAATAGGGTGGGTGGGGCAGGGTGAAAGCAATAAAAGTAATATAGTTAGTTGGAGAGACACTGAGAGACGTTAATCACGGAATCTTTATTCATCGGTTCAATGATGCACACGTGCAATCGAAATGACTCAACGCCCATACTGGAGATATGGAAAGTAGTAACTAACAACAAGGCGAAAAGGGAGAGAGAGGAAGAGAGAAAACAGATATATAAGTCAAATTGTGAAACTGTCTGACTAAATTGACATGATTATTTACAGTTATAGTGTATGCTCCAATCCTTGTCGTCCACTTGTTGATACTGCATCATCACTGTGTGATATTTAAAATAAACTTATCTAATATGGAATTACATTCTACCACAGTACCCAAGTTCTACACTTACATTACTAGTAAAATAATTTGTGCGGTTGAATGAGGAAAATGGTATAATACCGCCCAAGACGAAGTAGTCGAAATAGGGTCTCATGTAACTAATTACCTCTGATTGATATACAATATCTAGGAATCTTCGACTTCATAGAATGTTCGGCGGAGTAGTTAGCGACATTTTCAGCCCTGTCTTTTTCCAATAACTGTCTAACTGATGTCGGTTCATGACAAAATTTACAGTTCACCAAATAAATATTCCCATCTACACGGACATGCAAAATAAGAAAGAACAGACAGTTCAGAGAAGAGTATCTTTTCGACAAATTCATTCACTTAGCCGTACATTCGCAATTATAAAAATAAACTGATAATACTTTGTGTGTGTACATAGCATAAGAGTTGAAATTAGTCAAGAGAATTGTTCACACCATCGAAATATTTCAGAACACTGAGGAAGAAGAAGAAGAATCAAAATTGTAACTAGGGAGTAGTAAAGATTAATAAATTTAGACCAGGGTTAAGTGATAGGAAATAAATTCAGAGATGGAGATAGAAAGATGTAAAGATTAAAGGAGAACAGTTCAGAGACTTCTTTCGTATACATAAATCAGGATTTTCTACCCTAATTAATGTTTAATGCCTCTGAAACGCATAGTACACAAGAGCTTATCGCAAGAATTCTCCTTGCATACTTATTGGCTAGTATTTAATATATATGTCCAATTATAGTACTCCTTATTAATCCACTGTAACCTTTTCGTAACCAAGCAACATAATGTTCTTTGACTGTTTTAGATAAAACACGCATCGAACAACATATATATATCCCGCTCCACAGGCGCAAGTAAATTGATAGATACACTTAGAAGTGGTCAGATGTCATAGTTTATCTTTAGAATTGTTGAAGAACACCAGGTGACAAAAGAATGCCAGTCATAATGTAGGGGCGGAGAATGCTCTTTTCAGGATGTTTGGTATTCTGTTCTTTAGGGTGTCGGACAGAAGGTCGCTTTTTAATGCCATGTGCATGTATAGCATCTTCTTTGGCATATAGATGTGGCTATTTTTGTTGGTTTTGATTTTTATGTGTTTGTCTATGAAGCGTGGTAGGTAGCCATTTTCACTTTCTTAAAAGAGTGACCTCTTATTCAACTAATTCGGGGCTTCAGATTCTTTGAATTCTAGTCGCAAGAGATAATAGCAGGTTCCGCTTGTGATTGATAGGTACCCAACTGTAAAAGTCTGTCAGCTGTCCGTCCCACTGAGGCAGCTGTACTCTGGTCTGTTCTAAGTACCATCAGTCTTCTTTGTTAGTTCAGCGTCCAGGAACGAGATTGTCTGTCCAGTTTCTACTTCAGTTGTAAAGTTTGATGTCTGGATGGCAGCTGTTGAAAACGTGAAGAACATTATTTAGATTCCATTTGTTGTCACAAATGATAAAAGTGTCATCAACGTACCCTTTTTAAAGAAAAATGTTGTCGATGGTGGATTTCAGTTGACCGTTTCCCAAACTGCGAACGGACAATACACGGACAGAACTCATCATGGGCAATGAGGCTCTCAGCGAAATGAATGAGGGCGAAGAACTTTCTGCAGATTTGTGCTCCTTCAGCAGTCTGGTAATTTGGGTTAGGGTGTACGGGCATAAGAATATTTAGAAGGCGCTATGGGTTTCGTCTGATGGACCCGACAGAAATCAGGTAGACGTCTATTCAGTCTCAAGAAAGTGGAGACACATGTGGTCTCAGGTCATAATCTTGTCCAAAGAACTTTCGAGATCAAGCTGCAAGCATTCAAAGAAGCTAGAGATAGACTGCAACTGAAGATTAACTGTCAGAGACTGAAGGATGAAACTACAAAAGAGGCCTTCACCGCAGCCATCAGAGCGAAGTCGGAGATATTATTTGGCATCAATGGACAAACCTGTGTAGAAAAATACTGGAACTATCCAAAAGTAACGCTAAAGGAAACGTGTACAATCCTCCCATCAAGATTGAAGAAGTCAGACGAAGAATGGCTCTCTATTGACATGTGGAAGCTGTTGGAGGATATAGGGACGGTAAAATAGAAGATGAAACATTGAAAAGGGAAACAACGAAAGAAGAAGCTAGTTTCAGTCACCAACGCATTGAACAAAGAAGTGGAGAAGAGTTCTAGGAAAGACAAAGATGATCACACGAAAAACTTGCAACCGAAGCGGAACGCAGTACAGGTTAAAGGGATACCTGAACACTAGGACGCTTTCCGACAAGAGATCAATACAGATGAAACCAATATCAGATACTGAAGGGAGTAAAGGAAACAATGAGCCGACCACTTCAAAGGCCCCTTGAATCTACCACCACCTACAACTGGTTTAGAAATACCACAAACAGCTGTAAGACCACCAGTATGCACCAACTCTTCTACCAACAAAGTCAGAAGTCTTGAATGATATGATGTAACTGAAAGACAGTTGATAAAACTGTAAAAGCGGGCAATAACCTCATCTACTGACTCAGAACCGCAGATTATTCGGTTCCTCGTTAATATCTGCTATTACTGGACAAGTTTACATTGACAATATGTGTTCTGGAGGTGACATACTCACATATTCAATATTTACTACTTAGTATTTCCTGTGTTAGAAGAGTAACATAATAAAAGAGAGTTTTATTAAATACCAAATCGAATACTACAGTTCATTCTTTATTCTTTTATCGTTTTAGATATGGTGTACAGAATTAGAATCAGTTCAAGGAATGCTTAACGTGATCTCTTCAAATCCCTGCATAGATACTACTAATGATAAAAATCTTGAAAGTCAAATAAAACGATTAACAATACAAACTGAACAACACTGTCTTGATTTATCAACGAAGAAAGCTAAACTATTAGATGAAGTAAAACAAGTAAGTGTTTTTCTACTCTATTAATCTCTACTGTACGAGTATCAAACAAACAACCTGCTAGGTTTTAGACTAGTTAGAGGTTGTAGTGATCATATCTTCACCTCTCCAAAATCTGCCATATTTCTTAACCTGAAAGTGGATATCGACTCCGTTAGCCAAAAGGTACTGTGGCAATGTTTGACCGTGAATAGAGCACTGAGAAAGTGCATCGTACTAGTCAAGGCACTCTACTTGAACTCATACAGCCGGCCAGGTGAGAGACTACCGAAAGTTGTCATCTGAAGTGATTATAATCCGTGGAGTCCATCAGCGATGCCCATTGTCCCAATTTCTGTTTAATTTCATGATAGATGAACTAATGGGACTCAATCTAACTGACTTCAGTGACTTAGGGATTGAATTTTTACCAGGGAATAGTCGTAATGACTTAAAATGTGCGGATCATATAGTCCTCCTAGGTGAAGAAGCTGATAAAATGCACAGTTTTCTGACTACTGTAGAAATCTCTGCAAGGGCACAAAAGGGTACTGTTGCATTTCTCAACGTATGTCATATCTGGCTTAGATGTGATATCCAAGTGGATATCGATCAAACGATGTGTGTACTGCTCAGTAGTTCTCTCCTTCCTCCTTTATGACTGTAAGACATGGCCACTGAAAGTGAAAGTTGTGAAAAGATTAGCTGTCTTTTATTGTAGGTGTCTGCGTTCTGTCCCCTATGTTACATGGTAGGTATAATAGGGTGATTAATACTGAGGTTAGCTATCGAGCATCGCGTAAGAAGCTAAGGTCAACAGATGAAGTCGTGAAGTTAAATCGATTGACATGGTTAATACGTGTGTCACGCATCCCAAGCCATCACCTTGCTCGACGATCAATATTAGCTAACGTGGGATGGGTCTGGTTGGAGAAGAGCTTGGAATTAGTCCACGAAATCCTTGACGGTTAGTTTGAGCCAACCACATAGGGAGGTGCAGACTTCCTGATTGGGAACCCCAGGATGCTTAGAACCCATGGTTGGAGGTAATTGCTGATATGGCTCAAAATCGTCGTTCCTAGTGATGAGAATATTTTCAGTCTCTACGATCTTCCATAAGCACTAAAGTGTCATTTTGTTTTCCACACTACTATTCTCTGTCTCCCACACACATTTCTGCTTACCGTCATTCTTTTGTATCTCTTTCTACTCTTTTATCCACCTTTGTGTGCTAAATGTAGTGTGGCAAGTTGAACTGCTACACTTCTGTGCAAGGTTCTATGTTGAAACCAGTTGGTCAGTTAGTTAGAGAGTCTAATTAGGTAACATAACGAACTGACTAGAAGTTCTCTTTTATATTCAAATTCTAATTTTAAATCTTACTGAAACCTTTCAAAAAAGGGGAAATCGTTTGATCAGCCTAAAAACAGGAACAAAAACCGCTTTAATAGAGTCTACTTTTTAAAACCACTTAAAATTCGTCTTGCTTTTTTGTTGTTGTCAAAGATGCATTGAGAACCGATAACCGAAGTCGGCATGAAATTAATTACGCGAATGAGGTCTTATAGAATTCAGACTTAGTGGTACATTTGTTGTGTTGTGTTAGGACTCATGATGCTACCCATTTGTTCAGGTTCGAATCCACTCCCCATTGGCTGAAAGTCAAGTGCCTAAAGCAGTATGATACATCTCCATAATAACTGAATTAGTGACTCACTTAACATTTACATGCTATTCCTAACATCCCAGCTGCAGTATAGGGCTTCAGGCTTTATGATGACAGTAGCGGTAAAGTTGTTTTTGCATAGTGTGCGACTGATAGCCTCACAGCCAACACTTTATCTTCTCCCAGGTTACTAACGGCTTCTACTAGAGGTGGATGAATTTTAAGACTACATAGGCGAGTAATAGAACGTGGACCGTATAAGTGGCTTACAAGCATTCTACTGTCTAGCCGCCGATATACAAGTTAACTTTTAACAATAAAACCTTTTTGTCATTATTTACGCATTATTATTATTATTTATTATGTTTTCACTAAAGTATTATTCTGTTTACTATATTTTTCTATGGGTTAGAGAATTGTCATGCATTCAGCAAACAAAGTGTTTGTAAGCTCTGAATTCATTTGTGATTGTTTTCGTCTTTTGTTCTGTTCACTTAACTAACACAAACTTCTCATTTATACTTTACTTGTATCTATTCATATTGTTCAGAGTATTAGTGTTATCCTCTTTATGTTGTTGTTGGTGTTGTTGTTTCTGTTGTTCTTGATGTTGTACTCTGCACACAGAATGTACTGTGATGAATAAACATCATTCGATGATTTATACATGAATGCTCTGTCTTCTGTGATAGCCAGCCAGTCAATTAAAAAGTATTCACCTTTTAATTCAATTTAGACTTTAACGTTGACTGACTGGACTGACGTGTTCAACCTCAGGTTGACATGTCGGCTCCTCCTTGTGCAGATACTTCGACGATGTCTACTGGTTATTCAACTTACAGTAAATTGATGGGTGGTGGTTAACAGTGGAATCCAGGGTTCACGTTTCGTCCTCTGGATGAACCTCATTCATTCTCCAGTGGGTCGAAGCATCTGCACGGGCAGCCAACATGTCAACCGGAGGCCAAACACTTCGGTCCCACCAGTCAACGGGAAAGTCTATATTGATTTAAATAATTGCTGATACCTGTTTCACAAAGGGTGGCTAGCTGTCGTGGGCCAAGTGGTTTAGTGGATAATAATTCAGCATTTGAAACTATGGGTACTGGATTCAATTCTCAGTGGGAATATCATCACTGACTCACTGGGGAATGAAGTTGCATCCATCTGACGAATCACAAACAGGGAGAAATATGCATCCTGGATTCCACTGTTGGTCACTCACCATCCACGAATTTATTTCACATATCCGTCTTCCTCACTTTCTTTTACTCTGTCTGCCTTTCTCTGCACCAAATATTAACTGTAATTTGTATTCCGTATTTCTTTTTAAAATATTTCCCAGGAGAACCAATTGCTTCTGTCTATATCTGCCTATTCTACTTGGATTGGTCAGTTAAGAGAAGAATTAATGAAGCTTGGTATACCAAACCACCTGAATGTTGATGTAGCTGAAGCAAAATGGAAAGAGTTTAAGGTAAGTCTGCATCCCTCCTTTTACTTTAAACATGTTGCCTGTCAGAAGTTGCTAGTAAAAAGGTGTTAGCTGGTTACTGAAATTCGATTTAAGTAGTATGATTGTTGTCGGGTATAAAGTTTGTTCCATTAACACTAGATATGATCAAATAATGCAAATATTTTCAGGCATTTGTTTGCTAGGTATTGATTGATTTCACCGGGGTACTGGGCAGCTGGGTCCCATTCAGGGTGAGGCGATTGGTCTGTGCCTGTGGAGAATCTCAGAACTAGGGCGAAACCACTGACTAGGTATCCTAGTTTCATACGGTTCTCTAACTGGTGCAAGCTCGTGATCTAACTTGAGCATATACTTATATATTCACAGAAAAGAGTCAGTGGGTGCATCACGGACCGTCACTGAAAGCATTTTTGATAGACTACTATAGATTTTTCAACAACAGCAGCCTCCAGCGGATGCTGAAGAATGGATGGAACAAGGAACTTTTGCAGAGAACCAGAAAACCGCGTTATTGCCTTAAAAAATTTAGTGGAGATAGACTGGATATACTCTGAAGAGACCTTCAAGTGACAGAACACACAAGATTCACCGTCAAATAGAAACAGAATACGAAATGATGGATAAGATGGATATCAGGAAGATCGTGTGTAGAGAAGATGAAGGATTGCAGACATTGGCAAGGTCAATTAACAGTGACTGCAGAGAAGCGAGTACAATAGTGATGTGATACTAACGCTACATGCTTCACTGAGAGTTCAGGGAATAAAAGAATATTTTTGGTAAAACTGGTTTTTGTACCCATAACATAGTGTGTTACTTACTATAGAGTGCAAAAGTAAATGTATGTAAGACAATTACATATAAATTTAGGTAAAGGGAACACTGGTTTATTAGTTCAGATACTATTCTTGTCGCCATAGAAACTTGTATGAATTTATTTCACGTACAGATGTCTAGGCATTCTCATTCCGTTTTACTACTTCATATACAACCATACTGGCAGTTTGCTTATAACTTGGGCTGTCAAACATTTCCGTCGTTATAATGCGTGGAATTTCTTCTCTTCTTCATTTTGGTTTAATCGGCTAAAATATGACTACAAACGGTTTTATATTAACTCCAGTGAGTTTTTAAGATGTCTACAACCTGCTGGTTCGTTGGTTTTTATTAAAGTTGAGAAAGAGCATTAGCATGAGTGGTAGTTTATCTTAATACATCAGATAACTATACTTGAGTTATATCCTTGGGTTACAAAATGTACTCGTGAACTTTTATTAATTGGTTTCCAACTAAATATCCTACATTTATCAGAGGAGATTGGTTTACGCTTCAGGTCAGACAGCATAGTGTCATAGGACCTGCCGTCAGTTAATATTTTATTTGGAAATCATATAGGAAGGGAAAATATCAAGCAATAAACTTCGCTGGAAATTCCATACATTATATAAACAATGTTCGAAATAAAGCTATTGTTATGTATGGCTGTCGACCGAAGGATATTCGCACTGCACAGCAGCAGTTCACCCCGTCCTCCTTTATGGCTGTGAGGCATGGAAGGTATGAAAAGCCTGACTAGCTATCTTTAATCATAGGTGTCTGCGTTCTGTCTCGCATGTTAGGCGGTAGGCGTGATAGGGTGAATAATAATGAGGTTATGATTCGATCAAGTGTTAGGTAGATAAGGAGGGAAAATCAATTGATTAGATTGTAAGCCACGCATGTCTAGCCATCGGCTTCCTCGACGGTCAATGTTAGCTGATATAGGATGGATCAGGTTGGGGAAGAGGTAGTGGTGATCGGACCAAAATAGGGAATCACTCAATAAAACCTGTATCAGTTAGCTTAAGCCACATAGGGAGCTACAGACTGATTGGCTGGTCAGGGTCCTCGGGATGGTAAGAAGCAATGGCTGGAGACAGACATCTGGTAACACAACTCGAAATCGTTGTTCTCAATGATGGTGCAGATGCATTCACTCTTTGTGATTTGTAATATGCTTACAATAAAACTCTATCGTTCTTCCATATTACTATTCTTTTTCCCTCACTCACAACTTTGTTCATTATCTCTCTTTTGAATCTGCCTTTACTTTCTATTCTTGTTTTGTGTGCTACAAGTAGGAAGTGTGGCAACTCGAACTGCTGCACCTCTGTGCAAAGCTGTATATTGAAACCAGTCAGTCACTAACTTGTTTCGAATTAACATGAACCTACAGATAGCGAGTTGAGCTCAGTCCTTTCAACTGCTTGGAAATTGTGGGTTCATGTGTGATAAGACAAAAATGATCCACACTTCGATGTTACCTTAAAAAATCCTCGATCGGTGGATAGATGGTCTATTATGCATCAATAAGAATAAGTGTGTTGAATCATTCAAGAACAGAAAAAGGTTTTGAGTGCTTAAAATAGTCACAGTAATTTTATAATTCATGTTGTGGTGGATGACACTAGAGACGTTTTTGTTATTACTGCCGAGGAAATTTATCAAGATATCTCAAAGTATCTCATAGATACTTTTGAATGAGGAACTGCAGTTCATTCCCCTTTGATTTCCACTTAAGGTGGATACATCAATGCAGTTGGTTCAAGGAACCATGTGATCTGCTTGATACCACAGGAAGGAATAGAAAACACAAATTAAATACCATCAGTGTATCTATTAATGAATAGTATCAGTAACTGGAAGCCATTCACGTCTAGTAGTACTACTTGCTAACTGGATCAGAGTGGTGTAAACACCTGATGGCTGCTATTTTGCAGCCGATCCAGACGGTGGACATCTTTGATCAGCTTGTTTCCAAAATGGCCATCTCGTGTTTAGATCACTTTGATCTCGTTGGAAAGTATTATTCTTTCACGTGAGTGTATCTCTGTCTACTGAAATCAATCAGTCAGTAGTATGTTGAAGAATAAATATAAATGTAGAAATGAATACTGCTGTTTATTTCACCCGGGTGTTAGTTACTGCAATTTTCACATTTTCATCATGAATCAACATCAGTTAGAGAGATCACTGAAAACCAGAAGGGAAAATCAGACAGCTATTTGGGAGTCGTTGGCAGTGCTTACCCACGACCCTTCCAGGAATCTGACCTGAGACTTACAAGTTACGAGAGCAAGCTGGCTGATCATTCAGCGACTTCGGCTGGAACTCAGTAAGCAGTGAATTTTAACTTGGTCAACTCTGATAATACAGCCGCTTAACCAACGCCTTCTATGAGTATCCACCTAATCTTGACAATCATGCACCCCACTGGTCATGACTATCCACTGCAGCTTCAGGCGACTGATATTCAGATTACAGAATCTGTCGGGAGTTTTGATTACAGAAAATGAAAACCAGTGATTCAGCGAAAAAGACTCTTTTCAACAACGAATTTATTCTCAAGCTGTAGAATCATATATATATATATATATATATATATATATGGTTTTTTATGAAATTATATCCGATAAGGGAATTGCGTCATAGGTGTGAATACATGAAATAATAAAACAGTAGTATGGAATACGATTTAAATATTTGTGATTATAATTTTTTATTTTTGAATACACCTTGATTCCACACCGTATTTTTTGGTACAAGTATGGAGTTTTCAGCATGTGATGTCGATAGCCCGGATTTCGCAGGCCGACCATAGATATCAGGTGTGCGTCGACAGAGGATCTAACCCCGGACCATGTGCATGGTCGGCGAGAGTCCTAACCACTGTGCCACCGACGCACTATAACAATAGTCAAATGTCAATTGGCAAAACAATTAATGTCATATACAGAATAATTCATAGGATGTATACACGCTGGCAGGGGTGTGCAACTACAGGACTAGTAGGCCAACAGAATAAGAATGGAAACTTTAAGTAACATTGTGCGAAACTTGGTAACATAGAATTTAAAACTATTCGGTCAAATCTTGACGACAGTTCATTTGAATTATTTTGCTATCGAATTAAATTAACAAAGAAACTATGTAATTGGCACAATCATCGTGTTTTCAGTCTCCGTTGTCTGGAACAAAATGCACATCCTAAATCCGTAGCTGTCGAGTCACCTGACAACCCCAGTAGGTCGAATAAAGCAGCTCAATATTCAGAAAGAAGACAATGCAATAAGGTCGACAGGGTGCTTAAACTAAACTCTAATCCTAAACACCATAATTTTGAAAATACGTCTAATCATAAAATTCTAGATACTAGCAGTGTGAACGGGCATGAAGGTTTGATGTTAGCTGATGCATAGGAAATCCTGATTAATAAATAAAAATGCATATGTATCACTAATTAATAATACTTGGTCAAATTCCTGACTGTCAATATCTTCCTATGGAGACGTTAAGAAATGCTTTACAACTGTTTACACACACACGCATGCACACTCTGTTTAAAGTGTTTAACAAAGGTAGACCAATATTCGTAAGTCCGAGGTCAAATTTTGATCACAGCTCATACAATTTTGTTTATTATACTTGTTAATACTTGTGTTTATGAATCATGATTGGACAAAGTTTTTAAAAACAAAAGATGTGCCTTTTATATATAAAAGCTCTGTTATGTTAATTTTGATTAATTTCCCTGAAGAAGTTCGGACCAGATTGCCGAACGAAACGTTGGAATTACTTATTTCAATATCACTGAGATTTTACAAATATAATTTTTTACAAATAGAATTTAACGTTGGAAAACAGAACTGATTTAGAATAACAAGTGGAACGAGTGAAATAATAGCGGAAATAGTTCAAAGTGAGAATAGTAATAGTAACAGTTGACGTAATAAAGAAAGAGTATGCAAAATAAATAAACAAAACGGAAAAATCCATAGAGCCAAAATATGAATGGGGATTATCATACTTTATTGGCATAGAGGGATTAGGACCATGAAAGTTGTATGGGTGGGGTGTTGCACGAAATTTTGTTGTATGCAGAGATCTATCTTTTCTGTTTTGATGGACAAAGATGGCTTCAGCAATACAGATGAGTCGGATGGGTATGCAGTGACTGAAGCAAATTACTTTCCGCCTTATGGATGACTTTAAAGGCGGAGGCTGTAGAGAGATAGGGTGATCATTATCGACCTGATGTTCACAGACATTTTATCTCCATTTCATGCTGTAAATATCTTGCGTATTTATACCTCTAATTCAATCCTCTCACCAAATATAATTTCTTAGAAAAAAACATAAATAGACTACTGTACAGCTTGACAATAAATATTCTGAGAAGAGTCCCTTCTCTGGATCACTTTTTGATTTTCTTTATTGGCCGATGGGAATTTTCCACGATTTTGAATTAATTTCAACTCTTCGATTTTCGTCACGAAGCGACGTCAGTTGGTAGAAATTGTTGAGTTTAATCGCACTGCATGAGTTTAATCGACTGTTATCATTCAGTGTATTTAAAGGTATCTACAAACAAACGAAGGCGAAACTCTTGATTCATCGAATGTTATAGAAATTTCATGATTGTAGATTTATCAATTATAAATCAAACTACTTAATGTTGTTGATTGTCACTGTTTGTTTTCATTGTTATTTCTAACAGGAATGGGAGTTAACATTTCAAAATGAAAGTCATAAACGATTAAGCAGTCTGATAAAACAATTCCCTAATTCAATATTTCAATCTGTTTTCAAACGAGATAAAACTTCGTTGACAAGCATAGAAGATTTTGTTTCAGACGAAAGAAATTTCAATGACTACATCATCGACATCAGCGACAAAAAATCAACACCATCATCATCGGTAACAACGAAAAGAATTAAATCTCGTCTCGAGTTGAGTATTTCACGTATGCTGAGACAATATGCTGGTTGTCGACGTCAATGTTCAATCTTTAACAAATTATGGATGAAACACATAAATTATGTAAAGCATCATGCGCAGAGTTTGAACAAGATACACTTATTATTCGAAGGAATTCAAGCAGAATTGTCCAAGTTATACAGACCATCGAAACTGGTTAGCTGTTGTACAGAACAATTGAACAGTGTAAAGGTATGTTTAATTTCTCAGACAGGTTCAGTCTTATGAATAGTTTTGCATTTGATTTTTAAACATTGTTTGAACATTGATTAACCCTGACTTCAATGTGTGTGTGTGTGTTTGAAGAGATTTGACTAACCTCTCAGATGACCACATTTCAGCGATTAGTTCTGGGTTCGATCCCAGAATATTCGTGGTTTCTCGACGGAGACGGAATACCTGAGTGGTTTCATAAAGAAACATGAAAATTTTAGATGAAAAACCTGAGACAGTATGGAAGAGACCATCGTTCATAAAGTTACAACTTAATGGGTACTTGTCAAAGGAGATTTTGTTCCATAGACTAGCCACAAGTATACGAGGAACATTTCACCCAGCACACCTGCGTTTGTCATTCTCTAGTCGACGAATGATTGGGTCTCAAAAGAAGGATAAGCTAGATAGTTTTGTCATATCTATGTGTATTTATCAATTCAACTACCCCTGGTAAGACAGTTATGTTAAGTATACTACTAGACAGCTCAAGGAACGAGTTACCGAACATCTCTCATCGTGATTTGGCAAGGAACAGAAAAATGTTATCCTCAGCTCAGTTTTATCATATTTAGTTGATAATAGTTATTTAGTAGACAGAACGAAAGCATTCAAGGTGAGATTCATCTCATCCCACCGAATCTTCCTTGTGGACTTTGTACTCATTTATTGCATATAGCTGAGGCGATAGACATTCGACTTATTAAGTCTAAAATATGTATTCAAAAGAAGTTAGTACAACAGTTATTTGTCTTTTGGTCACTGAAGACCCAACCATTTGATGATATCAACACCACCACCACCCCTTACTTGTATTTTCAACCCGTCTCTTATCATCATCCCTTAATCCATCTTATCACATCTTCATTAGAAAATAGTCCATTTCATTTTATTGTAATCTAGCATTACTTAATCCATCCATTTGTTTTTCCTGGCCTTTATGGAATACTACGTCTATCAGAACATTTTTTTATTTGATCATGCTGTTTTTTTCATTATTCTTGTTATCACAGATCGCCTCGTTTTTTCATGCTTGTTATTGATAGAATCATTATTATTATTATAATTGTTATTATGACTAATTACACAATTTATTGGCTTAATCTTATTATCCTGCTGACAGATCATGATGACTTATTTGTAAAAAGTGATGTCCATTAGAGTTAAGCCTTATGAGATCCAATTCAGAACAATATTCAAATGTCAGTTTGCAGGGATCTGACTGGTTACAAGAATTCATCATGAGCTGGCATCGGTTAAAAGATATAAGTATAAAACTTGGGCACCATGGTAGAGCATAACTCCATTATGGATAAGATTTTATTTTGATAAATTACACAGTAGATTGAAAATCCCCATTGAGTCACAGTGTTGTACAGTAATATTAACTGACGACGTTTCGAGCACAAACTATTGCTCATAATCATATCAAGTTATGATATGAGCAATAGTTTGTCTTCGGTTAAAGGACTGGAGTAGTGGACAGGTGTTTTGTCAGCCTAGTCTGGGATTCTCACTCATCCACTAACGGAGTTTGAACCCAGGACCTTCAGGTTACAAGGTGCCGAGCTGGTGGGCCGTTAATCGGCCACTGGGACCCGACACAGTGACCAGCCCATGAATACCAACTTCTGCTAATTCACAACATGATGCGACTACTAACCAGTGTCATCGGCGAGTATCTGTCCAGTCCTTCTAGGTTTTCCAGTGGTTCTCTAACCAATATCAGCTCATGCTGAAATCTTGCAAGCAATATCGTTCGCTTACATGTGTCTACTATAGGAATATTTAATATTCTGAAATTTACTTCCTATCCTTAAACTAAGAGTCCGTACATAAACGTCCTGCAGCATGATCTAAAATTTGACAGAACAACAAGGGATACACATAATCATTGGATTTGAATTTGATGTTAACGCATATGTGAATTGTAAAGATCGCGAAAATCCTGAGCCTGTCACTGATTTCAGAAGACTGTGCCTAACACGCTGAATACTAAGAGCACAGTAACCAACGCGGAATATGAGAAAATGAAAGGTCAGTAGAGCTGTTTATTTCTCCATCGATTACAAAACAGGATTACAAGTTACTGTGTGTAAAGTCTGTTAATAAACGTTAAAAGAAAATGTACAATGTACAACACACGTGATCATATTTATCGATTTATCCGCCAATCAAGCATACGACTAAGCAAACGGTCAACATTGTTATCTCCCGCCAAATGGAGACCAACTCGATATCAACAAACCATTTAATGCTCACCAACGTTGACAGCATGTACATATACATACCTTAATTCATTAAGATTCACTCCATTTCAGTAACTACCGACTTGTTTTCTTCATTTCTTGCCCATCTTTCTTTCTTAGAATGTTATCGATCAGCTGAAAGAATATGAGGTGTTAGTAGTCAGCCTGTACGATTCACTACCTCTACTTAAATCTGTATGCAGTGCCAACGAAGTGTCACGAGCAGTTGCAACTATCAAAGATACTAAGCATAATTTTGTTTGTTTATTACGTCGAGCGACAGAAAGGCAAAAAATTCTGACACAAGCATTAAAGGAAGATACTAAGGTAAGCAAGGGCATAGTCATTGTATTTGTATTTGTGTTGTTTTCGGTGGTGTTAATTTGTTTATTGGAAGTAAACTATACACGTGAAAAAATTTGTTACTGGTTGCTTTGTATACTGAGGCCAAAGAATCAGTAAGATCAGACTAAACAAACATCCATGCCAGTTAAATTTGAAGAGGTACGGTAAATATTACTAAAAGATAAGATTCAACCTTAAATTGCATATTTTTGTGTTTATGTAATTTTTCTGTGTATTACTAGCATTATCATTCCTATGGGTTGTGAGTGAAACAAACAGCTTCAGCAGAACATCTGTACTTCATGCTGTCCTCTGCCGTTCTGTTTACCTGACCATACTATTGCCCGTAAAATCCTATATCCTCGAAATTACTCTTTGACACACGCTCAACTCACCATTTTCCACTCCCCATTCCACTAGAATGATCGCCTGGCTCATCACTACACTCAGCTGTCTTCTCAGTATTTGTCCGATCCACCTTCATTTTCTTTCAGCAGGTATGTTGGGTTGCTACCGGAGTCCTCTACTGCTGTTCGATTCCAGCAATCTGATGTTCAGTATTGAGTGAATGCATCTGCTAATAAAAGTTGGCAGCCATCTGTTAGAAATGCTTAGAAATGTTTTTCGAAATTATCCAGTTGACAGTGTTTGGTGACCGTTGTGGTTGGCTAGGCAGCTTAATTAACTTTGTCTTCCCTGTGTCTGTTTTAAGTCCTCCTGTCTTCACAGTCTGTTTTTCCTGAAAACTGGTTGCTTTTCTCCTGTAGAAATCCAAGTTTGTGTGACATTCAATATGAATCATTCGAAAACTCCAGATCTTCTAGAGTCGTCTAACCAGTCCAACGAATTCTTACCTCAATTCTCATCACAGTCTCCTACATGATCCAGTCTACCACAATTAGGAATATCATTGGTATTACTAGGAAGCCTTGTCTTATTCGTGTGTACACTTCAAACAACTCTCTAAGTTTTCCGCTGTGGATCACTCGACATGTGGTATTGTCATACAGTTGTTGAATGAGTTTGATAAAGGTTTGAGGAAGCACCACCAATAACAAGCACCACTCACTAGCAACGGAAGAAATTTGATAAATGTCATCCCCTTCACTTATCTGGGAAGCATCGTTTGAAATACAGGTGACAGCACCAATGAGGAAGTCAAAGCCAAATAGGATTCGAAGAGCGAGACAGAATTTCACCAATGTGAAATCAATTTGGAAATCTTCCACACTCTAAAGTATAACCGTAAAATTCAGAAATTTAAAGCGAACTTTAAGTCAAATAGTTCTTCCATGTAGATAAAAATCTTGGCTCACTCGTCACGGAGAGCATTTCTTACAGGTAATTGCAGATTCACATCAGCATCTGCTCTCGCTGGCTGTGAATTGAAGATCGTTTGGCCGGCCAAAATGAATTATCAACAAGAAACTGTCGTAACGAACGAATCAAGGATCTGTTGCTCAACAAATATGTTCAAGAAAATGGAGATGGATCGCCGTCAAACTGAGGAGACCGTCAGTTGACATCACGTGCGGGGAACTCGCATAAAAAGCGCAGAGTAGGTTGTTGGTCCTGTGGTTACATAGAGGAGATGAAAGCGTATGGGCAGTCATGTGGTCAGGTGAAGAGGACTGCAGAGAACAGGACAAAATCGGGATGTGTTCCACTAAGGAAGCCAATGGATAATAACAGTAGTAATAAACGTTTTCCACGTGCCCACCGTTTAAACATTATCATACATTAGCCAACTACGTCAGCTTATTTTCTTATTTTTTTTGTATATCACAAGCATTACTATACTCGGTGAAAACTCTTCAAAAATGTTTCTGTTTATCATTTTTCTTGCACTTTTTTTTCCAGTTTGATACAGCTTACCATAGTTTAATGGAGTGGTTCCTAACTAACGTCGAATTGCTGAAATCTTACAATGCCCATCCTGTATATGATGAAAAGATTCAAATGTCAATTAAGACTTTGGTGAGTGGATTGTTGTAACTGTTTACTCATACACTTTTTATTCAGTCTGCACTTCATTGTGTGTTCTTCATAAAACAATGACATGTTGTAATGCCAACGTATAGGTACCCTTTTGATGATAAGTAAGGTGATGAAACATGCTAGATGACTTTTCCTGCAATTACATGTGAACTGATGAACACTTGATTGAAACTGATAGTAAACCGCTGACACAAACTCTTTGGTACTTATAAGGTTGGCATAATAAAAAGGGTGTTAAAAACATCTACCTACAGGAAGTGTTATAGCGAAATGAGTATACAGAAGTTAATCTTTATTTTATGACAGCTGGATTTGTTTATCACGTCGAACAACTCCGCTTTGTCAGCTGAATGAATCAAAATGCACCATGAAGTAACTCAATCATGAAACCAATTTGACTGTTGTGCAGTGTATTGGGCAGTGTGTGAACAATTTCATGCTACTTATGCCAATCACTAACACATAATGCATCACTTTATTTAAAGCACCATAGTAATGTTTTCTAAAACTCGATTCGTTTATGTTCCTAGTGGAACATAGAACTCCATTCTTCAAGCTTTGAAATTTACAGTAGCAGTGGTGTTATTTTCCTTAAAGCCTCAAGCTAAACCTTCCTCCTTTGTCGAGCGTACTGCCAACTAGGTGAGGTTTAAGAGTGCATCGTACAAGGTTCTCTGGGATTCGACTGAGAAATCATCGAAGCACTTTTTATGTGATAATGCAAGCTCCCAAGCTGGAAAAATATAGTAGAGTGAAACTAAGCTATGTAGCTGACTGATGTTGTAAGCACTTTGTGAACTAAATGGGTTCACTTAAACCACTACAGACTGAGCTTCAACTAAACTGGACTACTTCCCACATTTATTCCACTTTATGAATTTGAATAAAGCCAGAACAACAGTTCGTGCAGAATAATATTGTACCATCATTTATTTATTTGGCTTTTCATCAGCTGCTTATAGCCTAAATAAATTATTATTAAGTTCATGTACAGAAAAGTTTCAACATACTTACGAATTTTACATGATGTCAGTTGACAGCAAGTTCCGAACTTAGTAAACGGTGCTCAGAAAATTACGCTTATATAGTTCCTACAAGGGAGTTCAAGTTAAAACAGAGTAAATATATGCATAAAATGGTACAGGAGTTACGTAACCAAGATGAGAGGTACGTAAGATGATGAGTAGCTAATAAATTGGATAACAATTTACTTAGTTCAGCTGATCTCATGTAAACAGGAGACAAGCAAAATTACACTGTATCAAAGGTGGGGAGAGTGAGGTCAAGGACAAAGATTATGGAATCAAAAAAAAGAGAGAATAAAGACATCCAGTTACAGAAATCAAGGAAAGATTGATAACTGCTTCTTTCTGGACACACAAATTGGGTTCTAGGCGTTTGATACAGATTGCTTCAGCAAACTTAAGGAGGATTGAGCTTTTTTGTCTATTGATAATTTGAGATTTCCACCTCATGATCCGTATCAAGCAGATATCCGGTGATGGCACTATTGTGTGCATTTGTCCCCTTGAGGCGCAGGCGTTTCAACACGATTACTTAATACAAGTCTCTTGAAAGTTCCCTAGACACCTAGTAGTACTTGTATTTTTTTTTCAACTAGTTTCATATTAGAACAATAAAAATTTAATGGCGTATTCACTTGGTGAGCTTCAATTTGGACATTATGACAATGTGCTTAGGTTTACTTATCATTATTATTAGTTTTGTTCCTTTGGGTTCCGAGTGGAACAAAGGGGTTCAACAGCACGTCTGCAATTCGCTCTATCCTATGCAGTCTTCTTCAGCCGGTTCCATGATTGCCCATAGTCTCTGATCTCCTTCTTTTACGGAATGTTTGACTACGCAATTTGATTGTGCGTTAGTGTGCTACAGAAGGACGATTCACTTAATAAATAAGATACATTTATTCAGTAGTTTTGGTGCTTTCTTGAAGTGTTCAGTATTGAGGTAAAGTTTATTTTCTTTACGAGGTGGCTGAACTGTGCAAAAAGGTCTTTGTTGAGTAGTTACTTTATTTTTCACTTTTTCATCTTTCGCGTTCAAAGTAGAACATAGGGCTTCAAGCTTCACTTGTGAAGTTTCACTAGCAGTGGATTGTTTTTATTTTTAGGGTGTAAAGTTGCTAGCCTCATACCCAACCTAGTGTATTTAAATGGGGTTACTGTTGGCAAGACGAGGTCTAGGAGTGTGTTTGCCGAGGACTGAAACTTCAGACCACGTGAGGAGTGGTTGGCTTGCATTTGACAGGTCTACCACTGACGCAAATTTTATACTAATGTGGTTTATTAAGACAACTAGCTGTTATCTTTTACGATTCTCCGTTTTGGTGTCAGATTATCACTTTTCTCTCTGTGATAGGTGATATAAGATACAATAGATCCCCTTTTCTATGAACAGTGAATTCAGCTTAGTGAACTTGATCAGTTGCTTGTTTTCTCTATTGTTTGTCTTTAACTGTAGCTAAGAGAGTTCAATCAACGACAATCTGATTATTGGTTAGTAATGCGAATGGGTGGAAATCTGAGAGAACGTTGTACAATTTCAGATCCAGAAAAGGATATACTCACTGGCATGCTTGATAAATTAACAACACTGAAATCTGAATTTGCATCACTACTGTCAATGTGGTAAGTGTTTATTCACAAGATGGGTATTTGATTCAATAATTTATTCAATCAACTGGGGGGAAAGTCTCAATTGAACTCGGTAATAAGGGATATCTGTGTTGCACAACAAAGAGGTGGCTGTCGTAGTCCACATGGTCTGTCTAGTGGATAACGCTTTGGCGTTTAAAACTAGGGGTACTGGCTTCTAGTCTCAATGGGAACACATCCACTAGCTGACGAGTCCTAAATAGTGGGACGAAATGAGAGTTATTCTGGACTCCTCCACTGCTAGTCAGTCACCATCCAACAGGAAGCAGGAAGAACAGAATTTGCAGTATAAATTGTGCAAATTATATTTCGATTCTTGTCTTCAACTGCAGACAGCCTGAGATATATAGGTATATGTTTGATATTAATAAAATAAGAACACACATTCTCCTTATTCTATTAGCCAAAGTTTGGTATGTGAAGATCTTAGTTTAGGGAGACGACAATGCATGAACTGTGATGGTATAATCACAGGTACAAATAGGACAAAAATGGAAGTGATTGTCTGTTCAAGGAGTTCTGTTAGTTGCCTTAACAACAAAAAAACACTAACAGATCAGCAGTACAGAGGGAAAACTCTACGTAACACGTAAAAGTGAGCATCAGTTCTATCAGTTAAGATTAGTGGGTCACATAAAAACACACAATTAGGTAATAAGGGGGGAGAAAAAGTTGACAGGATAAAATAAGATTAATCATCGTTTGTTTCTGTATATACATAAATTAGACTTGGCTTGTTTGATGGCCGCTGATTCAGCAAATTAAAGTAACATTGTGTTTCCTAGTTTGTTAATAATGGAGTAAAAGCAGTTTGAATATCTACTTATTGTACTGATTCGATTCGATGTTGGTCAATGGTGCGCTGGTAAGGGAATCCGTAGACTGTGATTTTCATGCTCAACCCCTGTTAATACAATGTATATTACAAGCTGTTTGCAGTTGAAGAGAAGCCACGAAATAGAATGCACACATTTTATACTGTGAATTTTGTTCTTTTAGCTTTGATGAAAATTATCAGTGGAAACACGTTGCATGCATTTCTTGAAGAATCACGTCCCTGCTGAATGAGTTTATATATAAATATATATACATTATTTTCAAGTATTGGTTTTTATAGGGATTTAGTTTGATTGGTCGGAGGATTTAACCATGAGCTGACATCCGTAAGGGAACCATTGGCAAACCTGAGGGTACTTGACAGCTGTTTCATCAGCCTACTTTGGGGCTGTCCATCAGTGCGCACCCACAGGGGTTCGAACCATGGACCTTCTGGTCACAAGGCGAGCTCGTAGACCATTGGGCCATTGGGACCCCTGGTAAAACCAGAACAAGATGGTATTACCGAACAATTTTTTTCGATAACTTCTTCCTCAGCTTCTACATTTATAAATCTGCGAATATTAGAAAACAAATGACCAATGAAGGCGAGTGAAAATTATATCAGAAACTGTATGGGGGGACATATAGTGTCATTAGTTAATATTGTCAAGCGAATGCATATAAAATGTACAGTCATTCAAAATATAAGATACAGTGTGAATAGACAGCCTACTAGTCACCCACTAATGTATTTACAGTCAAGAGAATAAAAGTTTCATTAGGGCTGGTGAAAAAAATGTGATTACCGCCAAATGCATGCAAATAAATACCAAATATATGGGGAACACTGAATGTTAGTTCAAACAAGGGCTGATAGATATCAAGTGTAATGACCACTCTATGTCAACAAAAGTAGGATTGGTGAAATGTTTAATTAATAGGGAACAAAAGCTAAGTGTTATCAAGGAAAATCTGATACAAGAAGTGAGGCATATAAGAGAAGCTTTGAAACTTAATAATTAGCCTGACAAATAATTTAGGGAGTATGTAGGTATGGATTAAAATAAAATAAATAACAATGACAGTAATACTGGTAATAATAATATTAATGACGACATGCATGTCAAACATGCACAGGATAATGACAACACCAACAATAAGGAATATAAGTCATCACTAGTACTCCCCTGCAAAGAAGGAACCTCGGAAACCTTATGGAGAATTCTTAGCAATGGAAGAATAGAAGTGGCATTCAAACCACCTATAAACACAATTAGAAATACGCTTTATCGGTTAAAGGATCCTGTGGAACAGCCCATTAAACAAAACAATTTAGTTCATCTAATTACCTGCCCTCAATGACTATCAGGTCAAATACATAAGTCAGAGTAGCAGTCAGTCAGACTAGCGGAGCACACAAACCTAGCAAAATCTAGATTAGTTGACCCTAATAAAATGAGAAATCTGGAGAATAGTTCAGCTATGGAACTCACTGCATGCAATTACGCACAACCATACAGTAGGATAGCATACGATGATGGCTTTAAGATCTAATATAATAACAGGATGGAGGGTGAGATAGATAACGGAAAATTTACTTATCAAATCAGCTGAAGATGGTACGTGTAACAGAAATGATTCAATACCTGTCCCAGATATCTGGAAAATTCCACTACCACTACGACGGAATGGGAAAGGATAAAGAAAACTAGAAAACTCAAGTTTCGAAGTTGTGTGATTATAATTGATATGATTGTGAACAGTAATAAACTTTGTTCGAAACCTTGTCATCCAGTAAACAGTAATACTGTTTTGCCCTGTGTCTTATACATCTAATAAACAAATTAATATGGAATTCAATAAAGCGGTAGAATTGTGAACTGTAATGAAATACTAGAGACATAATTAGGTCCAGACATACTAGGGATAATAACTGAGTGAAGTGAACTGGGTGAAAAGGAATAAGAAAGGCGTAATACGATATGAAAGTATGAGATGATTATGTCCCTGCTGACCTTACAGTAGATCAGGGTAAACAAACAGAATGAGTGTGCTTCTTTTCCACTCATAGGTTGGATTTATTCTTATTAATCTGTTTAGCTTCCGGTGTAGCTAAGAGATGCAATCGTGTGCCTTTAGGCTCATCTATTTTGATGTGGTGTTCACAATCCACTAGATGAGACAAAATGGAACTATTTATTGATTTGGTTATACTTTTTCCAAGCGAAATAGGAACATGTTCAGTGGTACGCAAAGATAAATTCTTCTGAGTTCGACCTATATAACTAAGTCCACACGAGCAGTTGAATTTGTATACACACAGTGATGTGTCCATCTTTGGTAATTTATCTTTGTTGCACTGTATCGGTTTCAGTGTGACTGAGAAACCGATGTGTACTTGTGAAGCATTGAAAGTACTTTCAATTAACCTAATCAACCTACGGCTTAATATATCACCTTTGAACTGTTCTCTTAAATTAAGGTTTTTCTTATTCACCGTGTCACGCTTAACTTTATCACTTCTTTTGGAAATATACTTCTTTACAATATTGGTAGGATGACCATTTTGTAGCAGGGTATTTTTAAGATTTTCGATTACATCTTCAATACAATCCTTGCAACATATGCGCTTAATTCTGTGACTTATATATGTGCCCCAATACAGACAGTTTCTGATATAATTTTCACTCGCCTTCACTGGCTATTTGTATTCTAGTATTCACGGATTTATAGCTGTGTAGAATCTGAGGTATACGTTATCCAGAACAATTGTCCTCTTAAAATCATCTTGTTCTGGCATGCATATATAGATATTTACATACATACATATAAATATACACTTATGGATGCTAATGGTATGATTTTAGTGTATTCTTGAAGAATTGGCCTGGTATTCATTTCAAGTTAATTGGTAAGAAGGCATGTCAACTAAACAGTTTATACTAATAGTATTAATGCAATCTATATGTGTATACATTGTATGCAACAATTGGTGCCCTTCAAATGTTAAACAGTGTTACTAACTTAGACTTTGTAACGTTTTTTTAAGTGTATATCTATATGGATTTATCCGCATGCTTTGTAATGCATTCTATGCCGATGTATCTAGTCTTATTGTCTTTTTGGTGTTGGTGTTGGTGTTGTTTGTCCTCTGCTTCTTCTTCTTCTAACTTCTAAGGATTGTACGTGCTACTAATCTACTACGATTACTGTTGCCTTTGTCTTTTAAAAATACATAAATGCAATTTATACAATCGTGCATTATATTAACTTTTAAATATAATTTCACTTAAAAGAAAACACTGCCTAAAATATGCATGTTTTGAATGTTATAGAATGGTCATTAATGTAGTGTACATACATGTATCGCACTGTTAACACCTGTGTTACATTTAACTCGTATTCTATATTTATTTGTACGTGCATTACAATTAATCTCTAAATAGGAACAATTATTATTATTATTGTTAAAGGGTTAGTTAAGCCTTTAATCCACTAGAAAAGGAACATGCTTTTCTCCTAAACACATTTTTAGGACAATGTTTATTTCGAAATCCTTGATCTGTTAAACTTTTGCAATTCAAAATAAAATTCGACCGTTGATTTGGAGTGTAGATAGAGAGGTTTAGAGATGGATTAGATAGCAGCTAGTATGTATAGGATCTTGACTCACACACTTTATTAATTATTAAATACTTAGACTTTAATTCATCTCATTCAGAGTCGTTAAAGGAAAATAGGGTTAGTTAAATGTCTATTTATATTTATGATAAGCATGGTGCATGGAGAGATTATACTGTTCGGCTAAAAATCGATGATTGGCTGTAGACTTGTGGAGATATAGCTCAGTTTCATTCTCAATGCCACAGATGCATTGACTCTTTTTAACCTCTCCCAACCCCATCTCTATTAAATTCCCTTTTTTTCTTCTTCTACTTTTTTGTGTTCTTTATGAAATGTGCTGACTATCTCAATTACCTTATAACTAAGCTATTATTAACTTTATAATTAACACTTTTGTACATTTTTGACTTTATTGTCATCGCGAATAGCAAAACAAACTGCCAATATGAATCCTGTAATATTATTTATTTTTTCTTTGGTTTTACTGTTGTTGCGTAAATTACATGCAGTAATATTTTACCAAATGCTGAGAATTCTACATTGTATCATAAGTACTGTTTGGGAATAAAGCAAATAATTACTATTGATGGAAGTATTCTTTAATACATCAATCACGTAGTTAGTGGGATTATATTTCATACACATTGTGTTGTCGTGTTTTGCTTTGTAATCAGACAGGTTTGTTTGCCTGTGGAATTTTATGTATTCTCAATAGCTTCGTTGTTTTTTTTCATCTATTAAACTTATCCTTTATTTTTCCAGTCAAATCGAAATGCAGAAATCATCGTCAACTGCTCAAAATAAGACGTCAACAATTTCATGTCTAAAAGAATGGCTAGATTCTGCAGAAGAACAGTTTGGTATTGAGAATATTCACAGTGGACTACAATCTATCCAATATTCATCAGCAAATGCTGACACAAGTATAACAAATAGCAATGCTAATAGTAATACTGAACAGCCATTATCAAATAACACTGATTCATCGAATAAGGAATGCAATAAACAATCGTTGCAACCGTCAGATTCAATGTTCAGTTATCAACAATATGTGAATATTGTTTCGGTTGCTGGTGATTTGGCTTTTGTTCAGTCTGTGGATTCAAATCATTCGGTGAGTTGTGTGTTTTTCTGGAAATCTAAGTCACTCTCTGATCTCGAGATATCTTGTTGTCTGAAGTTAATCCTTGGAAAGTGATATTTCATTTCTACAGGTTATGGAACCAGAAAATTATCGTTTTGAAGAGTGATGATACTACTCAGTTGGCCAGACGATAATTATTCAGAGGGGGATTCGAGATGGCTGAATGTCGACTGCTTATACTAATGAGTCTCATCTCCATAGCAGACAGCAAAACTTTACTCAAATCTAATATCCATCTTAGCCATTTTTATCCTAGTTTAGGACTGTTCAACAGTACGTAGCTACCACGAGGTTCTAACCCAGGACCTTCTGGTTACAAGACAAGCTCGTAGATCATTCTCAGCTACTGGGACCTGACTCAATTGTCAGCCCGTGGATTCCAGCTTCTGAAAATTTGCGACATATATCGCGAAACCACCTACCGATATCACAGACAAGTAACTGTTTACTTGCCTCACTTAGTTCACCCTAATGGTTTTCACTAGAATTCCAGGCCATTTCTATGACTGAAAATGAAAACAAAACTGAAAACTAAGAAATCAAAATGAACTAGATCCATGGTAAATTTAGAGGTTGGGAGAGTTTCATTCTGAACACATAGCTTCAGTATTTCGATGCATATGGTGAGGGGCTTCTGTAGTAGTACAGAAAGGTCGAAAACGCTTCCTTTGGTGCGTAGATTTTTGTTTACTTTGTAAATGACTGTAAATGATGGATGAGTCAATTGAGATACCGTGACAGGTGTTGACGAGGTGTTCAATTATGGCACTTTTGATTGCATCAGTGCCTCGTCTTTGCAGCCATTCTGGGTAGTGCTCTCTAAGATATTTTGACAAGACACGCATAGAACGACTTCCACACAAGCAGGTGAACTGATATATGCACAATGGAGTGGTCAAATGCGGAGGTTTGTTCTTCACATTACTTAGAAGCAGCGGGCGACTAGGGAACATCACTCTTAGAGTTGCTTCAGGAAAAGTCTTCTTTAGGGAACCACAGATTCTTCCCTTAAGCATACCTGCAGTTAAGTCTACCCTGAATTTCAGATTCAAATGCAGTGTCCACTTTGATACTGAAAGGCATTCTTCTTTTTTTGACTTTGGTTTCATGTTCTCCTCCACGAAACGTGCCGGGTATCTGTTTTGAGTCAGGATACTTTTGAGAAATAAATGCTCTTCTTCTGGAGGCAGTCAATACTGTAAATTTTTCTGATGCGGTGGGCCAGTGAGATGATGAAAGCTCTTTTTCAACTGACAAGTATCCAACCGTGGAAACTTGTCATTTGGTTTTCTGTGGATATATTTTTTCAGATTTCTATCATGTCTTCTCGTCAATTCTACGTCCAGAAATAGAATCTTTGATTCATTTTCTTATTTCAATGTTACTTCAACAGTCAAAGAAATATGTATGCACTAGTCTACTATCACTGTCTGAACTCTAATCATATTTTTAATGAATAACAGTTATATTCATTGCTAGGATGATCTGAGTAAAAGTCAATGACACTAGACATTTATTAGTCGAAAAGCTTTACATGTGAGGCAAAGCTTCACTTGCAGAATATATATTCACTCTGAGTTACGTAAGAATTTTCGAGTTTAATGACTTTTGATTTCTGATGTTGTTATTACAAAATTATTTACAGATATTGGGTGAACAGTTATGTCAACAAGAAAAATTATACCAAGAAATTATTTCAAACAATGTCAACACCAGTGAATCAGCTGACCTAAGGGAGCGTTTAATTAGAATTAGGAAAGCTTACGATTTAAGATGTAGAAGTCTTCAGGTGAGTAAACATTTAAATGTTATTGCCCCTTTTGATGTTTCCATCGGGATCACCGATTTATCCTCTAAGATCTGCACCTGTTCCACTCATTACCAAACAATGAGAACCTGAGAAATAAGTTATTTAGGCATGATTGGTATTTTTGCTATTGTTTGGTTATGAAATAGTGGAGGAGATTTGTACCTCAAGTGGATGATTTTGATTTAGTTGTGTTCTCTGAGGAGATGGTTGATTCTAGACAACATCACTTCAGTGCAGGTTTTAGTATGAAATGAACATTTTTATTAACTTGGAATTTGAATTTTCTTGTTATGTGACTTACTCAAATCGTTATTCTGTATCACTGTCAGTGATGCAGATGCATTCATTCTTTTCGATCAGTAAAACCATAGAGACAGGAGCAGGAATAATGTTAGGAAACTTTTGTAGTGTGCGTTGGTGGTTCAGCGGTAGGGCGCTGGCCAACCATGCACGTGGTCCGGGGTTCGATCACTAGCCGACACACACTCGTTGTCAAAATTTGGGCTAGTCATATCACATGCTGAAAATTCCATACTTGTATCAAAAATATTGTGTGCAGTCAAGATATAGTAAAATAAAATAAATATAAATCAAAACAAAAGACTTGGTCTTTCCATTCTCCGATGTATTCCTACCTTCACTGATATTATACAGTGAAGAACAAAGTGCGTAAAATACTACTCAATCATTTAAAGACTTTTGAACTGATTTATTCCAACAGTAAGTCTGTGCCTAACGTCTATAGTGCACATGTGAAAAATGACGAAAGCAAAGAAAAGAAATGGACTGTAGTGAACTCTCAATGTAGAAATTCCCACATAAAAGCTAGAAGAAAAGAAAAGAAGTAAAAGTTAGCTACGATGAACGGAAATATACAGGAGGAAAGGTAACAATATTGAAAATAATACGAACTTGACAGATGGAAGCAGTCACAAAGAATGAGTGCATGTACGCCATCGGGAATGGTTTCAAGACATGGCATCAACAGTAACTAGCTATCAATTCTAGGTATCTTAAGGATCCCGATCAGTCAGTTTACGTTACGCTATATGATATCAACCAAAAGTCAAAGTCTTTGCTGATTGATGTCGGGTTCTGATTTGCCTGTCCCTAAATCTTTTTCAACCTGATATGATTTTAGGCAGAAATCGTCCTTAGAATCTGTAAATTCATGTTACTCCAGCGTATTCATATCTTCTCCCTCCTAACGCAAAGTCTTCCGCGAAATCCACTCCACCACAACCGAGAATATCATCAGTGATAGTATCTAGCCATGTCCAAATCCTGTATTCATTTCAAAGGATTCTTTGCGTTTCTGTTGTGGATAACTCAACATGTGGCATTGTCATTTACTTGTTGGATGAGTAGTTGAATGGAGGTTGGCCACACTACATTCTGTAGTTCTGACACAGTTTCCAAATCATTTCTCCGTCAACGCTATCAAAGGCCTTTCGGAAGTCGATGAAGCATAGGTTGGGAGAAGGGGCGTAATTCTGAATGCAGTGCATCTTTTCGTCTCTTACGGATGACATGACTTAATATTTTACTTCGCGTGGGACAAGAGCATGATTCCGTGCCAATTTTTTCAGACGCTAAAGTTGCCATTCTTAGTAGTTTGACAAGGCTTTTTTTCTTCCAATCGGTAGGTGCTTTTCCTTCCTTCTAAACCTTCTCTGGTATTGACATGAGGCTATCCTCGGAGGTCTCTCGATTCGTTTTCAGTCCTTCGATTCAACTATTTGTGTCATGTTTTTTCTACACTTATATACTCATCTGCTTAGTTACCATCGCGTTACCGCGTATATGTTTATATACAGTCTGATATTCCATTTATATAACTATATGTATGTTTTGTTTGCATTTTCTTATGTTTATTGAAATTGTAGATGGCAAGAGAAATCGCCACTGATTTGACAACACATTATACACATCTAAAGTCGTGGTTAATTGAAGCCTTTCATAAAATCAGTCAACAATATGAATATGGTCATAATCTCAATACTAATGACGATAATAATAATAATGATAATATTCAAAATAAAACAATACTACAGATTATGCTAAATATTACTGAGAAGTCATCGCGTCAGGAAACCAAAGAATCTTCAACCACTTCTAGAAATCTTCCGTATAAATCTCAATTAAATCTCTGCTTTAAACTGTATACTGAACAGCAACAAACATACCAGTCAATGTTCATTGAATTACAAAAGATAATGAAAAAGATACTTTTACAGAATGTTAACACAGAATTCAAGAATGACTTCAGGACAATACCAGATGATCGTCTTGATGAAATTTCTGTTTACTGTCATAAAGACTATCGTAGTCAACTTATAATGCAATATAAACAGATTATACATCTATGGCATAAAGTAAGTCTTATGCACAAATTGTATTTTATTTCCTCTCAGTTTAAATGTGATCATTCATTAGACATTCTCATATATGTATATTGTGTACTATATATTTCCCTATAACTTCGATTAAAAATAGCTCAATGGTAATACTATTCGACTGTAGCATTTATGTGATGCATGTTGGAAAAGAGCCTGGTTCATTTATAATGGTAGATACGCCCTGCTAATTAGTCTTAGGCGGTAACAGTGATCTAGTCGAAATTACCGCCAAGGACTAAATTTATGACAGGAGTCATTCCTGCATGATCGATCGGTAAATTCCCACATTTATAGAGTTTTGTGTATAATTTGAAAATTTTGTCCTTTCTCCATCACAGTTTTGCAGAAGAATATCTTAGTCTAGTAGCGCATTTTCCTTCAGGATCTCAAAGGAAGCTAGAACTCTAATCGCCAAACACTGTAGTCGTTTTAACAAGGGTCAGTGTAATATCTGGAGTTGAAAAAGAATCTTTAAAATAATGTACTTTGACTTTCTTATTATTTATTGATTTTTTGTGAATATCAGAACTATCTGTGAGAGGCTTAGGTGCAGCAGTCATTATTTTCTAACAGGTGTGCGGCAAGGCCACATATCAGCTAATAATCCACGACGAAGAATTCACTGGAACCATTGAAATGAAGACAGAATGGAGTAAGACAAGGCTGTCTGCCAACTGTCACCCACGATAATATTTCTGATTGTGGTTGACTGGATTATGCGGTACACCGTATGTGGAGAGCGAGAAGACAGAAATACAGTAAACTGTTAAGAATACTATGGAAGACCTGGCCTACGTGGCTAATTTATATCTAGTGTCACCCAAAACTCGAAGATTTTCAGGAGAAAACCAACAAACCGGCAGAAGAATCAGGGAACGTAGACAGCACTTCGGGTGAACATAGAAAAGACGAAGGTAATGAAGATAATCAGCCAGTCACAGCCAGAACAAGCCACAATCACTATAACGGGAAGAAATTTGGAAGAGGTTACTTCCTTCACTTATCTGACAGGGTAGCATCGCTTCCCCTACAGCCGACAGCACAGATTACGATGTCGAAATGAGAATTGGGAGGGTAAGACAGACCTTTATCACTTTAAAATCAGTGCTGAAATCACTTCCATTCCTCAGCTTAAGGAACCACATTTGGATTTTCAAAACAAATGTTTAGTCATTCAATTCTTCCATATCTGTCATAAATTTGACATGCGCATCATGGAAAGCATTTCCAACGGGTGGCTGCACACATTTTGGGGTAGAGCTTCCACCTTCACCGGCTCCATGATGAAGATCAGATGGACAGCTGACTGGCCAGAAAGAATTAGCTACAAGAAATTCTGGAAATGAATCTATTAAGCACCTAACAAATATTGGGAATAAAATGGAGACGGGCTGGACAGACTCTAAAAAGACCATTGGGTGACATCATACGCTATACTATCAGTGGAGTGGAACCCAAGAGGGGAACAACGTGTTGGGTGTGAGACGGAAAGTGACATGAAGGAGGTCATGTGAGTAGGAGATGAAAGCTTGTGGCCAACCGTGTGCTTAGATGAAGACGATACTGGAAAAACAACGGAAAAGTTCCGCTGAAGCCATCATATCTTCCACTTGGAACCCAAGGGTACAATAATATTAGAGTAATTTCGTGTTACCCAATAAGTTTGTATAAATTAATATCAGAACTATCTGGAAGCGATTTAAGTAGCAGTCATTATTCTTTAGATGATATCATCATGAGGATAAAAACGACATTGTTTTGCCTTTCCGTCAGCATGTCTGTGTGTTCGTCTTGTTACGTAACATTCTATTCAGTTTTGACCTTCAAGTTTCTAAATCTACTTAATTGTTTGTCTGTTTAAGTTATAAATGTTACTTCACTATTCACCCCTACCCTCTTAAACTCTCCACCACAAGATGTGTAAATTTACTTTGTTCTCTGACCCTGACCCTGTAATATGCCTCTAACCAATCTGTGTTGTTTTCCAATAGAAATCCGAACTCTTACCCCTCTTATCTAATTCCACTATATATAATCAGTTGTTTTTGACACCGAATAACCTGTCTATCTACATCAAATTCTGGAATTATGTTCCTTATACCTTCTATCTATAACTCAAAGTAATTATGAAAAGGTATGTTCCACAACTTTCTTGAAACCTATAATTTGATTGTCTTTAGGATGTATGCAGTTGATGAGAATCCACGAAATAAAACGAGCTCGTATTATCCTCCAAACATGTTCATTCTCTCTCTCTTCAAACTAATAAAGGGAACCGGTTGCATGAAAAACGATATTCAACATATTAATTGGTGTAGCCATATGTTATATCTTCTCCCTCTGACTAGAAAGTAAGGCAGAAGAGATTCGAAAGATGTTTGAATTTACTTAATACAGTTAAATAATAACTAAGGATAGATGTAGAGTGTCAGATAAGCAGAGAAAGTCAGTCAATGAGATTGTGAATCTGCATTCATTTATTCGTCTAGGACAGGTGTCAGGCATACCAAGCCATGGCCTTTCTTGAAGCGGTAATATGTACGATTCATGCACTGAAGAATTAGAGATAGTCAGAACGATTACATTGCATTGATGCACTAAGTCTTGATTGTTGATTTGAGCAATATAGAGAGGGGTAGACTTTTGTATTCACTTTGACTTTGTCATACATACCATACAAATATTACCGACAGTCAGTTAATTGTTCGTTACATACCAAAGTAGGAATAAAAGGAAAACTAAATCGTTTAACCTCAGCAGCCATATCTTTGATGTCAGATAGCATTTTCCAGAATTCCTGCTTTTCTAACATCTAGAAGGTAGAGATTCTTGCTGATATTTCTTTTAAAAAATGAAGCAATACCATCCATCATTGAAGCCTGAGTAACAGAGTAAGAGAGTATCGAATGGTTAGTTGAATTAGAATTTAACTCGTGATTACCACAAGCTGCCAATCTATTCGTATAAGTTCTTAATTAGACTTGTTAAGTAACATTTAGAAATACGGAGAACTAAGAGTCAAGAGTAACTCTAAATGAGAAGCACATTATCAGCCTGCTCATACCCTTTTATATATTGGGTGGGGGAAAGAGAGTAACATTAGTTAACGAATCACGATTCAAAAATTCGCATACTTGCTAAACACCTACCAAATCCTGAGAATAAAGTAGGCTGCAGCTAACGGCAATCGAAATATCACTTACCACCATACGGATTCGATTATTTATTACTACTCCTTTGGTTTCCTAGTGGAACATATGACTTCAAAACAGATTATCTCCATTTCAGTCGTTTCTCTGCAATCCTCTTCAACTGACCCCACGATTGTCCATATTCTTTCATCTCTCCTTTACACACTCCCCTCTAAATTACCCTAGGACCCAAGCTAGCTAGTCAATAAGGTCTCACAACAAGAAATTCTGGGAAAGAAGCAAACAGAAACCTCTTGCTCAACAGGTATATTGAAGAAAATTGAGATGGATTGGATTACGTCGCGCCAGACCATCGCCCGAGTGTAACCCTAATAGGGAGAGACTAGTTGGATGTGGGTCCGTTGGTGAAAGCTGGAGAAATGGCGTAAAATCGTTGGCAATTGCGGAGATGTATTCTCTCCACAGTTATATCTGGAGGAAGGAGACTTCTTTGTGACTTCGCCTTCTACATACAAATCACTGATAAGCTTCATAATGACTTTGCTGATATATTCATCGCACAACACTTTAGTTTTAGGCAATTAATTCATACACAACGTGAGTTGAACTGTTTCACTTAAACACGCGGCACTTGTTTATTGTTTTGAATCAGATTGAACTTAATATTTCCTTTCTTGAAGAATTGAATAAATGTTGAAAGGTACTTCATGAATCCACAGAATAATTTATGGCATTCTAATTCCTAACTGTAATTTTTATTAATTCAACCCCTAACCAGAAATTGTTCTGGAACTTTCCCATCCATTTGATATAAATACACGAATGTACAGCCTAGATGATGACTTCGTCGAAAAGAAAATTTTCTTCGCTGCAACTGTCTTTTTATTCCCTATGATCAAATGTGTATATTCCGTGATTATCAATAACTTACTGGTTTTTCTCTGAATTCTCTTCCTCATTATTATTCTGCTTAAAAAGGAAATAATCTTTTTCATTTTCATAATTACAAGTTGGGATTAATTCCCTTTCACCTGGATTATTCTAATATTCATTGTTTTACCAAATCACTTAATGAAATTAGTTTCCATCTTTTTATATGAGTAAGTGAAAAAACAACTAAAAACAAGATTGTGTGTATTGGGAAAATTACGGTCTCTTTTCAGCAAGATAATGCAGCCCACTTGGCTTTCTTTTCTTTTCTAAGATTCATAAGAATCGATAGAACCACCAGCCAATTGAAGATGTTTCAGGAGATGGTTGTTGTATTCTCAGGGAAATGTTTAGCATTTACTCCATTCGTGGAAGTACGTTTTAGTATGCTCAATAAGTTTTACAATCGTTATGTTCGTAACGACTAGAATCGACTCATTGTGGTCTGAACGCAGAGAACCGATCTTTGAGCTCTACTATATTACTTGTCCAAAACTTTCTTGACAGACGCACAGTCACAGAACGCTACAAAGACAGCAAACAGACGCATGTCGAGTTATCCACAACGGAAATACAGGGAATCTTTTGAAATGAATACAGGATTTGCCAAGGCTAAATACTATTACTGATGATACTCCTGATTGTGGTGGGATGGACTCCGCGTAGGACTGTGCTTCGGGAGGGAGAAGACGTTAATATGTTTTAGCGGCATAAAGACTGTGGCGGATTTGGATTTCGAGGACGATTTCTGTTTAGTGCCTCACAAATTGGAAAACTTGCAAGTGAAAACCAACAAGTTTGTGCAAGAAGAAGGTAGCAAAGACAGTGCTTCAAGTGAACACTAAGAAGACAGGGGTGATGAAGATAACCAATCGACCAACAGCAAACACAATCAGCACCAACCACTACCAAAGAGAAGAATTTGGAAGAGGTTACTTCCTTCACCTATTTAGTCACCATCTTGTCAACTGCAGGCATGAAGCATGAAGATGTCAAAAAGAGAAGCGCAAAGACGAGACAGATATTTGTCACTCTAAAATGAGTTTGAAAATCTTCTACACTCCGCCGTATGAAGAACATGATTCGGATTTTCAACACCAATGCTAAGTCAGTTGGTCAGTTCTTCTTCTATATGCTTCAGAAACGTGGCACCGACATCACAAAAAACATCTCCAACAGATGGCTGCAGACGTTTATCAACAACTGCCTTGTCTGTCTACATAATGAAGATCAAACAGCCAGCCGAAAAGTATTGCTGACAAGAAACTCTAGGTATGAACCCACCAAGAACCTACTGCTCAACAAATTTTCTGAAGGAAATTGAGATGGAACAGACGGACAATGGAGAGACCGTGGAATCACATTTCTCACCAGTTCATCACTTGAGTAGAAGCTGTGAGTGGGAAGCAGAGAGTTGGGCGTTAGTCCGAGAGTGACATGAAGGAGATTTCGCGAGGAAGGAATCTTTGGACCAGGAAACAGAACAAAGTGGAGATATGCTGTTGAAACTCTATTCCCCACTTGTCATTCAAGGGAAAAATTGGAGTGATTAATAGTAATGATACATGGATGCACTGGTGGTTTATTTACCCTCATAAACTCCATTGTTTTTCTTTTGTCAGAACAACTTTCAGTTATGTCTCGAGTGAAAATTTATACAAAATAAACGATATAAACTGCATGAATTGTTTATATCATTGTGGATTTATATACATACATATATGTGAACCAGTTATGCATTCTCTTATGTATTATCATTTCACTCTTTTGTTTTTAGGTTGATAAAGGTTTACAGTGCTTGTGTGTGCAGTTAGGACATTCTTTGGAAACATTTAATACTGGCGTGAGACATTATGAATTTGAACAAGAAGAAAACTGGATCCAATCAGAGATGCATAGATTAGACGAATACATGATATCAGATAGAGCTCTGGTTCAGAGTATTTGTAAACTATTTCCAAGCATATTTGATGGAAGTATATCCTTGTCATTTACAAATGATGAAAGTTTATTGATGTCAGAGACTCCAGATGATTTGCTTTCTATTTGTTACAATTCTATTGGTTGTGCAACTGATACTCCGGATGATCGTAATTTAGTAGAGAAAGTTTTTCAAGAATTAGAAGAGAGAATTGACCTATCAAGAGTAAGTTTTCTTTCAATTGTTGGTTTTACAGGGATTTTATCATGAGCTGCTGACATCGGTTAGCCGACAAACCGTGATCAGTGAGATACATCAGGTAGGGTGGGTGTGACGACAAATACTCCCCATGGATTACACTGGTTAGTGCTAGTTGCGCTACATCCTGAATTAACAGAAGTTGGAATTCATCGACTGGCCATTGAATCGGATCCCAGTGGTTGCTTAATGGTCTACGAGCTCATTGCGTTGTAATCAGGACGTCCTGGGTTGGAACCCTGCTAGTGGATGGGTGGGTACGCATCGCTGAAGAGTCTCAAACACTAGTCCAGTACTCGCTGATGGATTTCCAACGGTTTTCTAAGCTATGTCAGCTCATGATGAAGTCCAGCAAGTTTTTTTAACATTATATAATGTAATTTAAAGATTACTGGCTTCCTAGGATATTTAAAAATGGTTAAATGTTTTTAGTTCAGTTGACTGAACATGATTTTATTTTTTCTGCACTAGTGAAAATTTTAATAATTCCTCTATGTCACCTTCATGGAGGTAAGAAACCTATTTTTATGGGGCTTTGATTATACGTTTGAAAATTTGTGTACTGACTAAATGGTTCTTGACTGTATTCATGGCAATATGTCACAGACTTACTGCATTGTTATTCATTAGGGAAAGTAAAGATCTTTTAATCACTCCGTGAAGGCTGTTTACATTTGAAAGATGAATGATTAGTTTTATTGTTAGTGTAGTTTCTCGAGTAAAGAATGTAATTCGTTTCACATATGTTCCTCAAAATAGAATGAGAAATGCGATTCTTTTCTAACTGGTTTAAACAAACTGTCAATGACATACCTGTGGGCTGTTTTTAAATGCACTGACTCAAATGAAATCATGGATAGAAGCCCATATGTCACTGTCTCCAACTCGTTTGACTGCAGGAGGTGAGTCAAACTGTGTGAACTGTTGTTAACCTCGGTGCCAAACGAATGAGTGGTTAGAAAGTAATACTGTTGGATGTAAGAATTTTACAACTATTCGTATCTATTAGTCAGTCAGTCAGTGTCATTTCTCATCACGCCGTCTGTCCAACGCGCGCACGCCACGTTTCTAACCCATATACAAGAACTGACTAACTGACTGACTTCATATTGGGGTTGAAAATCCGAATTTTGTTGTTTGTTCTGGAGCAAAGTGTTGAAGATTTCCAGACTAATTTCATATCTGTCCAACTAGCTTTCTTGTGTTATTTTCTCCCTTTCGAAGCCATGTCCAGTTAATGAGTAGTACTTATCTGCAGTATAAAAATTATATCATCATTCCATTTCACACTTTCTCATCACCTACTGCAGACTACCTGAAATTACAATGATTATAAATAAAGAGAATAAACACACCTCGATATTTGTGAATGGTGGTACAGAAAATATCATGAAATGAGGGCGTTCGAAATGCAAACAACTACAGTTTTTGGTTTAAGTTACCATTAATTTATAAACATTTGAAAGTTGAAAACGTGTGGTGGAAGGAGGAGAAGACAGAACATATATAATAAACAATATCAGCTTATAAGTTCACACAGCAACTCAAAGAAGGTTATAGCTCATACAATTGGAAACTTGCTCAGTGAGCTGAAATCACTAGTATGGATTTGACTAATGAGTGTAATCAAGATGAAAATACAGTTACCAAGGGAGTGAGAGATTGATTACACTCTCTTTTGGTATGCATTGGTTTGTTCTGAAATGCTTGATTTCAACTGATTCAGCGAATTGTAGTAAAATTTACTGTCCTTTGTATGTTTAATATTTTGAAGGATTTAGAAATCTTGATGAAATGATTTGTACCTACATGGTGCCTGGTAATTACATTTTGAAGGATTGGTTTTGTAGGGATTTTGTTTGATTGGTTAGAGGATTCTATCATGAGCTGGCATCAGTAAGAGAACGATTAAGAAACATGGGAGTACTGGACAGCTGTTTCGCCAGCCTAGTCAGGGACTCTTCATCAGTTGGCACCCACCGGGGTTCGAACCGATTTTGCATATATCTGCTCTGAAAACAGGATAGAAGCTCTTCTTTCTGTCCTGTCAAAGTAAATTAATAAGCGCGGTTGGAGGTAACATCAGCAGGGTATTGCCCCAGTTTATATTGGCTTTTTGAGTGAGCATAAGGAGCTGTATAATGATACAAGCTTAGGTACACAGAGAAGCATCTTTTCACTGCTCCATTTTATTCCTCTGTTGAATTCTCTGGGATTCTCCTTTTCGTTTGAATCAAAGGCAAATAAAGATCAGATTTTTCTGTTTTCTGTCTTCGCCTCTCCCCACCACTTGTTTTCCACTCTCAAAGGCATATAAATCGATGATAACTTAAACCGAAAATTGTAGTGCCTGTATTTCGGACGCCTTGATTTTATGATTTTTACTCTACTACTACCGTTCACAAACATTGAAGTACCTTAGTGTCATTGTATTCATAGACATTGTAATTTCAGGTAGTTTGCAGTAGGTGATGGAAACCTGTGAAATCGACTGATGATATCACATTCTATACTGCCAATTGTTTGGTCCTTCTTTATTTGTTGAAATTTTTTCAAGGCTACCAAATGTTTGACAGTATTGCTTATCTTATTTTTGCTTTTTGTTTTAAGGAAAAGTTTATGCAAATTAAAGATAAAGAGGAGAGAATTTCAATATGCTCGAAGACTTATCAAAGCGTAATTGAATCCATTGTGTCTGCTGATTTGATTAACAATGAAAGTGGAAAGGAAACTTTTATTGTTAACACTGTTCCTTTACCGTCAGCCATTCCTTCCACGTTGGAATCATCACCGTCTAACCGCATAGCCTTTGTGAATAATCATCAACTATTGAATAACCGGATGTATGGTGATAATAATAACAATAGTAATAGTAATAATGCTGATACTTGTGACGACAACAATTTCACTGATAGTGTTATGATTAATCATACAGATATACTTGCTACAACTGAACAACAGACATATTGTCATCGTGCTGAAATGCTCAAAAATGCCTATGCTTATCTTTTACGTCGAATGAATCAACGCATAAAACAACTCGAATATTATCGTGACAAAATACTCGAGGTAGGTTGTTTTATTCTTATTTCTTAAATAATTGACTTGACTCACCATTGTTTATGAGTTGCTAGGAGAGAAATATTGGAGCATGTTGTGTCTTATTCATGCCCCTCGCTCCACCTCTCCATTGCAACGAATAATGGTATTCCATACTGTGAGTCGGAATCCACTAGAAATGTAAACAGATAATCGGGAGTGTAGATGAATAATTTAGTCCTATTGGAAGGTTAGGGCTTGGTTTATGAACACATTTAGGTGTCGTCAAACAAAAACCTGGCATCATTTTATGAAGTCTTTGATTATTTGATTGAGCCAGACATATAGGGAGATGTAGACAGTCTGTTTAGAATCCTCACGATTGAGTCAGCCAACGATTGCAGACTATTGATGAAATGGCTGAGAGTTCTTTCCAATGGTGTGAATATAGTTACTCTTTGGAACCTTGGAGATTCTGGTTGATTTAGTTGTGCTCTCTTAGCTCACTGGTTTAATTGCTAAGCTTTTATTGTCCTCTGTCCAGACAACATTTTCACTGGAAGCTTTAATGTGAGGAGAACTTATCTGAATTCTAATTATTACTACTACTGTTCTATTTTCTCCTTTCGACAACCATCTTGGTGGTTGTTCGTAAAAATGCACTCAAATTTTCTTTCCTTTTTTGAGTGCTATCCACATGCACATTTTTTTCTGGCTAACTGTCAGCTAGGTGTGATTTAGAGGTGTACGTATATCAGCGTTTTACATCTGAATCACTAAGGCCTCGATGATGTACAGTATGCGGAGGCTCACCTGTTCGGAGGGCTTCTTTTAACTTTACAGATAACTTTGAATGAATTCTCCTTGCACATTTATTTAACAATGATCTCTCAATAGTTAGGGGGTTGTCGACCAGGAATATGACCTAGATCTCCCGCTTAGCTGAAAACCATACAACGCTTAAACCACTAAAGCATTCCTAGTAGATTATAATATTTCCTTTTTGTTTGTATAAAGATACATGAAATTTTTCCCTCTCCTCTACTTCCTTATAGTGTACCGTCTTGACTGATTTCGACTTCGACGAATGGAGAAGTAATTATCTACAGTGGATTGAAAGTTGTCAATATCGTCTAGCTGATATATTTCCAACTGTTACTGCCAATGCTGATACTATTCAAGCTGATCAACAGAAATCAAAACCTCATTTACATCTTTCTCCGACATCTTCAACATCATCGACTCCAAGAAAAGTGTCTACTGTCTCGTCATCCACACAGTCGACTAACAGTTCTCCAAAGCATAGCTCACCTCCTACGCCTACTACTAAAAGCATCCAATCACTTGGGAAAAAATCCAGCAGTGAATCTTTAAATGTATGTAGTAATGATGTTGTCGTTGGTGTTGTCACTGATTCGAATAAAACATGTGCAATTGCAAAGGGTAAACAAACCGCGAATATTTCAAAACCACCTGAATTAAATTATTCAGAGTTTAGTGAAGTTTTACTCCTACGACGACGACAACAACACCGGCAACAGCAGCAACATAGTCGACCTAAATTTGACTGGGCAAATCCTCTGTGTATCAGAGCCGTATTTAATACCATTGATAAGACGAGAAAAGGCAGGATAACACATGAACAGATTATTGAAGCTCTGACTGCTAAGAAACAGGTGATTGTTACACTTTTGTTTTGTTGATAAGGTACACACATTATGTATTCCTTGACTGAACACTAACCAATGTGATGATGTCTAGCCATTTGTTTGTTACACACTGAGTTCTATCATCAGCTAAGTTTTTGTAATGTGTGGCCAACATGTTCTAGCCGGCTAGCCATCACGATGCATTCAGAATTGTTATGATTAGATTGGTTGGGTGACAATCGGCAGGAAGGTCTGACTGACCCAGGGATTCGTGCTTGTTGGCACTCACTAGTCAGTCAATAGCGTGTATCTGCAATATGACTGCAGCACTGGATGACATGAGTTTGAATCTCAAAGTGCCGATGAGTCCCTTAAAAAATTTGCAGATACGACTTGATGTTTACTGATGAGTGACAACAAGCAAGCAACACCTAGATCAGATAGGTGGGGTTCCTGCCAACTGCCTTCAACCATCTAACTACATTACTGTTGTATTATCTTGCCATCCTTAATTACTTAATTAATATAATTGATATTAGAATTCAGTTTATTGAAATATCTTTTTATATGTCAGGTTGTGGGAAGCAAAAGTAATTAGAGCGAACAGTTGTTTTCAATAAATTCTCTTTATTTAGGCACTATAACTATAAGTCCATTCATTTTAGCCTACAGTGCTGTTAATAAAGTCAAATTAGGATTAAATGGGGGAAGTGTAATTTGTGTGGTACAAGTACAAAATGGAGTAATAGTCACTTAGTTTTGATGATCATTTAGAATATGCATGGTCAATGAGAACATGAGATGAAATAATTCAATGGTGTGTGTATATATGTTTGTATGTAATCGACAAAAGTACAGGTTCCGTGGGTGAGTGTAATCATCAGTGATGTGTAAGAGAGGCGATATGAATACTACAGAGAAATAAACCAACAAATGGGATAGACTAGACGTAAGTTCAAAGGTGAAAGTAACGACAATAATAATGACGATGATGAAATAATAACAATGGTGTGGTGTGAACTTAAAAGTACTATTGGTGAATGGTTATTAATTATTAATGATGAATTTAGTGAAGTGAAACGAACCTGATAGGTTTGAAAAAACACTTCGTAAACCTAAGGGAATAGAAATCATAAGAAAGGTCATTAAGTCGTAAAACGTTAGAGATGAACGTTTGTCAATGAAACAAAGTGTAGCAGTAGGTAATTCCCCAGAATTATTGGCCACAGCACTCATCACTGAGCATTGGATGCTCACCTTCACTGTTTTAGTCGATTTGTTTAGCTGAAGGCTTTAGGTCAAGCATCCAAGCCATTTGGCACGCCGTCGTGTTACGTTCGTTCTTTCGTTCGTGCACGATCCCTAGTTAGTTAAGCAATCATCTAGCACTCCGATTTGGTCTGGAAATATAATTCATAATTTGGCCGATGAATTCTGGTCATTTGCTTTGCCTTTGTCCAACGCGGAATGAAGCTGTGGGTATTAGATCATCATCATCATCATCATCATCAGTCCCTTGACTTTCGTCGTGGGGGTGCTATGACAGTTCGCGCTATCAGTCTTCGCCATTCTTCTCGGTTTATTGCTATTTTCTGTAGCGTATCCAAGGGCATTTCAGTCCACTCTTTTATGTCGTCAAGCCAGCTCTTATTCGGTCGACCTCTCTTTCGTGCTCCTCCTACTGTGCCTTGTAGAATCGTTTTGGACAATGTGTCATGTCTTACCGTGTGGCCGAACCATTGTAGTTTCCGTTTCTTTACGATTGAAAGGAGTGGTTCCTGTTTTCCTGCCAGTCTATGGACCTGGTGTAAGACATATTCATTAGTTTTCCTTTCAAGGTAACTTATTCCTAGGATCCTTCTATAGCTTTTGTTTTCGAAGGCTTGTATTCTTCTTTCTGTCTCTGCATTCAGGGTCCAGCTCTCACATCCATATAGGAATACAGAGAGGACCAGTGACGAGTAGAGTTTCATTTTTGCTGAGACGCTGATGTTGCTCTTCCATATTTTCCCTAACTTGGACATGGTGGCAGAGGCTAGGTTTAGTCGAATTTTTATTTCCTTAGTGGACCTTCCATCTTTTGTTAGGGTAGACCCAAGGTATTTGAAAGTTTCAACCTCTTCTAATACATGTCCATCAAGTCTGATACATCTATCTGAGTTGTTTCCTCCGTTAATGAGTATTTTGCTTTTTTCTGTGCTGATTTCCATGCCCACAGATTTGGTTGCAACATCAAGTCTTGAGGTGAGGTCCTGAACTTGATCAATGTTTTCCCCAATGAGGGCTATATCATCAGCAAATCTGAGGGTATTAGATCCCGAGTTAATATACTTCGTACTATCCATGAACGTCAACAGCCTCAGCCTCTAAACTGGTGAGCCCAAAGTGAGGATGAATTTAAAGTGCTACTGTCTATGGAGGATTTGTTGGCCTTATTGTAGGCCAATATAAACGTAACAGGTGGACATATTTCTTCTGTATACAAAGAGCTGATCTTCTGGTATTGACTGCTACCGCTTCATTTACTGATAGAAGACGTAGTCGAGCTCCTCTTGACAGATTACTAGAAAGGCAGTGAATAACCAAGAACGCCTGATCTGGTTTTATTGAAAAATTGTGCTACATCACTGAATTATTTCATCTCATTTTATCTTATGATCTTATTGACCATTCATATTCTAAATGATCACGAGAACCAGTTGATAATCACTTCATCTTGCAATTGTACCACATATAATACACTTTCTGATACAGTACTAAGTTGACTTTATTGGCAGTATTGTATGCTCAAATTAATGGATTTATAATCATAGAGTCTGAAGAAGGAGAGTTTATTGAAGACATTTGTTCTCTCGAGTTATTTTTGATTATGAATAAATTACAAGAGACATTCATGATATGTGGTGTGATCCTGATAGCCAATCTATCAAGCTGAATTACATGAAGTTGAATACGAACCTGAAACTCACAGGCTACAAGTCAACTTCTAAATCCAATCAGTTTCGTAAAATTCTTGTCTCAAAAGCATCCCACTTAATACTGATAACCAGAAGTGATTTAAGACCTATGAGGGTAATGAAAATTAGTCATATTTGATCATACTCAAGGAATAGGTGATATTTTGTATCTATTTACCCGTAAATTACACAAGTAGTTGTGTAAGATGCCGTATACATCAATGACTGTTAGAAGTTGTTTTATGTGTTTTTTAGGGAACCTTGAGTTTCATCGAGTCTATGTATATGTTTTCTGACTTATTATTCACAAGTAATACATATACTCTTACTAAAGAAGCTGTTTTAAATTTACCAGACGATGGAGACTTTGACATCTTCATGTAGTGAAATGACCAAAACAAGATGAATGTTGCATTACGCCTACAGAATTCGCGTTATTTATTTCTTGGGAATAACTCACTATCGGTGCTTTCTCTTGATCCCGAGATTAATGAAGTCTACTAGTCAATCGAAGTTATAAACTGACGGTTAGTGCAGACGACGATAAACCAGTGAACTTCGAGATGTCATATTGATGTTCAGTTGTGATTAGACAAGATGCTTCAAGCACTAATCTCGTCTTGATTCCTTTAAAGCTTAAGCTTGAAGTCCTATGCTCCACTTGGAACGTAAAGAAATACAGAAAGTTCAGACTACTGATCATTCTTTAAGGATGGAACAAACAGCCTCTTGGGCCTATCTCCATTGCAATCGCTTCTTTGCTATAAAGTTTAACCGGCTTCTTTTTGATGTGGTTGTGTTCTCTAAGCTGGATAGTTTATTTGTTAAGCTTTCATTTCCTTACTAGGCAACATCATCATGCGTACTTCGATTAGAAGTGAGCTTTTAGCATTCTCCACGACTTTATTAGTCATCTCTCCTGATGACCCTGAAAGTGATTGGTTGTTTCTGTGTGTTTTCATACCTTCTAGGCTACTTGTATTGGAACTGATTGTTTCCTTGGGATGAACTTTGACCTTTTGTTTGTAAGATTTCCATCGTACCGGTTGGTAAATTTTGTCTATCTCAATGTGTCAGTTGATTGACTATTCATTGGAATACCAGGCGGGCTTCAAAAACTTCTCTAGCATTCTTGGTGTTACTTCTGTCTAATATTTGAACGTAGGCTAAAAGACCCAGTTGACCCAATTAGACAAAATAATATAATGTACAAAATACCCTGCAATGACTGTGAGGTCAACTACATCGGTTAAACTAGTAGGCCAGGGGTAGTCAGATTGTCAGAACATAAGAATTTAGCTAAGGTAAGAATGGTTGACCCAGAGAAGATAAGTAATTTAGAAAAAAGCTCGGCAATTGCAATGCATGCATTAACACACAACCACACAATAGGGTGGGAGAGGGTTAAAATTCTAAAAAGTAATCTAGGTAGGTGGAGAGAGAGGTTGATTACTGAATCTTTGTTCATCGAATCTACACCCAACACGTGCAATAGGAATGATTCATCACTCCTACCCGAAATATGGAAAATATTACCACCAATCAAATCAAGTGAAAAACAACGGAACTATATAAATGAATTTAGGAAGTCGTGTGATTACCTTGATATGATTATGAGCAATAAATTGTACTCGAAACGTCATCAGTAAGAAAACATTACTGTATAACACTGTGAGACTTTATCAAAACAAAGTTTACCCATAATGGAGTACATGTCATGTCTTTTGACAGCCAGTTAATGTTCATGCATACGAAGACGAAGGGACGTCCACTTTGGCCAATGTAGTGATTTTCGTAGTTGTTACAACTTATTTTGTAGATGATGTTGGTTTTATCTTATTTCGTTATTGAGCCTTTTGGCTGACACAGAGATGGTTAGCTGAGTGAAGTAATTTTGTTGGTTTGTGTGCGACATCAATTTCTCAGGGTTTGAAGAGACTTGCGGTGATTTCTGAGATGTCCTTTATATGTGGCAGGGCGATTTTCTTTGTGCTTTCCTTAGAGGCCTTTGATTTGATAGGTTGGCTTGGGGGTATATGTCTTTTGATGAAGTTCCATGGGTATCCATTCTTTTGGAAGACGTCCATGAAGTCAGTTTCCATTCTCTCCTGTATATATGTTGGGTAGTAAGTCGGTCGTCTCATTCACCATCGGCGTTCTTTGTTTAATCACGCAAAAAAGTCCACATCTTTCAGTGTCATTTCGTCAGTCAGACATATCCTCGTCTTCTCGCTTCCCACGGTCTCCTACTTGATCCAATCCAACATAATCAGGGGTTTCATAGGTGATAGTAAGCTGAACTGTCTTCACTTTAAAGGCCTCATTGAATTCTCCATTGTGAATCATCTGATATGTGGTATCATCATCATCAATATACAGTGGCTGAATGAGGCCTATAAATATTCCAGGAACTCTGTAGTGTTGAGGTAATTCTCACTTGAACTACAGTACAAAAAAGGGGATATTTGATTGTTATAAAATCAAGGCATAACTGAAGGTCATTATGCATACAGTTAAACATGTACAGTAATTCATTTCGCCTTTAGAATAATCAGTGGAGTGTGAAAAGAAAAATCAGCTTAGTTAACCTACTCGTCTAAAAGCTTTCCTTTCTCTCTCTCTCCCTCTCTATAACACATTTTAGCAACAACAGCAACAACAACAGCAACATGAACAAGCAACAAAACAGCAACATCTGCCAAATGATGAGTTAATTGCACGTGCAATACAACAAGAAACCAGTAAATGTATGTGCCAAATAAAATTTCAATCTAAAAAGGTTGGAACAGATAAATATTGTGTAAGTGGGAAATTTTCTGTTATTGCTTTACTTACATAATACTTTTCCCTTTATTAAAATATAATTCAATTTGGAGTCAACTCCGATTGATTGATTGAATGAATGGACCGAAGTGCTTGGCCTCAAGATGATACGTCGGCTGTTTGTGCAGGTGCTTCGACAATGTCTAAGAATTTAACCTGAAGTAGTTTGCTGGATGGTGACTGACCACCGATGGAATCCATCAGGATGCTCATTCCGTCCTATTTGGGAATTGTGGTCATCTGGATTTACCTGGATACCCCAATGAGTCAGTGATGGTAATCCCACTGAGGCTAGGAACCCGATGGCTATAATTTCAAACGCCAATACATTATACACTAGACAGACCACTTGGACCACAAGAGCTCTTCTTGTGGAACAGATGGAGTGCGCATCATGGTGGATTCCACTGTTAGTCACCTTCCACCAGGGTACTTTCCACATTTTCATCAATTTTTTTACTCGAAAGACTTGGTGCACAGATACGACCTGTAGCTGGGTAGACTACTACTATTACACACACACACACACACTAGTATGAGTATATCTTTTCTGTAAACCTTTAGTATTTTGCAAGAAATGATGTCTTAATAGTAATTCGCTTTATTCTAAAATGGTGCTTACGATACGGCGTGGATTCTCGGTATTTAGCACAGCAGTAAACAAGAGATAATATTATAGAGTATTACTGTTCTAATTCTTCTATTGGGTTCCGAGTGAAACATCATGCTTCAACAGTACGTCTCCAGTTTGTTCTTTTTTCTATAGTCCTCTCTTTAGTTGGCTCCACGATCTCTTATCTTCTCAATGTTACCCTTGGATGCCTCACTCATCGTTTCCTACTTTGGGTTTCCACTCGAACTAATTGTCTGGCAGGCCATGTCGTTTAACGGTCGCCTCAGCGTGTGCCCAATCCATCTGCATTTTCTCCTGCCGAATTACGTTGTGTCTTCAAAACTACTTCTCTTTAGCATCCAGGAGTAAAAGGCAAACTGCCTAATTTCGCCTCTTCCATGTGTATCTACCAATATAACTGCTCATATGGAGGCAGTTACATAGGCCGCACAATTAGGCGTGTTTCTCGTCGAACATCACCCTGCGTGGTTAAGCAAAGGACAAAGAAAATCCATCTGCAGCGCTATTCTATCTTATCTTGTGGATACAGAACATGAGACTGACGTTAACCATGCTTTCAGGGTCATTTACCGCATACCTACGAATCTCAATTTCGCCTTAAGAGTTCGAATACTACATACTGCTGAGGCTGTGGGGATCCCCATGGAGAAGCCTAATTTATGAGTTCAAAGGAGGCTTGTTCAGACATTATCCTTACCTTGGCCATCTAGGTTTGAATGATCCTCAAGTTTTGTGGAAATTTCCTTAATTTTAGTTGATATTCTCTTTGCTATTATATCTTTACTATTATTATCATTATTATTATTATTTAAGCATCTTTAATGAACCGTAATTCCATTGTGATCTTCCTTTACAAATCGATATTATTTAAAAAACACTAATATTGTCATTGACTACTAATCTAGAATATTCTATGTATATAAACATATATATAATTTTAGAGCCAGAAGAGGAATTTATCGAAAAGCATATTCTTTGCTCAATTATTTTGTGTCCTACATATTTGTTGAGCGATTGGCTCTTGGTTCGTTTGTTCCCAAAGTCTCTTGTTGCTGATTTTTTTCTGGTCATTTGACCTTTAATACGGAGCCACAAAAAACAGCTGTTTATAAAAGTCTTCTACCTGTTAAAATGCCTTTCGTGACGCATGAGTGAAATCTCTGACCCATCTAGAAGCATTAAGAATTGAATTCTGAGACCTTTACACAAAGAAAATGTGCAATGAAGAATTATTGAAGTCTTTAGGTTCATCTCTAAAATACCTGAGACTCATATTAGTGACAAAGTGATGTTATCCATGAATGTATCACCACTATTTACGAATGTAACACCTGTACAAAAACGTGGACTATGTATACCGAAAAACCATTGAAAGGCAAGTGGACTCAGGAATTCCTCTGTCTCGCTTCAAATAACTTCTACTCTTTTGATGGATAATAAATTTAAATAGGGTGCCTTCATTAACCGATATTACCAACAAGTATATGGAATTGCTATGTCTTGACCATTAGGCCCGATTTTAGCAGACTTCTTCTTTGCGAAACTTGAAAGACTTGGAGATTGAAAGATTTCATCACTCAATTGGATATATGTTATCATTATGTCGATGACACATTTATCTGAGTGAATGAGAATGTAAAAATAGATGAAGGGTAAATGAAATTTATTAAAATTCGCCTTACACCTACTTTTACCTGTGAAGAGCAATAGGACAGATAATACAATGCGTTTTCTGGATGTCTTGCTAAGCAGGCAAGAAGATGGGTCACTCAACATAGGCGTGTATAGAAAACAGCACATTCGCAAGACAATGCTTACACTACCTTAGTTACGTGTTCATTAAATATAAATGAAATAATGTTAAGTGTCTTACGTGCAGATCAAGAAAGATATGAAGGGACGATCACTTACAGAAGGAATTTGAATACATTCATGTTTCCTTGATAGGGATAGGCTATCTAAGTAGCTTCGTTAAGAAATATATGAAAGCATCAGATGGAAAATCTGTGACGACGATGCCACAGGAGAAACCTCTATTTAATGGGTTCTTGTCAGGTGAAATTCTGTCCCATAAACTTTCCAGGAGTACACGAAGAACATTTAATACAGTAAACCTGCGTTTGGCATTCTCTACACGATGAATGATGACTGGGACTCAGAAGAAGGATAAGCTAGATAATTTCGCCACATCTGTATGCATTAATCAACTCACCTGGTCCTGTGATGACAGTTATGTCAGGCTTACTACTAGACAGCTGAGCCAACGTGTTACCGAACATCACCCATCGTGGTTTGGCGAAAAACAAATAAAATTCACCCACAGCTCCATTTTGTCACATTTAGTTGATAATGGTTATTTAATGGATAGAAAGAAAATCATTCAAGATGAGATTCATCTCATCCCACCGAATCTTCTTTGTGGACTTTGTATTCGTCTACTGTGCATAGTTTAGGCGATTTGCATTCGAGTTAGTGAGCCTTGACTATGAGTTCAAAAGAAATTGCTACAGCCATTATCCCTTCCTCAGACAATTGAGAGTAAACCAACAGATGGTATCACCACCAACACCACCACCCCTTACTTATATTTCCAACCCCTTTCTTATCACGCCTTCATTAAAACATATTTTATTTACTTCCCTGACAACCTGGCAATACTCAATCAGTCCCATCTGTTTTTCTTAGCCTTTATTGACTGCTACATCCACCTGGACATTTGTTTGTTTAATCATGCTGTTTTTCGTTACTCTTGTTATCACAGATCATCTCACTTTTTCATCTTTCTTATTGATAGTATCATGATTGTCATTATGACTAGTTGCACAAGTGATATGCACAATCTCATCATCCTGTTGACAAAGTAACCGTGATTGGTTTATATATTTTAATATTTATTTGTAAAGTTGTATAAATATACTAAAGTTAAGGCCTGATGAGATCCATTTGAAGCACATCACTATTCACTAATGAAACTCTACTCATATCTCCCTTCTTTCTTCCATTTCTTGCAGTTTGGACCTAGTTCGAAAGTCTATTTAGTCCGTTTCCTTAACAGTACCACTATGGTACGGGTAGGCGGTGGATGGATGAAGTTGAGCGAATTCTTAGACACTCGTGATCCATGCAGAAGTAAGCAGTTGTAGATTTTATTTTACTTAATCCCTTTTTTATTCACCGGTATTTTCTCACTGAGTGGTTAGCATTCACATTACACATTATTTATAAGTAATCGCAGTGTGGTTTTGAAAATGGAAAAAACAGACAATCATATACTTCCAAAGATTGTGTAGACAAAAGTCAAACTATAAGCGCCATTTTGATACCTTTAAGTCTGTGACACCCTCCATCAACATGCAAAAATATTTCACATAGACAGCTGTAACCTGTGAAACCAGATACTGACTGAATATTCCAGTTATACCTGAAGGTGAAAAAGAAAACTAATCCATACTGAACAATTGTTTCATCCTAGATCACGATTCTTCAGAATGACTCTTTAGCCCATGAACTCTCACCCCCCACCATCACCGATTCGTGATCTTAGCATGACCACCATGACCGCCCAATGAATCGAGCAGCAGTCGCTGAATTATCTATGAGTTTGTCTCATAACCAGAAGCCCCTGAGTTCTAAACTCTGTGGTTGCTTGCTACTGAAGGGTCCTAAGTACTAGGAGGAAATAGCTGTCCAATGCTCTAGTACTGGTTTCTGCTGGATCTTCGTGGTTAAACTTGAAGTGAATAGTATTATATCACTTCAGAATTGTGTATTCCCACTCTGTGTTACAATAATTAAACTGCAAGGGATTTAGAATTATTTGATTAATTTGTTATATCGCTTGAGCTGAAGCAGTCAGTATATTGTTGATATTAGGTGGTTGGAGGCAACAGGCAGGAATCTTTGGCTAACTCTAGGTTTTGTGTTAGTTGGTACTCGCCAGTCAGAAAAGCGTATCTGCAACCTTGAAGGAACTCATGTCGTTTCTAAGATTCGAACCCAGGTCACCCAGTGAGCGCCGCAGTCTGAGACGTTACCAGTAAGCAGCTATTCGAGCTAGCCACTGAACTCCTATAGGTCTGTATTTTTACTGTGATTGGACACTAGTTAATAACAATATTGCCACCATGCTAGGTGACTAGCCATCACGATGCACTGCACTGTGAATTGTTGACATCAGATGTTTGGGGGCAATCGGCAGGAAGCCGCGCTTGACCTAGGTGTCGCGCTTGTCGGTTCAAATGACTAGAAACGTCACACTAGCTGCTAACTAATGTTCAATCAAAGCAGTCAGTATATGTTTGTGTAGATAACTGTGTCCATTGATAGCTACTTTTGTAATGATAAAAATTTAATCCATTTGGCTCAATCACTTGACTAACAGTCGATAGCTGAGCTTTCTGGTAGCTACAAACTATAGCAACCTAAGTGAACGACTCATGTAAACGGATGTGATTTACTCTGATCAGTCAGTCAGATGACCCTGTAGTAAATATGTGTGGTTTAAAACGCTCTTTTATAGACATTAAAGTTTGTGTTTAAAAAAAATAGTTATACTGGGTAACTTTCTCGTATGTGTCCCTCCCGATTTCTTATTGGAGCCTTCAGCCATAGTCCAAACCGATTTCTGTAAATAAATGCGTATATCATGCTGTTTCATGACCTATTCACTGCTTTACTACACTCATGAACTCAAAAATATAAAAGACTTCTCTTTTTGGACAGACTTTTAGTAACAATAGCCAGGCCATCTGTACACATATCCGTCAATGGGGCTGCATATCTCTGTAAAGAGATTACTACCTCACATAGACAAGCTTCCTATGAAGCCATTATCTAGCCAATACTGAAATACTAGACCTGGATGTAATATGCAAAGTAATTCGTGTACGGCATGCATAATTCCGCCTATTTACTGCGGGCTAATCTGATTGGTTGATCGAGGTCATTACGTCCGTTCACTTGGGTTGTTCTTTTGGGTCGCTATAGTTTAGAGTTACTCGTGTTCTAATTTTACCCTACACACTTCAGCTTCGCTAAACAGGATCATCAGCCTTCATACGATAAATGTGACTCAGAGCTTAATACAGGGGAAACGGATTAGCCACAGAACTTACTAGATCTCCAAAGCATATGGACATATTCAAGTGTTGGTTTGCAGAGGTTTGATTGGTTACAAGATTTCATCATGAGCTGACATTGGTTAGAGAACCACTGGAGTACTGGACAGCTGTTTCATCCTCGTATGGGACTCTTCATCAAGACGAAGCCAACAGGTTTCGAACCCAGGAACTTCTGGTTACAAGGCGAGCTCGTAGACCATTAAGCGACCAATGGGACCCGATCCAGTGGCCACCCCATGAATTCCAACTTCTTCCTATTCACTATGCAGTACAACCACTAGGTCTTCCAGTGGTTCTGTAATCTATGTCAGGTCATGATGAAATCCTGTAGCCAATCAAACGCTTGCAAACTGAGCTTTGAATATCAATGTGATGCTCACTAGAGACTGACCCTGTTTGGGTAGGTATCTATCTGGGTTCTAATGGGAAGTTGTGAACAGTGGAATACAATACGGCGTGTCTGGTGTGAGGAGAATTCTCGCTGATGATGACACTGGCTAGTACCAGTCGCGCTATATCGCGGGTGAATCCTCAGAAGTTGGAATTCATGCGCTGGTCATTAGACAGGGTCCTAGTGGCCCCTCAACGGTCTACCAGCTTGACTTGTAACCGGAAGGTCCTGAGTTAGACTCACGTTGGTGGGTGAGTGTCCCAAAGTGCGACAGTATAAACTGCTGTCCAGTACTCCCTGATGGATTTCCTATGGTTCTCTAACTGACGTCAGCTCAAAATGGAATAATATAAACTTATATTTCATATGGTGTATAACAAGGTATGAACAGTAATAACTGGGAAAATTCTACCGAGATTTGGTGAATTCATCACCATTTGTTGCTGGTTTTAATAATATGGAAAAAAGAACCTTTCAAGTTAAAGTTCACGACTCTTAAAGTCCTGAAATGGAAGTAATCATACACCTCATTCAATGATTATTATGATCATGGATATTGTAAAATCATCTGTAGGTCACCAATTGTTTACTCTGGTGTTTTGTTTCAACTTCACATAGAATACCTTTTTCCGATGTTTCATTTCTCTGTGTATTACTTTTTTCCTGAAACCTAGTCGTCCATAAAAGAAATCGTCTTGGTTCTGCTGCACCCAAAGCCAATTCATCATTGAACACATCACTTATAGGTCGCACATCCACAACATCTGCTTCAAAGAAAGAAAATACTTTAGGATTCATTGAAGTCACTCCGATACGAGGAAGTAATTCTCATGGTAAATCGCCTACTGTTTCTAAGAAGGAATTCCCCATTGCGTCAACTCCATTGATGAATAAGGAAGTCAAAGATGCACAAGAACAAGTACCAAGTTTAATTGATCAAGCTATGATTGATGTCAGTGGTACCTCTTCAAAATGTGAGCAGCCTTCAAATGGTAAGTGTATAGGATTTAATCAAAAGATGACTATTTTCAAGGATGTCGTGTTGATTCACTCTGTAGCATACCCACAGGCATTGCGCTATGGGTATTATCTGTTGATTTTTTTCAGCAGGGTTGGCTAGAAGACTATTCATGAAGATGCTATGATACTAAAAGTGCCAGTCGGACAGCTGCTATAAGTTCTTATTACATAGTTGAATTATTTGAAGATGACATGCGGTGACTAGTATTTTGTCTGCCTGAACCGCCTTCTCACTTTGCGTAGGCATGTTTGTAAACAGGTCGTCCCAACAAGTTCATATCACTGCATTATTCCATTAAGTTGCGAGTAAGACATAGGCCTATAACAGCACATGTTCATTTCATCTATGAGGTCTCATTTCCTTCTCACATGATCGCCACCATGTCATCCTCTGACCTACTCCCAACTCGTTGCATCCAATTTCGGGGTTCACTTGAGTGATAGCCTGGCGCTCGATGTCACCCAGTGGTTTTCTCACGGCATGTCTGATCAGTCTTCATTTTATCGAAATATTTGTTGAACAATAGGCTCTTGATTGACTCGTTCCCGGAGTTTCTTCCTACTGATTCTTTCTGGCCGACCACCTGACCTTCATCTGTTGATAAGAATTTGTAGCTTGCTTCAAACGCCTTTCGTGACGCGTGTGGCAATCCTCTGAACCACACAGAAGAATTGAAGGACCTGAAATTAATGTTGGAAATCTGAATGTTGTTATTAATGCTTGGCACAGTAAATTTCCACATTGATTTTAAATTATTGTAGGCCTTTCCTATCTGATCTTGCCTTTAACATCGTCTTTTCTGCTACCTGAAGTTGAAACGATGTTACCTGATTAAGTGAAAAACGTCGCTTCCTTCAAATTCCTCCCGTTGTCATTGTTTTGTGCCTGTTGTTGGCATCTTCATCACCTCTGTCTTCGCTATGTTCACTTCAGGTCCTGGACTCGCCACCTGTTTCTTCTCCTGACTTATTGCCTTTTGTCTGTAGGTCTTCGAGATTGCGTGATATTACAAATAAAACATCTATGAAGTTCAAATCATCCAAATTCTTCTTATCTTCTTCTTGCTGCACACTGTCTAGAGGATGATCTGGTCTACTACAACTAGAAATATCAGCAGTGACATCAAACAGACTTGTTTTACTCCATCCTGTTTTCACTTCAAAAGCCTCGATGAGTTTTCCATTATGAGTCACTTGATACGTGGCAATGTCACATAGCAGTAAATAAAGGATTGGAGCACTCCATGGTTTTGAGTCATTTTCTGAATTACTTCACAATTAACTCTTTCGAAGGCCCTTTTACAGTCGATGAAGCTCAGGTGAAGATTTGACCACCATTGTATTCTATGATGATCGTCACATGATATACTCTTCTGGAATGCAGCTTGTTTAAAAGAGCGGAATTTCACATTCAGAGTTCTACTGAGCCTCTCCAGGATGACACGACTTAATATTCTACTGCCGTGTTGGGTACACTGCAGTCCATGTCTTTTGGTATATGCATTTTTATGGCATTACAATACATTTAAACAGGTCGTATGTGATTGTAACAGTGTCATTTGTAGAATTTATAATTTTTTATAGTTTTCTTGTGTATTTAGGTTTCTGTAGCAGTTTGATTGATTTTCCGAGTCAGGGTCACTAGTCCCACGCCCAACCCTCCCTCTTTCTCCAAGTTTGTGACCTGCTAGAAAACTAGCGATCTAGTATACTAGGTGAAATCTGAATTTCACAGATGATTTATGTCTAATGTCACACTAACTCAAAAACTTAATGGACGTAAACCAACAAACTGACAGAAGAAGCAGTGAAGACAGAACTTCAAGTAGACATAGAGAAGATGGAGGTCAAGAAGATAATCAATAACAAGCATTAATCACTATCAGTGGAATAGATTTGAAAAAGGCCGTTTCATTCACCTGTCTCAGGAAGGCTTCGTGTGCTTTTGGAAGTGTGTGGGCGGTCGTTACTTCCTGGCTGCCCACACCGTGGACGTTGGTTGATTCTTCGGGTACCTGAAACAGAAAGAGGGTTGGTGTTCTGTGACTGCAGAGCCCAGGGGACAACTGCTTGGGGCCGGTCACACACGGCCTGTCTGAACTGGTTTCTGGGATTGGTTCCGTATTAGTAAACTTACCGCCGGTTAAAGACTACCGTAGGGTAAGTTGGGATGTACGATTTGTCGACTTTTTTTAACCCTCTCCCCCCAGAGTGGAGAGACAGCATAGCATGCTGGTCATCTGAGGGAAATACCTCACTGCTGTTACATCCCTGTTCCCCAGCAGTACGACTTCGCCCACAGCCCCCCAGCATAGTGTAAGAAAGATTCCTACACTATGCCGGTGACTGCTTTTAGTCTAATTACTATCCTAACAACCTTCCTGGCATGGTAGGACCTGCAGGAACATTGGTTCCAGCCAGTGTAGCTTGTTGCGTTATCGCGATGTGCAAGCCCGACCATCACGTCAAGGTAGCAGCTATCGGTCATTCACCTAGTTGGGAAGCATTGTTTCAACTACAGGCGACATCACGTATGCGGATGTCAAAACCAGTTTGGATAGGAACGGCAAAACAGACCTTCATCACTCTGTAGTGAGTTTGAGAATCTTCCGCAATCCACACTATAAAGAAGAAGATTTGAATTTTCAACACAAACGTTAAGTCAGTCAGTTCTTCTATATGGGCCAGGGACTTGATGTGTGCGTCACGAAAAGCATTTCCAACAGGCAACTGGAGACTTTAATCAACAGCTAACTTCGCAATCTCCATAGTGAAGATCGAATGGTCAATAGGAAAGGATTAGCAACAAGAAATTCTACGACCGAACCAATCAAGAACCTGTTGCTCAACAAATATGCAGGAGAAAATGGAGATGTTGAGGAGACCATTGGGTGACAGTGCTCGCCAGACCATCACTCAAGTGAAACCCAAATAAGAAACGACGAGTTGGGTTTAGGTCAAAGGGAATAATGTCACCATAAGATTACAAGTATGGGAGAATAACTGAGCTATTTTTATGCTAATTACACAGTAAGTCGTTAGTTTCACTTTTAACACTATCTTCATCACATAGAATGAAGTCAGTCGGGTGGGTCGAATAAGGCATCGTTAAGTTTCTATACTTAGTAATGAGAGCAGATAATCTTTTATACTGACTTCCATTACTACCAAATGAGAAGAAAGTTGGGGAGAGTTGTGAATAGAGAGAGGGTGGGTGGGTGTTGACAGTCTGACCACATGGATTTGGACCATTTCTCACATGAGTTGTTCAGGTGTCTGTCAACTAGGATAGTAACGAGCTGACCAACTTAGTGGTGCACAAATTACCCTATTGGCAACAGTTATTACCCTTCTCAGTATGACATAATCCTTTCTAAGTAGCCCAGGAGAGAATCAGAGGAGAGCAATGAAGAACAATAGGTAAGATTCAAGAGTTAATAAACTGTCAAAGTAGATGTTGAGTGATTCCTGATTTCCTTAACTTTATAATGTGGTAGACGGTTAGACATAACATTTTCCTTGGGGATAGACAAGATATGGGATGACCAAAAAATATCAAAGGATAGAACTATTCCAGTGGTATTCTATGCTTGATTTATTCTCTATATTAATGCCCACTTAGCTACAAGCATCGTATGTGCTATTGAGTTAATTAAGATCACGATTATGAATGAAGATGAAATTAACTGTCTGACATTTAGTAAAGGGATATAACGTAAGAGTATTGGCTAATGTTGAACAGAAAACTATTCAGTTTACTAAAGTTGGATAAGGTGATGACTGGCTAAATTCGATTTCAACCATATAAACGCGATTATTTTACATAAACATACCAATCTGAGTATCTTCAACTTGTTGACTGTACATTAAATCACTATTATCCAATAGATGGCTTATATATACTCTTAAACCATATACATTATTTTGATCTTCTGAATTTGTGGGCTCTTTTGTTTGTGTTGTATTCCAGAACAGGCAGCAACAACGAGAACCACGAAAGACCGAAAGAATAAAACAAGAAAACACTGACTGAGATGTTCAGCAAGCAGTAGAATTGGCTGCCAACTATATCAGGGTTCAATCTCTTTAAAATATATAGATCTATAGAGAGAAAAACATTTCCATTGGCATCTATTTTTGTAATACTGTTGCCATTTTTTAAAAATTATTACTGTTATTTTTGCATAAAATCTTTTTGTAGAGTTTTTTGAACACTTTTTGTTCTTGTCTCTAAGTGAAATATCTATCAGCAGTCCTATACAATGTGCTCAATTCACCTATTCCCGGTTTCATGCATATTATATGCATAACTGTTAAGCAGAGTATTATATATAATGATATTTTTTGGTTATAGATACTGAGTGGTTGTCACTGCTGCTCCTACTTTTTGCTGTTGCGTCTTTTTTCTTATTCGCTTTCTATGTCGCTTAATGTTTTTTCCAATAGTGTAACCTTGATTGTTGTTGTATGCTGTCTAGTCTAAGTGTCGAAACGTTATCCGTAAAAACAGTTTTTCTGCATTTTGTGTATTTTGTGTAAACGGTGCAGCCATTTTTGATGTTATTTTTTCAACAATATAGATGTTAACCTGAATAAGTTGACTTGAGTTTTGTTTTGGCTTTTCTTTTTTTATTTATTTATTAAATCCAACTGACTAGATCAATGATTTGGACTCGAGTTGATTAATTACAAAAAATAAAGAATTCATACTTCATGTAGGCAGTATCATGAGAATCTGTGCTCTACTGATAAGCTGAATCTCATATCTCAGGTAAATATTTTGGCAACTCACAATTCGTATTGGGGAAGGGTGTATCTCAAAAAATCAGCTATTGGTCTAATAGGAGATCTTGGCCTTTGGTAATCTATTACACAAATCATGAAGGAGGATGCTGAGTAATATGTTCATTGCGCTGTCCAGTTGTTCGCCCTATATAGCCAGCCTTCTCCGCTTGAGTAGCTAAATTCGTGGAGTGGCACAACTGGGTAGCTGGTCTTTCGCTTGACCAATCTTAATTGTACTTCAAGTGTTGGTTTGTAGGGATTTGGTTGATTGGTTACAGGATTTCATCATGAGCAGAAATTAGTTAGAGAACCATTGGAAAACCTGGGAGTACTGGACAGCTGTTTCGCCCTAGTTTGGGACTCTTCATCAGTACGCTGGAAAGTGACAAACAAAGGATGACGGCAGTATAAGAGCGTCTTTTATTACTCTAGGTGATCTTAGATGTAGAACTTTACCAGCTACGTCCCATTTGAATTGCAGTTTTATGAACTATCGTTTCTTTTTAACTGTTGCCAATTTCTATTGTGTCTCCTAACAAATCTACTAGGATAACACAGTTGTACCGGCGCATTTTGGATGCATCCTTATTCATTTTCTAAGGAGTCATCTGTACAGAACCATCTTGCTCTATTCTTGAGGCATCTGACCAAACTGATTCATTATCGGATTGGTACAAAAATGAAGAGATATGTATATTGTTCTACAGACGTAGGTTTTCTATAGACAGTTTTCTTCACTGAGGCATCCTCTTTTCTACTCAATTAGGAAGTGTGGTCTACCATCATGTTCTTCTTCACAAGTAAAGATGAGCGATGGATCTGTGTCATTAAATTTTATTAACTTCTCATTCTTGTCAGCTTTCACATTAGGAATAATAAACGTATGATCAACATAACGAAAATAAGAATCCATTTTATCTATTACTTGTTTTAGTGGACCATTGCCAAGCTTAGCAAGAAAGAAATCTGCCAAAATTGGACCCAAGGGAGAACCACTGACAATACCGTCAATTTTTCTGTAATAAAGGCTGTTAAATGTGAAGTGTACATTCATAGTACCTCTTAGAAACAGCTCTTTCAGACTAATAACTGGAATTCCGATTTCGAATTGTTTTTTTCTAGTATCCGTTGGCATATGAATTTCACAGTCACCATAAGTGATACATTGGTAAACAGTGATGTCTTTTTATAAAGTATCGCGGATATCCATTTTTCTAGAAGACGACCATAAGATATTTTTCTTCCATTTTCTTCAAGGCCGGAGTTCAGTAATGCGTCATATCTCTCTTGAATAATGTTTGTATGCAACTATTTTTGTGCGCAGTAGGCTTGTTGTAATTGTAATTGATTATTTGATCTCTTTAGCTTGATTTTCTGTGTATACTTAATTTTTTCAATTTTCCTGCAGTTTTTCGTTTGACTCAGACGTTTAAAAATGGAATTTTGGTCCTTGAATTCCTCTTCTCTTGTAAATTTGTTGTCATTCATACTGTTGTGAGTTTTATCTAAGTCGTTTTCTCTGATTATCATGAATGTTAACAGACAGAATGTATCATCCATGTAAAGTATTCAAATTTAGAGGTCCACCCCTTAGTAGGTTTATATTTTCAAGCCTCTATTTAACAGCCTCTGCAATCAGTTGTGATATGAGTGATCCCATAAAATGTCCCATTTTATCTCTCTAGTTAGACATTTAAAGCTTCACAAGTAAAAACTATACATTCATATGAACTGTGATCAAGATTTGACCGGATAGTTGCAAAAATAAACATTTTCAGAAAGCCGAAAAATTCGGATAGATAGATACCTAGATTACTATTCAGCTCACTCATTCACCACCAATGTAACTGTGGCCAAGAATCTGATCAACAGAGCCAAACGTCTAGTTACTGAGGAGGAAGATATTAGCAAGGAATTAAAATTGGTTCAATCCACTCTTAAATCAAATAGTTATCCAAAAACCTTCATAAATAGATATTTAAAATGTGAAGATAAGGATGAATCAAAACCTGATGCTAAGAATTGGGTTAGTACAGAGGTGATTATTTTGATTTGACACTAGTTACTAGTGTCAAACCAAAATATTCACTACAGTCCTACAGGAGGTCAATCGCGAGCCCGAATACCTCAGTGGTAACGTCTCTGACTGCAGCACTCGGTGACGCGGGTTCGAATCTCAGAAGGGACATGAGTTCCTTCAAGGTTGCAGATACCCCTTGCTGACTAGTGAGTGCCAACTAGCACGAAACCTAGGTCCAAGGCTTCCTGACGATTGCCTCCAACCATCTAATATCATCACAAACAGCGGTGATTCCTTACCGTAAAGCAACATTCGATGAAATAAAGCGAATCCTTAACGATCATAACATACGAGTGTATTTTCGTGCATCAAACACCCTACGCTCATTACTGGTTAAGGTTAAGGATAAAATAGAACAAGAAAACCAGCAGAATTGTGTATACCAGATCAATTGTGGGGATTGTAACGCCGTATATGTAAGAGAAACTTCCAGACAGGTAAATGTAAGAGTGAAAGAGCATAAACAATGTCTAAAGATGGTTCCAAAGACTTCTGCAGACTTGAAGAAGCTAGAAAACAACTCAGCGATCGCACTACACAAAATCGACTTTGATAAGACTAAGGTTTTACAGAAAGGTTTTGTTTCATATAAAGAAAGACTGACTCCAGAAGCCCTACATATATGAGTGAATCCCAACAGTTTGAACAGACGTGAAGGTGCGATCTTAGCTGATGCATGGCAAATCCTGACTAAAAAATAAATTGGATATGTTTCAACAACTAGTCACACTTGATCAAATTCCCGATTGTCTACGTCCTTTTATGGAGAGAATAACAAATCTATAAAATTATATTATGTTTGTAAAAAACATCTCAATTATTTTGTAACCATCCGGTCAAATCTTGATCACAGCTCCTATGAGAATAACAAATGTTTTTATGACTGTTCACCCACACACATACACACACACACCATTGATACTGCATATACACATATATTTTGATAGCTGTTTCTTGATTCACATAACAGGACAAACAATTTAAAACAAGAGATGTACTTTTATATATAAACATACTATTTTATTTATTTATTATACATGTTGATGACTGTTGCATGACTCATGATTGGACAAAGTTTCAAAAACAAGAGTTGTTCCTTTTATATATAAACCTCTGTAATGTTAATTTGGATTAATTTCCCTGAAGAAGTTTGGACCAGATTGCCGAACGGAGGGAACGTTGGAATTAATCATTTGAATTTCGCTGAGACTTTACAAATATAATTTTATAAAAACTATACACCTGAGAGAACACAACTCCACCAAAATACACCGAAATAAATAAACTGATATTGAAGTTATCCAGTACTGGAATACTAGACAGCCATCTGTTTCATCCTAGTACTCAGGACTCTTCATCAGCACTTACCTACAGGGTTTCGGACCCAGGGTCCTCAGGTTACAAGATGAACTGGTTGACCCTTCAAACACTGGGACCTAATTCAATGATCCATGACCTCTAACTTGGCTATACTTTATCCAGCTGACATCACAAAAATCAATGAAGTAATTGCACCAAATACCAATTTATTTAATAAATTAATAATAATAAAATATAATATGAATATGAGGGGTTTTTTGTGATTTCTTTTTTAGTTTTTTTTTAATTTTTCTTAAAAAATAATTCCCATCACCCATCAGTATGATCGTTTTTGTTGTTTGTGTGTTTTTTGTTTTTTTGGCTGAGAAGACAGAAAACAAAAAATACATATTTGAGCAGTAAGAAAAGTGAATAAATTTCTTGATTTGTATTGTTATGTCTCTAAGCATCATAAGTTGTTTTTTTCAACCTTCACTTAAAAATCCCATCAGCTTACATGTACCGTATACGCATACACCTCGACAACAGTCATTTGCATGTTGACATGGACTATTCGACTGAGCGCATTGAACACATGTTCCTTCAGCAGAACTTCCTCGATTACACACCCAGTCTCTACCACAACATGGACGATATACTGAACAGGATTTTCCTGGCGGTGAACAGAATGACAGTGATGAGCCTATCAGGGAGGAGAATAGAAGAACAAGAATTGGAGCAATTCAGATTAGACACTAAAGACAGACTTAAATAGATACTGTCAACTGGGGGGGGGGAATTCAGTTAGTCTATATATCACACTAAGGCATCGAATTCGCTGCATATTAATTTGTTTATTATATATATATATATACATATATATATGTCACAGGGAATTAGCACTATTCACTGGATTACAGTCTTTCGAACTTAATTCATTGTGGTTCATAATTAGATCATCACTTGCAACCCCACAAATCAGAAACATTCGAAGGCAGAGGCAGTTCATTTCACTAATGAATTGGTAAGTCAGGAAGGAGAGCTTCCAATGTTTGACTTTAGCGTAAAAGAGAAAGAAGATGGGAAGTTAAACCCTAGTGTTTACAGTACCTTCACACATTCAAACCGATATTTGGATTTCTGATCAATCCACCCTATGTCGGTAAAAATAGGATTGGTAAAATGTTTAAGTAATAGGGGCACAAAAACTAAGTAGTACCAAGGAAAATTTAAGACAGGAAGTGAGGCATATTAGAGAAGCTTTGAAACTTTACAATTACCCTGATAAATTAATCTGGAGGTATGTAGGGAAATGTAAAAATACGTTTGGAAATACGTTCAACCTCTGTCCCAACCGGAAATGTAAAGATGAAATCAATAACAACAATAGTAGTCGTGATAATGATAATATTAGTGACGACATGCATATCAGGCGGGCGCAAGATAATGATAACAGCAACAATAGGGAACATAAATCATCAGTAGTACCTTCACATAAAGAAGGAACCTTGGAAACCTCACGCGGAATTCCTAACAATGCAGAGATAAAAGTGTCATTCAAACCATCCACAAACTCAATTAGAAACAAGCTTTGTCAGTTAAAGGATCCTGTGGAACAGTCCGCTAAGCAAAACAGTTTATTTTATCTGTCTACAATGAGTGTCAGATCAAAGTAGTATTAGGAAAGGATCAAATACATTAGCGTAGCACTAAAGCCTAGCAAAAAAATAAATAAGAAATCTGGGGAATAGTCCAGCTTTATAGCAGTGTATGCAATTACACACAGCCATACAAAAGGATGAGATAAGATTACAGTTTTAAGGTCTAATATAACAGGGTGGGGGAAGGGAGTGATAACGGAAGCTTTATTTATCGAATCAACTGAAAATATGTGTAATAGGAATGATTTAACACCTGTCCACCGGAACATCTGGAAAATTCTACTACCTCTAAGTCAATGAACAGGAAAGAATAAAGAAAATTATAAAATGGGAGTTTTGAAGTTGAGTTATAATTGATGATATAATTATGACCGACAACAAACTGTGTCTGAAACATTGTCATCTAGTAAACAGTGATACTGTTCCACTCTATGTGTGACATATCTAATATTCAAGTATTGGTTTTGTAGGATTTATTTTGATTGGATGAAGGATTTCATCATGAGCTGACATCAGTTACAGAACCACTGGAAAACCGGTTAGGAGTACTGGACAGCTGTTTCGTCCTAGTTTGGGACTCTTCGCAGTACGCGCCCACCGGGATTCGAACCCAGGACCTTCTGGTTACAAGGAAAGCTCGGGTCCCAGTGGCTCAATGGTCTACGAGCTCGCCTTGTAACCAGAAGGTCCTGGGCTCGAATCCCGGTGGGTACGTACTGATGAAGAGTCCCAAACTAGGACGAAACAGCTGTCCAGTACTCCTAACCGGTTTTCCAGTGGTTCTCTAACATATCTTATAAACAAACTGATATGAAAATGCATACTACGACAGTGCTCAGCACGATGCGCTATACAAACAAATTAGGGGAAGAATTTCTAATTCTTAAACCGATGTTGAAAAACAACGATTACCTTCGGGGATTCACTAACAAGAAGATGTGGAAGATGCGAAGGCTCAAATTCCACACAAGCCACACTTTGGGGGAAAAGTCTATCTTTATTCAAGTGTACTTTAAAGGTGGTAATATTTCAGGAATAGTCTGAGGTAGATTGAACACCTCACTAGCCAGAACTTAGCCTGCAGCTAAGTTGGTTAGATAACGTGGTCTTTGGTGTAATTAAAGTTTGGAAGATACCCTTCTCCTATTAATTCTAACTGTGTATAAAAATTCACATGCATCTGCAGCAGCAATTACAAAGGAAGACCAGAAAGAATGGCATATCTTAGATTCTGTTAACATGTACCAAAAAGCCTACGTCTCAAGTCAACAGACTCTGACATTAGGGGTGGCATTACCAGACATCCTGCCGATACGAGGTAGACATCATGAAATCTTTTAAAATTATCAATCGAAGAAATAGTTCAATTCTCCTCAAATTTGTCAACAGAAACAATCACTAGCAAGTGCCTGAAACCAGATTTATACATACAGGAAGAATCAGTTATCAGTCTTTGCTTGCCCTGGTAAATAGATGTCTCTACTGTTTCTTTCATCTGATCATGTAACCCATGTCTTCTACCCTTACCTCCTTTGATATGATTTAATTTTGCCTGTCTCTTTTTCCCAGGATTTGAGTTCAACTCACTCGTCATTTTATTCATTGCATGCAAAAACTTTTCCTTTAATTTAATTCAATTTTAGATTTTCCCGTCGTCTTATGATTGGACCGAAGTGCCCAGCCTCAGGTTGACATGTCGGCTTCTTGTGCAGATACTTCGACGACCTATGGGCATGTGATTAGAAGTTAATTGGGGGATGGTGACTAGCAGTGGAATCCAGAATACGCATTTCGTCCAACTTGGGACTCGTCACTTGAACGTACCTGCATTCCTCAGTGAGTGATAATGTTCCCACCGGGGCTCGAACTTAGTGCCCGTAGTTTCAAACTCCAAAGCGAAATGCGCACCCTGGATTCCACTGCTAGTCAGCATCTAGTTACATGCTCAGACGTCGTCGAAGCATCTGCACGAGAACCTGACATGTCAACCTGAGGCAGAGCACTTCGGTCCAATCAATCGACGGGAAAATACGACCCGTTGCACAAGAGGTGGCCCTCGTGGCATGTAGAGGATCATGCTTTGGCATTGTAAATTATGGGTACTGAGAACACCATCACTCAGTGAATGCGGAATGCAAGTGCATTCAAGTGACGACGTCCCACAGAGAACGAAATGCGCATTCTGATAGATCCCACTGATAGTCACCATCCATCACTTTACTTCAAGTTTAATGATCAGACATGGTCGAAGCATCTCCAAAAGGATCCAACATGTCAATCTGAGGCCTAGCACTTCGGTGCAATCAATCAATTGGAAAGCCCTAATTGAATTAAATAAAACACCTGATTTAAAATCTTTACTTAATTTGCTTGGTACAGACCGCATCGTCGGCTAAAAGATTTTTGAAAAACCACAGTGATACCGAAGCTTTCACAGGTGTTAAATTTAATCCCCTACTGATGATTATACCAGATATATGTTTGATTTTTAGTTTAAGAGATTGGAGGTACATTTGGCAATCATATAGTTTGAATTTGTAATTTATGTAATATAAAAACAACATTTGCTTCAATAAAATAGCTTTATTTTTCGAAGTAAGAAAATCTGTGTAATGCATTATCATGAATACCGTATATATAGCAGGGAAAGACATCGATATTTGCAAAGAAACTTACTTAGAAATAAATATAAAGCGAGTCACTACACTCATTTCCACAATTACACACCACCACAGTACAAGAGAAAATTAGTTATGTGACCTATTTATACAATAAAACATGTATATTTCATGCAACTGGTTCGCTTTATTAGTTTGAATAAGGAAGGAACGAACATATTTGCAGGATAAGAATAACTCGTTTTTATTTCATAGATTCTCATCAACTGCGGACACGCTAAACAAAATCAAATTCAGCATACTGTTTTCCACAATAACTTCGAGTTGTAAGTAGAAAGTATAGGCGACATAATAACAAAGATGACGCAAGTAGACGAATTATTCTGTGTTAAATGAGTAACTACTTATAGCATAATTAGACAAGAGATGGGTAGAGTTCAGATTTCTCTAAGAAACAAGGATGGACTACAGACAAAATACAAGATCGAACGACACATATTATGATTGAGATTTCAGGAGAGTGAGAGGTTAGCCACACCATCTTTCTGTATGTATTGGTCGGGTCGAAGTCTTTTGGTGGTAATGACTTCTGTAAACCGGAGTAACTATGACTTTCTATTTTTGTTTTTGTTATTATGAAAGCCTGATCAATTTCCAGTGTATGTCCCATGTTAGTTAGGTGACTGACAACTGCACTTGAGAACACTTTTTTGCCTTTCAAACGGAGACTTTTAGGCACATGCTCAGAGAATCTGGTGGACGCTCTCCTCTCATTCCTTCTTATGGAAATGCTGCCGCAAATGCAGTTGCAGTTGACATAAGTGGGATACTTCTCTAACCCCCTGACTAATTAAACTATAAATAGTTACTCTTTTAACACTGAATAATTCGTCTACTTACCTAATTTTTTGGAGTCATGTTACTAATACTTTCTATCTATAACTCGGAGTCACAATGGTAAAAGGTATCCTCAGACAGCATTTTGTAACTTATAATTTGATTTTGTTTAGGATGCACATAGTTGAAGAGAATCGACGAAATTAAAACAGTTTGTGTTATCCAGAAATTAGCTTCATTCTTCCTCTGTTTAAACGTATATATTCGGTCGGTCGGTCGGTTTTCGACATAGAACTTTGCACATATGTGCGGCAGTTCAAGTCGCCACACTCCCTCCTTGTAGCACACAAAGCAAGAGAAGAAATGCATAATATAGTCAGTAAAAAGAGGTGTGAGACAAAGGAATAGTTATAACGGAGAACAAAACGGTTTAATTGGAAATCATAAGTCACAAGTAGTGGATGCATCTGCGCCAGCCATTGAGAACGATTTTGAGCCATGTCACCAATTGTTTCCAACCATTGGTTTTTACCGCCCCAAGGACCCCAACCAGTCAGTCTACACCTTCCTACGTGGCTTAGACTAAC